CCAGATTTGAAATACTGGCAGAAAGGGAGGCTTTTCAGCTTACGACACTGGATTCCGTATGTTCCGTGGGATTTCTGTAGGTTGCCTCGTTTTATGGCTTTGGGGGTTTTGTTTTTTGTTCTCCGGAGCTGAATTGAGATTTCTCAGTTAGGGGAACAAATCCACGCCCGCCAGACCTCACTGAGAATGGAGACGTTGAGTTTAGCACAGGAAGGACAGCTTTGGGGAAGGAATGTCCCCTTCTGCCCGTGCACAGGCCCCCAGGAGCAAGAAGCAGAGTGTCCCCTCCACCCCGACGAGGAAGTGCCACATCCCTCTCTGGCAGCGGGCATTGCTGCCAAATTAGATTGCAGAGGAATTAAGATCGCAATAAAGAACAAATTGCTACCCAAGGGCATCGTCCTGCCTGAGCATCTAGAGTCCACACCGAAATGGAGCAGTGAGGAATGGTCACACATTTATCAGACACGTCCTCCTGCCCGTTTCAGCCTGCGAGCAGGGCCCTTCTGTAGAGGTTGTGCAGTAATTGTGATAAAACTGTGCACAAGACGTCCACTTGGAGGACAGGGGGTGGCAGCCTGTAGGAAGTTCACTTCCCTGAGCCTACGAATCATCTGGCCCTGTCCACACCAACCATCTGGCGGATATCTTGTCAACACCATTACAACCTCCTGGCCCCCCAAAATACTCATTTTAATTAACGCCAAGGGGAAGAAGAAATATTTAAGCGAGACATAGATTTTCCGGGCTGAGTCACTTTTTCAGTCCAGCAAACTGCAAACCCTTAGCTTTTCCGTGTGGCTGTCAGCTTCTCCCCAAGCTCGTTCTTTCTTTCCGATGCCAAACAGGCAGAAAGAAACCCAAAAACCCGGCGGGATTATTTCTCGGCGGGCTGTTCTAAGAACCCGGTAACCCGGCGGTTCAGAACCCATCAGGTGACGCGGATCGTGCTGTGCAGAGACAAGAGAAGCGCCTGAACCGAGGGCTTAATGAGCGGGAGGTGACTTCTCGTGAATGTGCAGGAAATGATTTTTTTTTTCCTTCACAGCCCAATGCTCTAGCCCAGACGTTTTGGATATTTATCATAAATGGGATTTAAGAATGTTTTTCTTCCCTTAGCAAGCCTCCTCCCTGATGGTTGCACGTCTTCCTGGACACCTTTCGGCTTTGAATTTGCGTTTGTTCCAGGAAGTGCTGAGAAAGCTATTTGTCACTCCCCGTGTGCACGATTCGTGTGTTTTCCTACAGCTGTTGCAACTAATTTATCATAAGCAGGCCCTCTCTGATCAGAATGCTTAATTGTTTAGGCCTGATGACTGCACCAGTACCGAGGCACAGTCAGTACCTCTCTTTCCTTTTGTTTCTGCGCCTTTGCTGTGAGCCACGTTCACTACCCCACCTCGCTGCTTCTCCGTCCTTTCCTACCTCTTTGCAAACACATCTCACACCACCCGAGGCCTCCCGGCCCCCTCGGTCAGCCTATGTTCTTATGACTGACTCTGGGAGGTCACTTTTGTCATCAGACAGACTTGGAAGCTGACCCCAGGGGCCAAGAGAGACAGACTTTAATCACTCCTGTTCTCTCGAGAACCTCGGGGCCCTCTCATGTTCCTGTTCGGAATCCCTAGAGTGCCAGCCCGAGGCAAAATTCTTCCAGGGTCTCTAAAATTAGAGGCTGTGATGAAAGGTTCAGGAGCAAAAAGGGGCTCCCTCACCCTGATCCTTTTAGTAGGAAGACCAAAAGCAGACCCTAGGAGCAGCTTTCCAAGCTTGAGGCTCACCTGTGCTGTTCTCACAGAGTGGTGACTGCTGCTGCTGATTTGCAGCAGACCCTGCCCAGGTCCTTCTGACCTGGGTAAATGCACTGATAGGGCGGTGAGCAAGCCCAAGTGCCAGTGGGACCCCGGGCCATGCTCCCTGGGCACCTTCCCACAGTGAGCCAGTCGCCAGCAGCACCGGGCTGGGCCGCAGAAGGGGAGCCACCTGGGGTCTCATGGCCTGTGTGTTAGGCGGGATCAGAAGGTGACTTCCCCAGCCGGGTCTTAAGCTGTGGTTTGGATGTGCAGTGGAAGGACATCTCGCCAGAGACACATTCAGCAAACACACATTGAGCACCTGCTGTGTGCAAGACGCCTGCTCAGAGCGGGAGACAAAGAACTAGACCTAGTTCCTGCCATGGGGAAACCTATCTCTTTAGCTTGGGGCAGGCGGAAGATCAATTTCAAGTAAGATGACCCTAGGAGCAAAAAAATGTAGCAAGAAATCATTGCTTTTATCTGTGGCATGCGTGCTGTGCGTGTGTGAGTGTCTTGGAGTGGTGGAAGAAAGGAGAAGTCTGAAAGACTGAAGTCTGAAAGGCAGAGACCTGATAAATAGGGCTGTGCCGGCATCGACCGATTAATCCTTCCAAGAGGCTCGGGAAGCCAGCTGTAATTAGATATGTTTTTTCTATTACTTAAATTGAAACAACTAATTAAATCCTTAATTAATGTTTTTTAACTACCTTGGGATAAGAAGTGCCAGAGAAGTTATTCTAAGTGCTAAATATTACCATGAAGTCCCAGGGAGCAGGTTGCTCCTGTGTTGACTCTGGAATCTGCTAGGAGGTTCCTGCTGTGAATAAAAGTCATTTGAAACAGAGTCGGCAAAATGTTTCAAGTATCTTCTTCCCCTTGACTTCCCCCAAGGTTCTCCCCTTGGCCTGTGTTAAAACTTTCATCCTTGATTTACCATCACCTTTGATCAAGCCCTCCGCTGCTTCTGATCTGGGGGGAGAGGGCTCATTTAGAAGAGGAGCTTGCCTGGTTCTGGAGCCCTCTGTAAAGTATCTAGCTTCTCTAGTGCAGGCTGTAAGCAATAATGAAATTTCCCCCGTGGGGAGCATTTTCATCTTTAAAACCTTAGCAGCTCTAAAAGGACTGATAAAACTGCATTGGGAGGCAGCCAGGCCAGCAGGAAGCTCTGCAGAACATTCACTTAATTTCCATGGTCTCTGCCCCTTGAAGAAATTGTTAGGGGCTGGGGTTTCCCTGCCCTGTGCTCCTTCTGTCCCTCTGACTTCCTCATGGTAAATCACTGATGAAGGCACTTATTGACAGAGACCATGGATCATTCCAGCAAGGCGCATGGTTTAGAGACAAATGAGAGAGGCTGTCTTAAAATTCCCCAGAAATCCTCGGAAGTTTGCTTAGAAGGCCTAGAAAAGAGTAGGGAGGATTTTACTAGGTCTTTATCCGGCAGGTGATGTCTCTTGGATTCAAGCTGAGAGGATATTTCACATCTGGGAAATTTGTTAATATCTTTTTTTATTATGCAGATGTTCACATCTGCAGACCCCTCCCCACCCTGGGATTGCTTTCGTTTCCCCTGGTGAGTGCCTTGGCTCACCCCACTCATTAATCTGCAGTTGTCTAAGCCAGCTAATGACAGATGTAAAGTCTCTAGGGACCACTATTTCCTACTTTGCCCCCTTTATATTCATGTTTGGAAACATTTATATTAATATTTATGTGAATGCATTCGGAGAATATGCTTGGTAAAATGAATTTATTCATGTAAGTGGATAGAAGACCACATTATAGAATCACTTAGAAACCTACGAACATATAAAACAAAAATTATTGGAAAGCTAAAATCCAAAGAAAGTCTTGCAGATTTCATTTTAGAATGCATTTCATTTTCTGTTGCTTTATATGTGCTCAAATTGGAAAAGACAACTATGTTTAAATCTACAAGTTCAGAAATGTATTTAGAATTCAGGATCTAGTTCAGGATATAATCAACTACATTTGAAAAAGAAAGAGGTAGTATAGATTATCTAGCATAATGATCCTCCACGCCGGCTGCACGGTAGTAAATGTGGGGAGCTTTTAAAAGTGCCAGTGCCTGCGCTTCACACCCAGAGTTCCTGAGTTAGCTGATCTGGGAACGGGGTCTAGGCAGCTGGGAGGCCACGTAACAGTCCCAGGGAATCTGGTGTGTAGCCAAGTTCGAGAATTCCACATACATGGTCCATTGACTTTTCTCATACTTAACAGGGTTCTTTTTCCCACTGAGCACGCTCCATCTAAAATAGCAGAATTGGTCTTTGGCCCAAAAGGTAAAGCAGGTCACCACAGTTCACCGTGAAGCCAAGTCTGTAGCTCCCGGGGAAGATGGCGGCTGAGACCAGCTGGCACCTCTCTAGAGGGAGCACGAGCCTTGAACAATCCTCTGTCTTCCCCATGAGAACTCCAAGCTTGGAGTCGGAAGACCTGGGCAGAGTCCTTGCTCCATTGTTACTTCTCTGAGTGACTGTGGTTAATGCACGTGGCCTTTCTGGGCCTCAGCTGCCTCACCTGTAGCATGAGGAAAGTCATGGCTTCCCAGACTTCCCAGGGAGAATAATAAGGCACTTGTGAACAGGCCTGTCCCCTGTGCGGAGCTACAGAACGAGCAAGTTTGTGGTGGACACTCTGTGCCTCTGGGGATCACCCTGGGATCCCAGGGGCCACCCTGGATCACATCGGCCAAGCCCAACATCAGCCTGGCTCCTGATGTGGAGTTTCAGGGTGGAAGCCCTTGAATCCCAGGTGTGCTGTGCCAGGACCAGGGGCGGGCAGGGGGGTCAGCAAACACCAGGGGCCCATCAAATCAGAAACTACGCCTGACTGTGGAACCCACCCTGGGGTGAGAATGCAGGCCCTTCCTGCAGAGTGAGGCTGCCTTCTATTCCCAGCACAACAGTCTAAGTGGCCGTAGGGCTGCTGGAAATGAGAGGCGGGGTGGTCTGTTGGCTACTCAGATTCCAGCTCTGTTCAGCTATGTTACCCCAGCAGCCCTGGCCCCCCACTTCCTGCAGGTACTAGCACCACCCTGACCCAGGTGTCCCGTGGCACGAATCAAGTGAGTGAATGTTCTTGAAGCCCTGAGCACGGTGCTGGCTGAGAGTGATGCCAGGTAGGGGTCAGCTGCTGTGGCCACACAGGGCTAACCTGTCCGTCTGTCCCCTCCCGCCCCAGTGCCTAGCCCCTCTTGTAATGGCTTTGACAGCACCCTTTCAAGACCCTGCCGGGTGCCGCTAGGAAAGGAGGTCTGCTTCATAGCCACCGTTCGTCTGGCAACACCACAATTCTTAAAGGCAAGTATCTGGGGGAGAATTTGTCATGTGGTAGTAGTGCAACTGAGTCACGCTTAGTTACAGTGAATTAAGCATCTTCGTGGAAAAGAATAAGATTGCAATGACGTTGTCACTGACTTTGAAAAGTTGAAATGTCTGGTTCCATCCTGTGACAGCCGCACATGCCCCTTGCCCCACCTCTGGTTTCCTTCCAGCTATTTTGCTGGAAGGTAATGTCAGCTGCCACTCAGCCTGCAGAAATGCTCGTCTGCAGCTCTGTAGACCCTCCTACCTTTCACACCAACCCTAATACCACTCAGGGCAGGCCAAGGTGAGGACCAAGCGTCAAAACCAAGGATTTGTCCGCATTCTCTCATCCGTGATTGCTTTAACATCCGTGGCATGAATGTTGAGTTAAATTAGTCATTCAAATTCAGATGAAAAGCCTTTTTCCACATGTTTACCACACTTGTAGATAATGGGAAGGGAGTGGTGTGACATTTTGGCTCTTAGGTATTTTTCCCCAGCTCGTGAAATAAATTTAGTATCAGCTAATACTGAAATTAGCTACAGATGATGAGTTTCAGTCCAACACAACTTGGAGACGGGCTATAAATGATTTTAACTTCTGTTATCCCTCTACCATGAGTTCTTGAACAAACCTAGGGTGAGCATCTGGCACCCCGAGCAACATTTTTTTTCCCCTTCTAATACAGGAAATGTGCATAGTTGACGAACCCTTAGAGGAATTCACTTCAAGGCATAGCTTGGAATGGAAATTTTTATTTCTGGATCACAGGTTTGTGAAAAGAAAAACATATTTGGGTTGGGTCCTTTTCAAGTGTTTGTTTGCATGAGCCAGGCTCTCCTTGGGAGAGAAAAGTCGGGCCTGGTCCCTTGGAGGAGAGGGCTTTCTGGCAGCAGGAAAAATTGTTCCTAGCCAAGAGTGAGGTGGCTTCCCTTCAACTGCAAGTTGTCCGTGGATATGTTCTTTGTTTGGGTCAGAGCATCTCAGGAGAGCCAGGTGCCACAGCCCGGGGACGTCTTTGGGAGACCCACACCCCCACCCCTTCGGGACCTTCTCCAGTTCCCAGGAAGGCAGGAGCAGATGGGAGAGAAACTTTTCATCTTAATTTCTCTCAACATCCTTTTGTCCCTTTCATTCAATCTTCTTTCTTCTATAACATTTTTCATGGTTGAAGGATGAGAAATCTCCCTTCACCACCCTTTAATTTTTTATTACGCTTTGGCGTTGGACTGACCCAGTCTATAGCTATTTTTAATTGTTCAGTCATGATAAAGTTTATTATTATTTAACCCAGGTGATGTCAGTAAAACCGAGTATCTAAATGCCAAAAAGCTTGAGCACTTTGGAAGACACAGCCTCTCTGGTTTGAACCATTGCGAAACCATCTTCCTGTCCTCCTTCTTGAGAAATGAGGCCTCTGTGTTGATTGTTAAGTGTGCCAACTGTACCCCCTCTGTATTGAGGTGCTGCCATGGTGAGTCCGGGAGGGTACTTGCTCTCTGATGAACTATCCCCATTGTTTGGCAGAGCCCCTCCGATCATAGGATACCTGCCTTTTGAAGTTTTGGGGACCTCGGGCTATGACTACTACCACATTGATGATCTGGAGCTCCTGGCCAGGTGCCACCAGCACTGTGAGTATCGCACACCCAGCCCCAGGCCTAAAGGCCTCCAGTAGCCTCCACAGGAGCCCCGACAGCAGGGCCCTGGGGCCCTGGAAGTCTGCTTATTATCTGGTTTCTTTTGAAGGAGGAAGACTGTTTCTCTGAAATGATGTAGGAGCGTGGTGGAGGTCCTTATGTGGTTTGCCCCCAGGTTGTGCTTTCACCTGGAATTGACTTTGCTCTGCCTCCTCCGACCCCCCAGCACCTTCTAGCGCTTTCTAACACCCTTCAGATAAGCAACCTATTTTAATCCTACTTAAGAAAATAAGATGATGATGGTCGTTTTTTCTAAGTTAATGCTATACATTTCAAATACTGAATTTACATCACTGCTTTTTGTCAACTGACCTATATTGGTCACCAAGCCAGAGGGCAGAGAGCTAGGCCCAGGACATAATGATGATCAGAATCTCCTTGCTGTTCTGCAGGAGCAAGGTCTAATGGAAAGGCAGAAATAGGTGACACTATAGGATGCTGTCCCTGCATTGGAGGGGACGTGCTCAGGATACTGGGGGGCTTGCCTGGCTGAGGGAGGGGATCAGGGGAGGCTCTCTGCTGCAGAAGATAAGGGGAAGGGCACCTGGGTGGCTCAGTGGTTGAGCATCTGCCTTGGGCTCAGGTTGTGATCCTGGGCTCAGGTCCCAGGATTGAGTCCCCAGGGAGCCTGCCTCTTCCTCTGCGTGTCTCTGCCTCTCTCTGTGTCTCTCGTGAATAAATAAAATATTAAAAGAGAGAGAAAAATAGAGATAAGGGGAGCCAGACTCATGATGTGGGGGGAGGGAGAATTATCAGCATATCTGGGTTCTCACTTAGCAAGAGGAGTCAAGAATTAACCACTTAAAGCTGTATATTCAGTGCCAAGTCCTAGCTTTAAACAGGAACTTTTGTAGTCATACTGACTTATGGATCCTGACACATGACCACTAACTCTGTATTTTGAGAGACGTGCCGTCTGTCATGCCCTTGAGAACTTTCTCTTCTCTTCTCTTCTCCTCAACGGAAGACAAGGCTCGAGTTCCATCAGGATCCCCTGTTAGAATCTGAGGCAAATCTTTAAAACTTGAACCCCTTGCTCCACAAAGGGTGGTCCTCGAGCAGCAGCAGAGTCATCACAAGGGGTGGGTTAGCCTTGTAGGCTCTCAGGCCTCTCCACCAGGCCTGCAGGATCAGAACAGCCATTTTGACAAGCTCCTCAAGTGACTTGTGGGCACCAGGAAAGTTTGAGAAGCAGGGTTACCTCAAGCCTCGGCTGCATCTGACCCTTCTGAGGGAGCAAGTCCATCCTGGTTGTAGAATTACCTTCATCTTCTGAAGGACTTGCCCCAGGGCTCAGGCTAGATCTTCTCACTCTGGAGCTCGGCTTCCCACCTCTTCAGAGATTGCCTTCTCTGAGGCAGTGGCTCCCTTTGTAGCTGTAGTTTTCGAGCTATTATATCTGTTAACTGTTTGCAGAAAGAGGTGCTAAACTCCAGCCACCAGGGCAATGAAACCCAAATTGTCCTCCCCTAAACCCACAGTCCCTCCCAGCCTCCCGCCCTCCAACAGCCCTGGGGTGGTGAGGCCTGAGGTGGAAGGCAGCTGGAGCTGACTCCTGCATTCAGGGCTGTGTACACTCAGCATGAATTGCTAACTGACAGCCGCATGCTCCCTCCAGAGGTTGCAGGCTGTCAGGTCTATTTGGGGCCTAGCTCTCCCAGTATCTGGATTGTTTATTCCATCCTTGGCTCCTGCAGCTCCAAAGACAGGTCCACCTGCAGTGGACAAACCTGTCCCCCTTTGTCACTAAACTCCAGTTAGGGAATCTGCCCTTGTCTGGGGCTCTTTTGAGCCTTTGAGCATCTGGGGAAGCATGCAGGTGGTTCTCCCATGATTTAAGAATTCAGTATTATTTACCAGGATCCTGAGAGTCACTTAAAATACAGCATACCTGGGGAAATCAACAATGTTGGGCACTGGGTTTGTGTGTGTGTGTGTGTGTGTGTGTGTGTGTGTGTTTAAGATTTTATTTATTTATTCATGAGAGACACACAGAGAGAGAGGCAGAGACATGGGCAGAGGGAGAAGCAGGCTCCCTGCGCAGAGCCCAACACAGAACTCGATTCTAGGACCCCGGGATCACGACCTGAGCCAAAGGCAGGCGCTCAACCACTGAGCCACCCAGGCGTCCTGGGCACTGTGTTTTCAAAGGCTTATATTTTTCACAGTAATTTCTGGGGGGAAGATCATTTTCATATCAATGTTTGCTACATGCAGACTCCGTTTTCTGCTAACAGTGATGCAGTTTGGTAAAGGGAAGTCCTGTTGCTACCGGTTTCTGACCAAGGGCCAGCAGTGGATCTGGCTGCAGACGCACTACTACATCACTTACCACCAGTGGAACTCCAAGCCCGAGTTCATCGTGTGCACACACTCGGTTGTCAGGTGAGGGCTGGGGCATGGAGGGTGGGCAAGGCCCCTGACCGCTCAGATGGAGCCCCCACTACCTTGGTACTCTCAGCTGCTGAAGAGCAAGCAAGCCCTGGGCTCGAATTTTTCAGCAGGCCCGAGCTGTACCCTGCAGGTCACAGAGTAGTCTCCAGAGCTCAGCTTCCTTCCAGGTACACAATCATCTCTGCTCCCCCTGCCCGGTGGTGGACTGAGGACTCAGGCCCCTCCACAAGCTTCATGCCCACTTTCAGGCTGCCAACATGTGACTTAGTGATTTACCGCTTCCCTAACCTCCTTCCACATTTCCCCTCATCTCCATTCATCCCCCAGCCTTCCCTTGTCACTGTTTTGAGAAGAAAATTAAGGGGCTCCTGGGTGGTTCAGTGGGTTAAGTGTCTGCGTTCAGCTCAGGTCATGATCCCAGGATCCTCAGATGAGCCCTGTATTGGGCTCCCTGCTCAGCAGAGAGTCTGCTTCTCCCTCTCTCTCTGCTTCTCCCCCATGCTTGTTCTCTCTCTCTCTCTCTCTCTCTCTCTCTCTCTCTCCCTCCCCCACCCTCCCTTTCTCCCTCCCTCCCTAAGACTTTATTTTCTTCTCTCTCTCAAATAAATGAAATCTTAAAAAGAGAGAGAAGAAAATTAAAATTTTACCTCTAAATAACTCACAGACCCAGTCCCCTTTATTTTTAATACATTAAAAACCCCTGCTGGCAACTGAGGCAGTGTTGGGAATAGAGCCTGGCTGCGAGTGGGAGAGGGTTCCAAGCAGTTCCCAGTGGCCTTAGGGAGCCCCCAGCTCAGGGGGGGGATAAGCAGAGAAACCCGGAGAAGCTGCATACCCAGCATTTCCTAGATGCGGGCTGTGTAAGGTCACAATTCCAAAGGTGGAGGAGAAATGTCATTCATGGGGTTTTTAACCCCTGACTGCAGAGATTTTAAGGACATCAATCAGTTTGAAACTGGTCTAGAGAAGAACTTGAGAGCAGAGCAAAGAAAGAAAGGTTATATATAGTGTAGCCATGTATGTATATCTGACAGATAATAGGTGGGTAGATATATATGTACACATAGATGCTATACATACTGCATTTTATATGTATATACATAAAAGATAGATGATAGATAATAAGTAGGTAGGTGGGTAGATAAATGGAGAGACACCATGCATACATACATGCACACACACACACATGCATTTATGCAGTCCACAAGCAAATCTCTCTTGTTTCAGTAAGTGGGGAGAAATGCTGGTCTTTCTTGCCAGTGACCCTGACCATCACACTGCATGCCACTCTCAGGGACTTGATCTTGGCTGCTCACCACACCCTGACACTTCAGCAGCCAGTGGTTTCCGATGACAGGCCTGTCCACCTACTGCCACCCAGCCTGGGCCTTTGCCACCAGGGAAGGCTGGACGTCATCAACATTTTGGTCTTCAGACTCTGCCCTTGACCCTGCTCTTTCTCTCCATCCTCTACCTCCCAAATCTTGGGAATCTACTCTCAGAGAAAGTAGGAAGTAAACTAGTGAGTAAATAAGGTAACAAGCATTCCAGGGGCCCAAGAGCCACTGTCACTTCTCAAAGGCCCTCGCCCAGCCTCTACCTCCACTCATGAAGCAGAGGCCACAGCTGGGGCCCTGCAGCCATCACCACACTGAATGGATTTACCCACGCTATTTTCAAAGTGGGTCCACAGACTAATCAGTACTCTGGGTCTGGATCTAGATTTGTTTGAGAGATAATGTTCAAAGGTTATAATTACTAGAAAAGTCATGTGTCACTTCCCTATGCACAGTCCAGACTGAGTAGGTTTTAAGAAAAGCTTCTGATCATTCAAAGGCCGAGGCTTATCCTGTAGATGAAAATATGTTTCTAAAGACAATTACGTTTGGAAGTCTCAGGGCATGGGGAGAAGCTAAGTAAAGGAGAAAGGGAATAAAAACATTCTGGAAAGGAAAATATTTTGAATATCACATTAGAAGTCACTCTGGTGGAATTTGGGCAGAGAATGAAACTCCTTCCTCAAACAAGTGACCAGACGAGCCTCCTTCGGGGTGACGATTCTGGGGTGGGTGTCACGTGGGGTACCTCGATGTATCACACAAGCCCTCTTTGCTGTTGCCTTCTGGAATGTCCCACCTCCAGCTGTGGTCTCTTGATTTCCCGATCAGTTATGCAGATGTCCGGGTAGAAAGGAGGCAGGAGCTGGCTTTGGAAGACCCGCCCCCTGAGGCTGTCCACGCTTCGGCACTAAAGGTATGCTGATCCCCACCAGCTGGCCAAAGGCGAAGTTCGCCTAAGTAAGCTCTTCCATGAGTTGTTATAATAAAAGTAGTAATATTTGTATTTGCTACACTCCCAGTACCATTCAGTACGTTTCCTGGGTGCTCCCTTGTTTACCATCGTGACATTCCTGTGAGGCAGGCACTGTTATTTTCCTCACCCTTCAGACGAGGCAGCACAGAAGCACACAGAGGATTTAACTTGCATACCCGAGGGTCCCGAGGGTTGGAACTCACAGAGCTGTATAGGAAACAGACTCCAGGGACGCCTGGGTGGCTCGTGGTTGAGCGTCTGCCTTCATCTCAGGGCATGATCCCCAGGTCCTGGGATCAAGTCCTGCATCGGGCTCCCCACAGGGAGTCTGCTTCTGCCTCTGCCTATGTCTCTGCCTCTCTGTGTCTCTCATGAATAAATTAATAAATAATCTTGAAAGAAAGAAAGAGGGAAAGAAAGGAAAGAGGAAGGAAGGAAGGAAGGAAGGAAGGAAGGAAGGAAGGAAGGAAGGAAGAAAAAAGAAAAACGAACGAGTGAGCCTCTGGACTCAAAGGCTCACTTTAGCAACTTTAGCAACTTCCTATCCTTATGAAGGTGGCTATAATGAGTCCACTTGGTATCTCTCCCAAACATGAAAAACTAGGGGCTTATTCCTTCATCCCATTGAGGTATAGAATAATGTGGGTGCCCCTGTCCTTCTCTTGGCCTAAGTGCTGATGTACTGCCTCCAGGACCCAGGCTCCCACGAGGAGACTGCCCATCATACACCCACCGTATTGTCAGTCACAAGCTGCACGTTCTACGTCTGTGTCTGAAGGTCAACAGCCATGGTGGAACCAGCTTTGTGTCAGGGAGCTCTGCTAGTGAGGGATGTTTCCCTTCACAAAGCCTTACCTCCGACCCTCCTCTGCACTCAGCTCTCAGATCCCCTCTAGCCAGGCTTTCCCCATTTCTGTCCTGGTGTGTCAGACAACTGGAGGGAAACGTGCAAGCAGACCAGAGCCTTGTTCCTCAAAGGTCACTCTTCCAGCAGACAGATATGTTGGGAGAAAAAGAAAGAGAGTAAGGAAGGGAGGGAGCATTGTATTTCTTCAAAGCCAAGAAGCTATCCATTATAAGATCCACCATTATTTATCTCCCACTAAGAAAGAGAAGATGCTGTCGCCAATCTGTGAAATAAGAGTTTCCTTTCATCAGTTGGAAGACACATCCCAATTTCTGATATGTCAGAAAACATAGGGGAAAGCGTCTCTTATATTGGCGAAATGCGGTTCAAGTTCCAGGCCGCCCAGGGACCTAGAATCCAGACACTTTGGCCAGAAGCTGCCGCAGCAGCAGTAATACAATGAAAGCATCTCTGGTCCATGAGAGTTGAGTTGGAAGGAAGGAGCAATCCCCCATAAGGCCCAGAGAGCAGTCAGTGTCTTTGGCGAGCCTCCCCTGCTGGCATGCTATGTGGCCGTGTGTTCCATGGTGATCCATCACCAGCGCACTGGTACGACACACCTGTCATTGTTTATGGAAGTGTTTATTGCTCAGCTCTGTCATATAATGCATCGTGTATCATGTCCGAGAACAGAACTAAGCTGTCCATAGGCAGGTGTTAGACACACCATACATCACGGCTCGCGAACAGGCATAGTGTGCATCATCCAGTCAGAAATCTGTTCTGGAGGTTTCTGATCCTTTGAGAATCCTAGAACCCAGTGGAACTTCTCATAAACATGCACATGTGTGTAAACACACAAATACAATCTCAGCCTGCCCCCTTTTAAAGGAAAAGCTCTGGAACAATGCCTTTCAAACTATTAGTGCTAATGGACAATTTGTTTAATTTCAAATCTGTCACTGAGCGATGCTTTTGTGAAATGCAAGTTCCCGTGCTTGAGTGTGATGTGCAGCTATGTCACATGGCTATGGAAGTTTCTCAGAGCTTACTCTCATTGCCTGCACATATTTCTCTGCTGACCAGGAGTGTGCAATTTGCAAACAGCCATGGGCCAAGGACCCCACTCTGAAAGGTGTATCTAGGGGAGACTCTGACCAAGCAGCAGAGCCTCACAGTTGACATTTAGCACAGCAAATCCAGGCACATCCTGTGATTCTGTTTTGCACAAAGGACCAAAGGTCACATATCAGGCATTTCAGCCCTTCTCAGGCACATGCACAGCATCCACCCTCCGGGGAGTCATGACTCAAAAGACAGAATAGCCATATAGACTCACACCCAGAGATTTAAGACCAATACCCTGGGACATAGAACCTAGTGGATGCCAGGAACATCACCATCCTCCTATGACTGGATAGGAGCGTGGCTTGGGAAAGCAAACATTATGTTTCTTCTTTAGCTTAAAAATTATCCTAAAACCCCTGTTTTCTTACACTTATGACACTAAGGAGAGCAGGATGGAAGGACCTCAGTGTTGGGAGGTCACAGTTGCTTTCTCATCACACAATACTTGAAGCAGGGGCATCCTGGGATCTGGGATCAGTTAAGATACAGGAACCAGTGGACAAGAGATCATTGACCCTTTGCCTATTCTCCACTCCAGGGCCCTGAGGCTGCAGAGGAGAAGCAGTGGGGAGACCGTGGTGGGAGGTGGTCTGAAGGGTCCAAAGGCATCTGTTTCATTGGAGTGTTAACAATCCAGCACACTAGCACCCTCATTTCTAGAACTTGCCTCTTCTCTCCTTCTGGGAAAGCCAAGATTCTGGGCAGTAAGGTGACAGTTTTAAGGAAAAAATAAAATGCAGCATCAGTTACGAAAATCTACAAAATCCAAATCCAAGGTGAGGAAGCATAACAGATACTGCTTGTATAAGGCCACAAGCCTCTCAAAGATGCCTGGATTACATATATATACATATATTCTACCCAGATATGTCAGGATTTATTTCCAAATAGTTCTGATCTTTCTCCCTACACCCTCCAAATTTTCCCTCCTAGCTAGAGAAGAGCTAAAGTCACATAATTCATTCCCATCCTCTCGATGCTGAAATATGGATTGCATGTGTGTGTGTGCACGCGTGCGTGCATGCATGTCTGTTTCAGGACAAGGGCTCCAGTCTGGACCCTACGCAGCACTTTAATGCACTTGACGCTGGCACCTTGGGCCTTAACACCAGTCACTCACCATCAGTGTCCTCCAGAAGCTCCCACAAATCCTCGCACACGGCCATGTCAGAGCCCGCCTGTGAGTATGCCGCCACGGATGGCAAGGGGGTGGGCGCCCCATGGGGGGCCAGGGTGCAGGGGCCCAGGCCTGAGCAGATGGGGGCGGTCCCTGCCCACGGGGTGAAGCTGCCTTGCAGTTGGTACTCTTTCTTCCTTCCTTTCCCGCTGGCTTCCTGCCTTCCACCTCTCCACGTGCTGGAGCCGCAGAAAGCAGGTGACACGTAGACCAGCTGGTCTGGCCAGGTTTGGGTGACTCCAGTAAGGTGTGAGGTCAGGCAGTTGGTTGAACCGGGCAGTCATGAAGCTTGGGGATGGTTTGCTGGCGTCTCCCCGCTCACAGGTGAGGTTGGAGGCTGATAGAACTTCTGTGCCTCTCACTCGGCTTCCGTTCATGCTGGCCTTCTTTTGTCAACCAGGCCCTTGTTATGTGGACACCATAGTCATTGTTCCCTTCTTTGGATAGGAAAGCCATTTAGTATGTGTGAATCAGGAAGGTGATTAGTTGCTTTCTTCCAGCCACCCCGAGCAAGCTGATGGCAGAGGCCAGCACCACGGCTTTGCCGCGATCGGCTGCGCTGCCCCAAGAGCTCCCCGTGCCAGGGCTCAGCCAGGCAGCCACCATGCCGGTACGTGTGTGACTTTAAACTTCTCGGCCGGGGGTGCCCCAGCGTGGTGGGGCTGGCTAGGCCACAGGACAGCGTGCTACGTCTTCCCAGAGAACCAGATGTACGTAGAGATTGAGAGTGTAGGATGGCAGGCAGGGGTGGGAAGCTAGGTAATTTAAGTGGCTACCAATCTGAAACATTTTTGCTCCAAAATTAACATGAATGTTATACTCAAAGAATGCAAAATCCAAGAGTTTTAAGGATTAAGCTGGAACCCTAAACCAGGGATCACCCCCACCTCACCTCGGAGTCTCTGAGGATATACAGGATCCTTCCATTTGGGCTCCTGTTTCACTCCAGTGAAAATGTTTGAGATGTCTGTGTCAACAGAACAATACGTCTGCATATATCAGGCATTCCCCTGATACACACCAGACCTCTCCAGAAGGTCAGGGAAGGAGTGGCCTTCTAGAAAGCTTGCTGGCTATATGAAAAATCACTGACGTACAGTTCTCCAGGTATCTCTTGCCTCATAAGGGGTCACCCCAAACTTAGTGGTGTAAAGCAACAGTCCTTTCTCACGTTCATGGGATCCAAACAGAGCGCAGTGGGGCTGACTCCTCTCTGCTGCCTGGTGTCGGAGGCCTTGCCAGCCCAGCCTGGGGAATCCACATCCCAGGTGGATCCGCACTCACCTCTGCCACCTGGGCTGGGCTGGGCTTGCTGAAGGCCACCAGGCCACCCACCCTCAACTCACATGGGCCTCTCCACACCTGGGAGCTGAGCTTCTCCCAGCACGGCGACTGGGTTCCAAGAAGAAATGTCTGGAGAGGGGACTTCCCAGGAGAGCCAAGCAGAAGCTGCATGGCTTTCTATGACCTAGCCTCGGATGTCCCACCGTGTCACCTCTGCCATTCGTCTTGGGCAGAGCGGCCACAGCTCACTCACAGAGATGGGCCTAGACCTCCACCTCGGGATGGGAGAAGTGTGAAGAACTTCAGGGCCTGCATCCAGGTAGTCGCCAAATACCTTACATCCATCCCTCGCTGGCATTTCAGAGATGGGGGTGGACATGCCACCTTCCTGCTTGCTGTCTCCCTGAAAGTTATGCACTTGAAAAGCTTGGGTGACATGTTTTATTTTCAAAACAAGCACGATAAATGCCACTTTCTTTCTCCCCAGCCACCTTTCAACAGGCTCATAAACCATGAACCCCATTCTTCTGGTAGTTAGCTGTCCAATAAAACTACCTTCTGCCACTGATGGAAGCACGGTCCTGGTCCCTGCCCGCTGTGGGGATGCAATCGGGAGAATCTGAAGCAGGCTCTGGGTGTCCCTGTGCCTGGGGTTGCTCACTCAAAATTAGGCCCCCTGCTGTCACTTCCTCCCAATGTAGTCCAGGGTAACACTTCCCATTTGGGCTGCTTTCTGGGGTCCCTAGCGCCGGAGGACAGTTTGGAAACAACTTCAGAAGAATCCTTTGATTTTGCTTTTAAAACTCTCACTAGTCCATGAAGCTAAGTGTTTTACCTCTCGGGTCTACACTTTGTCTCGCCACCATCCCCCTGCCCTGTCCCGAGTGATCGGGAAACAAGGTCTGTGACTTGGCTGACCTCCCAGGAGTGTCTCGACTGGATTCCAGGCAGGGTCTGGTGAAGTTGCACCAGTGTTCACCGCCTGGAGGAATTCATGGACATATATGTATATGCATGGCACTAATGCATGTCCGTCTGCATTAGTGTTGAGCAGAAAGCGTCGGGACCACACGCAAAGCCAACACCGGTTATTAGCGCAACCCCATTCATGACACTGCTAAGAATGTATCAGTTTGGGAGAAGAGCTGCCAAATCCACCAAGAATGGCATCTAGGACAGAAAGCAAAGGAGGGGGAGTGGAGCAGAGCTGCCAAGCATGATGGGGAGGCATCACGGACCCCGAAGGACCCTAGAATCTTACTCAAGAGCACGCTGCACCCTTCACCAGCCATGTGTCAGCTCTGACTCCGTGTCCTGCAAGAGCAGCAGCATAGCCCACCTTCTAGCAGTGAGCTCTTCACTCTAGCGCGGGAGGGCCTCCTTTAAGCCAGATAACCCAGCTGACCAAGGACACCCGCATACCTCTGGAATGGCCCAGAAGTTTATGTGTTAATAGAGGCCCCCTCTCTTCCCCAGGCACCCCTGCCGGCCCCATCATCCTGTAACCTTACACAGCAGCTCCTGCCTCAGACCATCCTGCAGAGCTCCCCTGCCCCCATGACACAGGTGAGTCTGGGACCCAGGAAAAGAGAAACCTGGTGGCAGCACTTCCTCACGATGTAATGCCTGCCTGGTAACCTCTGAATGTGGGGATGCACCGGTACCTAAGTAAAGGTACTATACCAAGATCCCAAAACGGGAAACGTTTCTCCCAAGGTGCCAGTAGGACATGTCAAGCTATGAATTCTCTCCTATACGTGTGCATCTGGCAACTGTCCTTTTCTTACTCTTCATTCATCTCTGTCACTCTTCCATGTTCCTCTTACTTTCTATGACTCCAGATTGGTTGTGTTATTTTAGGAAAATTTAAATTAGGCCAAATGTCATAGGGAGACTGCAAAATTGTAAGAGCTGTGAGTCCAGTACTATAAATACCACATTTGGGTGGGTTTTTTTTTGTTTTGTTTTTTGTTTTTTTTAAGGATCATGGCTTTGCTGACTAATTGCTTCTTATTTCAGCAACATTCAGTGAGTTGCTACTTGTATCAGGCAGTGAGCGAGTGTGAGGGGCACCGAGTGCTTGGAGCACAGTCCTTGCTTTTAGTAGGGCAGGATTCAAGGGAGGGGCAGGCATAGAAAGGGACCGACCTCCATGGCAGGGCATGTGTGTTTCTTTCAGAACCTGTAAGAAAATACCCCCCACACACACCCCTGGAGGTAATGCCTAAGCTGGGCCTGGAAAAATGGGTAGGAGGTTGCCAAGTGGAGGGTCCACAGGGAAGAGGGCGCAGGTATGGGCTTCAGCAAGGAGCTTTGACAGTATGCACCATGCTTGAGGCCTGGCAAGTGGCGGAATGAAACAGTGGTCATTCCTTCTGTGGCTGAGTAGGGCAGTGGAGCTGATTGGCATTATACTCCACTGAGGCCAGCCTCTGCTTTTAATCCCTTCATGGGCTTTTTAGCTTGGTTCTCCTCTCTGGCCCCAAGGGAGTCACAGGTAGCCTTTCACCAACACATGCCCCTGGCCGAGCTCTTGCCTAAGTGTGGACTCGGTGCAAACTTGTCACCACTGATGAAAACTCTTCCACAGCATACGTCCCATTAACAGTGGTCTCAAATGCCTTCCTAGAATAAGGACACCTGCTAGCACATGCTCCTCGCTACAGTTAGGCTAGAAGGATATAAAAATTACTCATCCAGAGTCAACTAATTAAAATCGTCTATATTCATCCTCATTAGGAAAAAAAAATTCTCCTCGAATTTCCAAGGCACATTTGGTATGAAATTAGTAACTTTTTCAATCCAAAGGCACATAAAAGGAGAGTCCCTCTAACTTCTAGGTCTTGCATAGTAGCAGGATTTCTTTGTTTTATAATGCATGATGATGTGATGAAGGACTTCTACAAGTTCTGATTTTGCATGTGTCAAACATCATTTTGATTAACAATGAGAGTTCTTAGTCTGTTAGGCATATTACAATCAATAATGACCACATTCCTGAAGATGTTCTTGCATAATGCTGACCTTTCAAGTCAGTCAGTTTTTTTCATACCTGCTCCGTGCAAAACAAGGGACACTCATTTTCTCTCTTCCTGTTCACCCATGTTATCACCCTAGCCCCCTATCACAAAAAGGGGGAAGAAATAAAATCCAAAATCTGAGAAATGGTTCCCTGGGTAGCTGGTGGTTTTGCTTCACACGGTTTTTCTAAAATGTCTGTAAATTCGAATAAATGTCTTTATCAAAAAGCCCATGATCAGGAATCGAACAAGAGACTCATGCCTGGGTGTCCTGTAATGCCTTGAGAAAATCAGAATAATGCTGGAAGTGACTAACACTTATGAAACACAGTGTCGGCCCCTCCCTGACTGCCCGGCCTCTCCCGTTTCCCTTTGGAGCCACCTGGGCAGCCCAGAGCCCCCTCTCTACCGGATGAGCCAGACGTAGCTCCTGACTTTGTAGAACCCACCGTGGAAGCTTCTGTGTTGTGTGTGTACGTGTGTGTGTTCAATCTCCTACCTGCTAGAACTCATTTTCGTTCTCAATCGAATTCTCTTTCAAACTCCCAGCTCAGTGTTTTGATTACTTACATTCTGCTGAGGGATTTTTGTGATACATTCTGGCATAGCACAGGTATTTTTAAACTCGTGTTTAACAGCAGAACTTTTTCTTCTAAATGAAGGCTGAAGCCAGAGCTGCTCTGATTGAGGTGGATTTGGGAGGCAGGGGAGGTGTTGCTGGCAAAACCTCTTGGCCTCGTCCCACTCCTGAGACTCTGGATTCACATTTTGGCCCCTAGCACCTTCTAACTCTGTGATCTCAAGCGAGTCACATGCGTGACATGGCGTGTGATGTGAAGAATTAGTGTCCTGCCTCAGCTGGCCTGGGGCAGTGACTGGCAGGTGTGGGTCTCCGTAAATGGCAGCACCCACCTTTATTATCCGTACTGGCTCTTTTTATTATTTCGCCGCTGTGGTCAGTTACTCCATCCTTCAGTGTATCCCAGCTATATCTGAAATTCTCCCAGCCGCCTTGCTCTCCCGTGTATAGGAGGGCAGAGGGCAGGGGAAGAGTCTCTGGAAGGGTTTGCAAAAGACGATGGGCAAGAAATGGAAAAGGGAGATTGTTGGGATAGAGATTGAGGAGAATAAAGGTTGTTCTTTTTAAAAAAGGAAGAGGAGAAGGGGGGGAGGGAGGAAGGGAGGGAAGAGCCAGGCCAGCAAACACAAGAAACAGGAATTATTGAGTGCCCCAGAGAGCCCAGAGCAGAGTGCTGACCTCACCTGCCATGACCTGCCATTCACGTTTCCTGCAAGGAAATACCTTATGTCAAGGTGGACAGGTAACATGGGGCAGAGATCACCTGTAGAATCTTCCTAAAGCCAACGTCCATCCCAGGAGAGTCGTAAGAGACAGAGAGAAAAGGAAACTTGGCACTCTCCTGCAAAGCAGTCATCTTGTCCCTCCTCTAAGGTCACCCTCTGCCAGTGTTACCCTCAGGACAAATGTCAGGTGATAGTACTTAGTTCTTTTGTGCACAGACTTCTAAGAAGTTCACAGCAGCAGCCGAGCCTGGGGGCAGAGAGGGTGGGTGGTAAGGCCTCCATGGCCCCCCGCCAGTTAGGAGAGCAGGGCCCCAGTGAAATGTCAGAATCAAATTCATTTCAGGATCAGATTCAGGATAATGATAGGATCCCAGATTGCCTGTGAACTGTCACCTGCTCTCCGATGTACTGCTTTTGACATTTGTCTCCAAAATCATTTGTCTGGCTAAGCAAATTTGGAATAGCATTTGGTGAGCCCTGCTTACAAAATCACGTCCCGATTCTGTGGCCCTCCCGGACTGCCGTGCATGCAGTACGTTAGACCTGCAGTTCCAGTGGGCCTCAGGAAAGCCCCCACGGGGACCCCTGGAATGCCTGGCGCCCACCCAAAGCCCTCATGCACTGCTGAGATCCCCAGCGGTGAGTCACTCAGTAGGGACACCAGAAAGGGTGGATAAGGGAGCGGAAATGAAAGTGGGCAGGGCTGCTCAGAACAGCAGCAACATCTGTCTGCGAGGCTGAAATCATTCTTTCATCTGGTTGTATGTTTTGACTCCACCTTCAAGTTCTCAGCACAGTTCAGCATGTTCCAGACCATCAAAGACCAGCTGGAGCAGCGGACACGGATCCTGCAAGCCAACATCCGGTGGCAGCAGGAAGAGCTCCACAAGATCCAGGAGCAGCTCTGCTTGGTCCAGGATTCCAACATGCAGGTGATGCCCCTTCCTGGGCCAGGGCCTGCCATGGTCTCTGTCTTCCCCACCACCCTGTGTCACATTTGTCCATCATTCCTGGGGGGAGTAGGACTCCCGCCAGAGTCCCCCTGTACTGCCCTAATGAGTCCTGCTTACTAAGCATATTGAAATCTCCAACACTAAGTACAAGGACTGAATCCCACCTCCTGCATCCCCAACTCCTGGCCAAACATGCACATCACATGACACCCTCCCCATTTACCCCTCTCTCTGTTGGGCACATAATGTCTACACATCCCCTGCGTTTTTATTCATGAGTGGTGGTTGATTGTCCTGCACTACTGCCGGCCTCCCTCCCGCGGGCTTATAAACTCCTAGCACCTGTATAACTGCCCCACTGCCGGTGGGGGACATGGACACAACCATGCTGTTGCCTCTCATCCAAAGCATTCATGCAGGCAGATATGGGAAATGATGAGATCTGCACCCTGCACCGAGGGGGACAGCGGAGGGACCCTGGGGGCTGGAAGTCAGCACCCTGACATCTCCGGGCCACCCCATTTGTGGCAGGCCGGTTGTGGCACTCTGCATGGTCTGACAACCGCAGCTTTTAACCATGACACCCTGCCCTGGATGTCGCTTCTCTGAATCCTTTTGGAAGATTGCCTTTGGAAGGAAAGCTGTATATATATATTAGTTCTCTTTCAAGGATAAATGATTTTTAACGAATTTCACTTGTATCAGTCCAAGACTGTTCTTCCCAAGCGCACTCTTTTGACCCAGGCTCTAATGGTGAGTGTAATTCCAGCTCGCCTTGGAGTCCGCCTCAGAGCTCTAGGCATTTGCACCCTCCTTAGGGGAGCAGAAGGAAGCAGGAGAGCCCCTTGGGCCATAGGACTGGAGCCCCGGGGGCCACGGGCAGCCCCCGAGCGGGCACAGCAGCCAGCAGGTGTGCGCTGAGCTAACGAGTGATGGGGCTGCGTTGCTGGGCAGCGGGAGGCACCTGCTGCCTGCCCTCCCGCCTCCCGGGCACCCCCCCAGGTGCTGCCCCTGCTCACCGCCCACCCCCCTTCAGAGGGCCAGCCCACAGCCGGCCGCACCCACAGGGGACCCGGGAGAGGACCACAGTGTTTACAGGAAAAGAAATGGAGTCATCGTGGTGTCAAAGTCCCCTTTTACTTATTCCTTCCCAGCTGTAATATTTTCTCACTGATCCAGGGCCCGATTGGCAGAACTTGCCTGACTCCAATTACTTGAATGGAATTTTTACACTAACAGGAAGGGGGAAATTAAGCCAGAAACTGCTAAAAGCAAGGTAGGCGTATGAACATCCTCCTCAGAGCCCGGGCTTTTCTATTTCCTGCCTTTTCCACATTCAAGCTGAATTCTAAAATAACAGGCAGCACAAGGTTATCTCTTTCACTCCTTTTTATGAAGAAGTCTGATTTTTTTTCCCTCATGACCAATGCATTCTGTTTCCCCCTGAAGTATATATTCCAACAGGGCACCTGAGTTTTGTAAGGGTTGATGTGGAAATCAAGACCTCCAGTGTGTTCCTTCCCTGATTTCGTTCTTGTGACCTTATCTTTGCAGTGGGATTTTCCAAAGAACATGGAAATCCATAGATAGTCCAACCAGAGAATGGTTCCTCCAGCAGTCTGCCTTCTTATAGTTTTACAAGTTTACAGATTTAAAGAAATACATTCCAAAATGTTTAACTAAAATGTGATATTCGTTTTTTAAAAAAACTGCATGGTTTAAGTATAAAGAACAAGCAAACAAAAATTACTCCACCCCTTCCCCCAGAAAGGTAGGAGTGGGGAGGAGAGATTAAATAAGAATGGCAAAACGTTGATAATTGTTGAAACCTAATGATAATATGTGGGGTTTAATTATGCCTCTATTTTGTGTATTTCTAAAATGTCCTGTGATAAGTAAGTATTGGCAAAAGTAGATTAGAATAATGAAAAACCACATGTGAGGATAAGATTGGTTTATTCATAAAAATGAGAAGCTTTTTTTTTTTCTCTGATAACTTTTTCTCTTTAAATGTGGAAACTGTTTTTCTCATATTTGTATGATGTTGACCCCGGTGACTTTTAAGAAGTCATGTTCCTAAGCCATAAAATCCTACATTATTGTGGATAAATCAGAGGCATGGATACGCACAGCAGCAAACCAGGATTGCCCCCCACAAAATCCTTTACCCAAATGTCGGTGGACTTTCCTACTTGACTTCAGTGCCCTGGAACTTTCATTGAGCCTATGTGTGCATGTGATGCTTGCTGAGTACGACTGGAGGAAAAATATAAAGATGGGGTTATGAGGGAGAAGTCCTCTAGGCTGTTGGTGTTTGCTCCTCGGTGGAGTCATGAAGGGAGCCACTTGGGAGAGCTGTTCTGGGGAAAGGCTGTTGTCACCCCCTGCAGTCCAGAGGAGGATGCCACTTTCTCTCTTTTTGAGAGTATGTGCGCCCTCTACTGGCTACTCAAAGAAATGCCCGGAAGGGCACCTGTAGCAACAGCATTTGAATTCCTTGATTAGTTGTTTCTTTTTTCTTTTTTTTAAGATTTTATTAATTTATTCATGAGAGACGCAGAGGGAGAGGCAGAGGCACAGGCAGAGTGAGGAGAAGCAGGCTCCCTGCAGGGTAGCCTGATGCAGGCTTGATCCCAGGATCCTGGGATCACGACCTGAACCAAAGGCTCAACCGCTGAGCCCCCCAGGTGCCCCTTGATTACTTCTTTCAGTCATCCATCTTTCTTTCCTTTCTTCCATCAATCCATCCATCCATCTATTCACCCATCATTCCTTCCTTCCATCTATCCACCTATGCATCCATCCGTCCTTCCATCCGTCTGTCCTTCCATCCATGCACCCACCCACCCTTCCTTCTGTCCCTTCATCCATCCCTCCACGGGCAGACACCCATTATGTATCCAGCTCTTGGCTAGGCACTGTGGGAATACAGAGATAGGCAGGAAAGGTAGAGGATGCCTTCTACCCTCAGAAGGCACACATCAGTGAGACAAAGTAGAAACCTAGCAGTCTCTGACATAACATGAGCAGAAATAATTTGCCTTTCTCTGAGCAAAAGCGTCATTTATTTATTTATTCATTTATTTATTCATTCATTCATTCATTTAATTCATTTATCTCTTAGACAGTTTCTCTATGCCCAAAGAGGCAAGGGAATGAAGAGCTCCTTTTTTCATTTTAAATATCGTCATTAACATTGAGCCCTATGTCTCAGAATAAATCTCATTTAATCCTTTAAGAGATATGTGTTGTTGATGTCAGTGTTTTATTAATGAGGAAACTAAAGCTTTGAAAAGCCATGAAAATTGCCCAAGGTCACACCAGTAGTGGTGGGGTTGGAATCTGAACTAAGCTGTGATTGAAGCTACATTATACTGCCTGTCATAAATAAAGGTTGCATTTACTTGAAATCTAATCAGAAGGTAAATTGTACCCTACCAGAGAAATGTATGTTATGTAATTTGAGTGTCGAGTTTTTTGCTGAAGTGATGAAATGTAGGTCACCATGTGTGTTATAAATAAGCCATATTATAATAGGTAGCTGGGAACCCATAAAGTGTCAATCCCCCAATGGAATCTGTGATGATGGATACCCAGAAAATTCTTCTTAACTTCTAAAGTGACAAAGAGCTCTCATGCAAAACTTCCCTGATGGAGGTGGGGTGTGACTGGACAGGAGGGAGATCGGGGGTGGGGGAGGTGGTGGGAAGGGCACCAGGTGGGAACCTGGTCCAAGTCAGCCCCCCACCCACCTCCGGCCTCTGGGAGGCAGCTCAACCTCACCCATGAGGCACACGCTTGAACTGACTGATCCCGAAGAGCTCCTGCAAGTGTCTGCTTGGTGTGGTTCTACCCCTGCCTCTCCATGATCACTCTGTCACTCGGCAGGTGTCAACGTGTCCGTTCTGTGCTGGTTTGGAAGTGGTACTGAGCTGAGTACGGGAAGGGGGGTTAAAACCCCAGATGCTGGAAGGAAGAGGGCCTCCCTCCTGAAGAGCTCAAAGCTCCAGGCCTAGAAAGCCTAGATTCTTGCTGCTTGGCAAGAATCCAATATATTAGATAATGTTAGTTTTCAATGCCCACAGGACCTTTGGTTGAAAGAGCTGGTCTTAGGTTTAAATTATGATAAAAAAGTATTAAAGTTGTTCTTCTTAAGCCTTTAGAGTCAATTTACAGATTACATTTTATTTACAAATCTACTAATTTGGCCTAAAAGTAGCAGTGCTTTTACTTTTTTATTTATGTTCGGTTAATTTATAAATTTAACAGATTGTAAATAATCAGCATTATCTACAAAAGCCATTAATCTGCAAGTTCATTATATCTAAATCCTTCAAACATTTCATGTGCCTAACATGGCAGACATGTAAACTTAAGAAGTGAAATCTTTGTAAGCACTTAACCAATTTCTTTAAACCAAATACACCGGGGATGCCTGGGTGGCTCAGTGGTTGAGCATCTGCCTTTGGCTCAGGGCGTGATCCTGGGGTGCTGGGATCTAATCCTGAATCAGGCTTCCCTCGGGGAGTCTGCTTCTCCCTCTGCCTGTGTCTCTGCTTCTGTGTGTGTGTGTTTCTCATGAATAAATAAATAAAAATCTTAAAAATCAAATACACCAAACTTACAAATGAAGTAGATCAAGATTCTCATAAACCCTCATTCTATAAACTTGATCAAATTCTCTTAAGCCTTTCAAATGAAGATTGCCAGGCTAATGTATCACATCTGCCTTCCTGGGGATGGAGAGTCACCCAATTAATGGGAGTCACCTAATTAACCGGTTGAAGATACCAACCAACCACAATGTGGGTTCACACCTGGGTCAGTGGCCTGGTCCTGCTGCCAGGATGGTGCAGCCTGTGGCACAGGTTAGCCCACCCTCTGCCACTGTGCATTCCATTCACGGGATATTTCTCTCTCCTTGTAAGAAACTGATAAGCCAGCCCAGACTCTATACAAGTATGTCAAGTTTTTTATAAGTCATCCGGGTCTAAGCATCTCTCATACTATTAAACCTCCATCACTGGCCTGTAACATTCTTGATGCCAGGGTCAGTGTCCTGCCAACCCACTGCTCCATCTCCAGGGCCCTTGCCCTGTGCTTGTAGCATCACAGCACCTCATGTCCCCATGTTGAGTGAATGACTTCTTCCCAGGCAGGTCAGAGAGCAAGAAAGCTGACCTCTTGCCATGGATAGAGAATACGAAGAAGGTGCAGACACTTTGAGGTGCAAAGGCAAACCCCTGAAAGTGAGGGCAGGTGATCCCCACCTTAAAGGCACTCCTGTTTTGCTTCCAGATGTTTCTGCAGCAGCCAGCTGGCTCCCTGAGCTTCAGCAGCGCCCCGCGGCCCGAGGCTCCACAGCAACTCCAGCAGAGGTCGGCCCCCGGCTCCCAGTCCCAGCTCGTGGCCAGCCCCCAACTTCCAGGGCAGATGGCCTCTGCCCAGGTGGCCAACCAGCACCTGCTCAGAGAATCCAGTGTGATATCAACCCAGGTGAGTGTGCTCGCCTTCACACACAGACCGGGGGCACTGGAGTCCTGCAGTCTCCCTGAACCCGACACCTACCGAGCCATTCCTCTGGGACCAGGGCTGGATTATGGTGGGGAAGGGTTTTCCTTCCTTTATTCTAAGTCACTTCAAAGCCCCACGTTGTACTAGTTTCCTCCTGTGTCTTGTTAATATGTTAAAATACCTCAAAGGTATCCTGCCCCTGAAACATTCAGCTTTGATCCTGACCAGGCTTGGAGGGAGATGTGGACACCCAGACACTCACACTGACAGCCATATATCCCCATGTGTGTCCTCAGGCCTCATCTTCTGCTTCTGGTTTTAACCAGTGTGAGAACACAGGCTGTCCACTTCTGCTCACTGCCCCTTCCCTGGGGCCAGCATGCCCCTCCCCTGGGGCCAGCATGCCCCTCCCAGTCCCCCAGATTCCCCCCAAGCCCTTCCCTCATAGCCATTACCACGTCCTACGAGCCACCACTGACCTGGCCATCTGACAGTCACTGGTCAATAAATGGCACTTGAATGGAATTCAGAAGTCCTAAGCTTCTGCTTCTGGAAGATCAAAGGTTGGAAGGCAAGATATGGCCTCTCCTGAAGCCTCCTACTGGCATATGTAACCATGGGTTCACCATCCCCCAGGGGAACAGAGATGAAGAAGGCCGGTCTTGACTCCAAGGAGCGTCTAGTCCCATGGGGCCACTGGGCGTGTAAATAGATAATGTACAACGAAATGCAGAAAAAGTACACATTTCAGAGTTTGGCCCATCTTCAGGGTTTTTTTATTTAAAACGCAGCCTTTTGCTTCTAAAGGTCAAGAGAAAAATTAATGAGGATAGCCAAAAAGAATCTGGGAAAGAAAAAGCTGAGGCAGGACCTACACTAACACTGAAAAATTCCATAGACGCTCAAAGAGTTAACACACCATGGCACCATCATATGAATGGACAGTCAGCGAAACAGTGGAAAACCCAAGAAGCAAAAGTCCAAGCCCGTGCCCTCATTCATTTATGATTTCACCCAACAAGTATTTGTTGAATGCTCACCGCATGCTAGTAGCACTAAGTTCTAAGCACTGAGGGACAGCAGTGAACAAAAGAGAAAAGGAGAAAAAAGAAAGAAAGGCATCTCTGATCCAAGTCAGGAGAGAGAGAGAGGCAAACAAGTGAAGATGACCACCTGCCAAATGGTGATGCGGGGACACTGGTCAAGGTGGGGGATGGGCTGGAGTTTTAAATAGGTGGCCTTCAAATAAGTAAGTAAGTAAGTAAATAAATAAATAAATGGCCTTCTCTTTGAGAAGATAATATTTGAGCAAGGACCTGAGGGGATGAGAGAATGAACCATACTGGTATTAGGGGGAAGAGCATTCCATGTGGAGGGATCAGCCAGTGCAAAGGCCCCGAGGCAAGTGTAGTCCTGGTGACTTGGAGAGAAACAGCAAGGAGGTCCACGTGTCTGGAGTGGAACTGGTGAAGCAGAAGGTAGTTGAGCTCAACGCACATTGCCCTTGCCTGCTGAGAGCCTGACACTGTTCTGGGCCCACGGGATTTAAAGAATCCTTGAGGTGCTTACGATCCAATGGAAAACAGTCACAAGGGGATCCCTGGGTGGCTCAGCGGTTTAGTGCCTGCCTTCAGCCCAGGGCGTGATCCTGGAGTCCCGGGACTGAGTCCCACAACGGGCTCCCCGCATGGGGCCTGCTTCTCCCTCTGCCTATGTCTCTGCCTCTCTCTGTGCATCTGTCATGAATAAATAAATAAAATCTTAAAAAGAAAGAAAACAGTCACAAGATCAGAAGAGTTTTTTAAAAGGTGGGTTTTAAGTTAGAGGAAGGGCTAAGGTGGGTAGAGGAATGGGCTTCTGGGGAGGGTTCCTGGAGAGATGAGTCCAGAGTTGAGTTGAAATTTTACCTTTCTCATTAACCCCATTGCTCCAGGGCCCGCGGCCAATGAGAAGCTCACAGATGATGCAGGGCAGCGGCCACTCGGTGAGCACCCTGACGCCCCAGTTCAGCAGCGCCGCGGCCGCGCTCCCGCCAGCTCTGAGCCTGACCACGCTCGCTTCTGCCTCCCAGGATGGCAGCCAGTGCCAGCCCAGCCCAGACTTCAGCCACGATCGGCAGCTCAGGTACAGAGACGGCCCTTGTTTAAAAGACGGCCGAGGGGCGGCTTCACGGTGACCACTTGGGCCTCCCCGCTGCTGAGGGTGGAGGCAGAGCTCAGGGATCCCAGCCAACAAAGTGGCGAGAGGTGAGGGCCCGGATGGCCGCCCTCCGTCCTCGGAGAGCAGAGCGGGTGCCGCGGGGACGGGGCAGCCAGGTGCGCCCAGCGGGCCGGCAGGTGCTGCCGTCGCGGGGCTACGGTTCGGCGCTGATTCGAGTTTCCCGTTTATCTCCCCGCTGCTGCAAGGCTGCTGCTGAGCCAGCCCATCCAGCCCATGATGCCTGGGTCCTGTGACGCGAGGCAGCCCTCAGAGGTCAGCAGGACTGGACGGCAAGTCAAGTAGGTGGCCCCGGGTGGAGGGAGGAGGCAGAGAGCCGCACTGAGTGCGCTCGGGCTGGCGGGGCGCCCATCGCCCGGACCGGCGGCGCTTCTGGTGGCGTCGTGCTAAAGGCAAGGTCAAAGTGTGCCCACGCCCTTTGCAAGGACACCCCCGGAGCTCTTCTTCCCTCTCCCACTGGAGAAGACCGCACTGTGTGTCAGCAGTCCATGCTTAGAACAGGAGCTGGAGGGAGCAGTTCAGTACATCCCCCGTCGTCCTCTGCAGACGTCTTAGGGGTCCTTCCTCCTTGGTGATACCCCAGGTAAACGGAGCCTGGTCCCCTTCCCCAGGGCCCTCCCGTGGCTCCATCTGAGAGCTGGCTGGCTCTGTGGTTCTGGCACCGAGCCACCCGAGTGTGACCCCCTGCACATGTGGGTCCTCCTCTCCTCCCCGACATGTGACCTTCTCCTTTCCCCGGACTCTCGGCCGCTTGCAGCCCCCACGTCCAGAAGCAGCTTTGCTCTCCTATTACTTTCATTACTCAGCACAACCAGTGCTGGAAGATACAAGAGCGAATACTAGAGAAGCTACTGGAAAATAGTTCCTGGCTCTTTGACGTGAGGCCGAAGTAGAGCTGTCTCACCCACGTCTTTCTTGTATAAACACTGGTTGAGTGTGTGTCAGAAGTTTGCTGGGACAGTGGCACCTAATGAGGCCTGGCACGCCCCCATGCAGAGGCCTTGCAGCCACCCCCGGGACAGGCCCCTAGACGCACTTCCTCCTGGGTCCGCCTTCAACCAGCAAAAATAGAAGCAGCAGATGGTCACTGAACATTTCTGAGGGGCCGGGGCCTGTACCTGCAGCATTTAATTTAACCCCGATGAAAACCCCGTGAGGGCGAGACAGGGAATGTGCACTTTGGGAGGCCGCCTAGCGATCTCTGATGGTGCTCTCCATTACACAAAGAACCTGGTTACGTTGTTTTCCAGAGATGCTTCAAATGCAGTGAACTAGGCAAAAAAAAAAAAAAAAAAAAAGGAATTCTTTGCTCTGGAACTCTAACTGCCATTGTTGGTCAACCCAACAATTTCTACCCTCCCTATCTCCTCTGCTGTCTCTTGGAGAGATGACCTAGTGCCCCATCTTGTTACAAATGGCGCAGAGAGAAATGACATTTTCAAAGGTGTAACTCAAAATGGACTTCTCTATAGTGTCTTTAAACATCTGTTCCTAGTCTGCACTCCTCCAGAGCTTTCCTGAATGGCCTTCCTCTGCCTCTCGTTCATGGCCCATGATCATCAACACCTCTGTTCTTTTTTAATTTGCTTAATTGTGGTAAAATATGTACATAACAGAGATTTTACCATTTTAACCATCTTCACGTGTACAGTTCGGGGCATTAGCCATCACCGCTGTCTTCATCTTCTGAAGCTGAAACCCTGAACCGCATTACACGCTAACGCCCCGTTCCCTCTACCCTCCAACCCCAGTCTGCTTTCTCTTATGAATCCGACTCCTCTAGGAATCTCATCTAAGAGGAGTCCCGCGGTATTTGTCCTTTGGGATTGGCTTACTCCACTCAGTGTAATGTCCTCAAGGTTCATCCATGCTCTAGCATGTGTCAGAATTTACTACCTTTTTTTTTTTTTTTTAATTTTTTTTTTAATTTATTTATGATAGTCACAGAGAGAGAGAGAGAGAGGCAGAGACACAGGCAGAGGGAGAAGCAGGCTCCATGCACCGGGAGCCCGATGTGGGATTCGATCCCGGGTCTCCAGGATCGCGCCCTGGGCCAAAGGCAGGCGCCAAACCGCTGCGCCACCCAGGGATCCCAGAATTTACTACCTTTTTAAGACTAATATTCCATCATAGGTATATACCATATTTTGCTTATCCATTCACCCACTGATGGATACTTGGGTTGCTTCTACTTTTTGGCTATTGTGAAGGATGTTGCTAGGAACAAGGGTTGTACAAATACCTGCTTGAGTCCCTGCTTTCGTCTTCTCTGGGGTATATACCCAGAAGTGGAATTGCTGGATCGTATGGTAATTCTATGCTTCATTTTTTGAGGAACTGCCATCCTGTTTTCCATAGTGGCTGCACCATTTTACATTTCTTTTTTTTTTTCTTTACGTATTTTTTAGAGAGAGAACACGAGGTGGGGAGGGGCCAAGAGACAGGGACAGAGAGAGAATTCCAAGCAGGCTCCATGCTCAGCACAGAGCCTGACTTGGGGCTCCATCTCACAACCCTGAGATCATGACCTGAGCTGAGATCAACAATCAGATGCTCAACCAACTAAGCCACTCAGGTGCCCCCCATTTTACATTTTTATCAGTTTACAAAGGTTGCAATTTCTCCACATCCTCATCGATACTTATTATTTTGTTTTTGTTTTCTCATGATAGCCATTGTAATGGCTATGAAGTAATAGTTCATTTTGATTTTGATGTGCAGTTCCCTAATGTCTAAGGATGTTAAGCATCTTTTTTTTTTTTTTTTTTGGCTCCTTGGCCATTGATATCTTTTTTTTTTTTTTGAAAGAAATGTTCAAACCTTTTGCCCATCTTTTTTTTTTTTTAATTTCATTTATTCATGAGAGGCAGAGACATAGGCAGTGGGAGAAGCAGGCTCCCTGCGAGAAGCCTGATGCAGGACTCGATCCCAGGATCACAACCTAAGCCAAAGGCAGACACTCCACTGCTGAGCCGACCAGGTGCCCCTGCCCATTTTTTTAATCAGGCTACTTTATTGTTGTTTTTTAGTTGTAGGATTTTTTTTTTTTTTTGAAAATTCTGGATAGCAATCCCTTGTTAGATACATGATTCACAAATATTTTTCATAGGTGGCCTTCTCAATCCCTGGATCGTGTCCTTTGATGCACCAAGGTTTTTGATTTTGATAAAGTCCAGTCTATCTGTGTGTCCTTTTGTTGCCTGTGCTATTGGTGTCACATCAACACCGCTTTCTTAAAAGTGTTTTCTCTTTCCCCCATGTGACCAAACAGGTATCCACAGAGCCAAGCCGTGTTTCAAAACGCAGACATGCGCACCACCAGCAGCAGCACCTCGCCCCCCGTCCTGCTGATGGGACAGGCAGTGCCCCAGCCCAGCTTCCCCACCTCCCGGCAGTCACCCCTGCAGCCCGCACAGGCCCAGCAGCAGCCACAGCACTTCCTGCAGGTGGGTGCCACCACACACACACACACACACATACACACACATACACACACACACACACACACACACACACGCTCGGGCACAGGGCCCACGCCACAGCTCAGGCCTGACCGGCCTTTCTTTCCCCCCTGGCTTTCAGAATGGTTCTAATCCTTGGTTCTGAAAGAAGCTCCAGACAGAGTTGCATTTGAATCTTTCTAATTTATGAAGTTTATAATACTTACAATTTCCAAAGCCTAGGTATATTTGGTATGAGAAATTTAGACCCAGCTATTATGCCTCATATGGTTATGTGCTCAAAAGATCCAGCTTTAAAAAGTAATTTTTATTATGGTGTCCATATTTTTGAGAGCAAAAATCAGACACCAATCACGGTCTTTGTCAGACTCTGTGTAGGTATGTTTATAAACAAAGTCTTATACAAATGCAAATTAAATCATGTTTAAAGATTCATTGAACTTGCTTGATAAATACAATAATGTGGCACAAAGGTGGGACTTCCCAGGAAAATGTGGCGCACGTTTACAAGTGGTGACTATTTCCTTTAAGGAAGTGCCAAATAAGCTAGAAGGAGGCAGGGTGAGAGCCAGGGGCTCGCGTTCAGATGGGACAGAAGTGTCTGCTCAGGCTCTGGCCTTCCCTCCAACATATACCAGGAGCACCCCTTCCTGCTCCAGCCCTGACCCTGTCTTTTGCACATCCCCCCTGGTCTCCTGTCCCTACCACAGGGCTGAGCAGGGCTTTTCCTTCACTCTGCCTACCCTGCTAGGGCACCATCAAAGCCACAGGAGAGTGTTGTGACTGAGACATTTTAAGGACAGTGGGATAAAGATGAAAAGAGTCATCCTTGAAGGTCTTGAATGCAATTTAATTCCAAAGATGCTAACCCATCTGTGATACACTTTTCAAAATTCCCTGGCCTCGGGCATAGTGGCAGTCAACTCAAGATGTCAGCTTTGCATATCTTGTCATTTTGCAGGACTCAAGTGATTTCATATGGGTGCAGGTGAAGTGAGAAGGCAGGGATGGCCTGGGCAGACTTAGACTTAGAGGTCCCCTGAGCCTTTCTTCAGCCCTGGCAACAAACATGTGTACACGGCCCTGTTCCTCCAAGACATGGGGCTCAGAATACACAGAGCATTTGGGCCTTCTCGCTGGCCTCAGGGGCCTCATGGGGCAGTGTGGGGAGATAGCGGCTGGGCTCTGGGTTAGTGCCAAGTGAGAGCACTGAGGCTGGCAGCCTTTGTAGGGGAAGGTCCCGGGGTGACCTGCTGCAGAGCCAAAGCCCTATGGTTGAAGTAAATGGAGAGGAAGGGACAGTGCTCCAGCAAGAGTGGAGGAGCAGGTGTGCCCGGGGTACACTGGGTGGTTTGGATGGAGGAGAGTCCATGGATGGGAATACTGGGAGATGGGACTGAAGAGGCTCCAAAGTTAGGGTGTGACCAAGTGAAGTTTCTGAACTTCAAATTAGTATGTCCCCCCTGTAGATGCTGGCCAATGGTCATATTTGAGAGTAGTTACAGAATCAGGGACTGTGGTGAAAAGTATGCAGACTGCATGTGTGTTGGGTGTCTGGCCTGTCAGTTATCTGCATGTGGTCTCAGGGTCCCACATCCCAAAATATATAGTCATGCATAGATCATGTGACCCCTTTAGGAAGCCACGCCCCAAAGCCTGGTCCCTGGCCCATTGCCCCAAAGGAACCCCCAGCACTGGCAGAGAGCTTGGCTTCCGAATTCACAGCCATCTGGCAGGGCTTCGGGCTCCTTTGTTCCCCACGCACCCACCCCCAAGGTCCTGCTACCAGGAGACACTCCCCTCCCCAAGCCATGGAGGGGGAGGCCCACAGCCTTTATCTTTTCTTTCCAGGTACAGGCACCAAGCTCTCTGCACAGTGAGCAGCAGGACTCACTCCTTCTCTCCACCTACTCGCAGCAGCCAGGGACCCTGGGCTACCCCCCACCCCCGCAGCCCCCACGCCCTCCCCGAAGGGTCAGCGGCCTCTCCGAGTCCTCGGGCCTCCAGCAGCCACCCCGGTAGTGCCCTGGAGCCTCAGCCCAGGCACAATCAGCTTTAACCAATGGACAGACCATGGGGGTGGCCAGAGGAATTGGGGAGAGGAGTTTAAACCCTCGGCTTTTGTGCACACTGCATACATTTCAGAACTCCTGGAAGCTAACCGTCTCCAGAGAGCAGTGGCTGGCATGTGGAAAGTGATCAGGATACTGGCCGTGTTTCCCTTGCCTCTGTTTCTCGGGCACACTCTACAGCCAGACTCGGACAGGAACCGAGGGCCCCACGTAAGTGTCGTTACTCAGTTTACTCAGCAGATGGCACGTCTCGCTGCGTCCCTCCCGAGAGCGCACGGGTCCCTCTAGCCGGCTGTGGTCTGTCCACACCTGCTAGCTGCTGGCCTTCACTCTCTTGATCCTCTTTCCTTGGCATTCGAGAAGCACTGGGTCAGAGATCTGTTGAAGAGAGAGAATAAAAAGATTATTTTTCATTATTTTTAAATGGCTGTTTTTGTTTTAATTTGCACAGCTGCACAGAGGAAATAACTTAGGCACTTTCAGGTTTTAAAAATAATAAGGTCTCGTGACTTCACTTGGAGACAGCGGGGAACAAAAAGAGCCCACCAATCTGATGGCAGAGCCGGTCGGCAAGAACCAGGCCGCAGACCCCCGCCCTCTGGCCTGAAACCTAATGGAAGGCGGCCCTTCCTGGTGATTAGTGTTTCCCCAAAATATAACACTGGACTGTTCCTGTTTACTTCGTTGATTGCGACTGCAGAGGCGGCCTCAAAGCAAAGCACAATCACAGCAGCTGATATTCTGGAATTCTGTTGAGACAGAACAGGAGTAACAGGTGTCTCGAGCCAGGCAGGCCCGTTGGAACTCCAGGTCCCCAAGGAAACCCCAGCAGGCGCCGGCCCCTGAGTCAGAATGCTGCATCTTTCTACAGATCTTTCATGAGGAGACCGAGGATTGGATTGTCCTTTTCAAAATGCACTTTGCTTTTTTTGTATGTTTTGTTGAGATGTTTCTAAAGAAGAGATTTTATGTAATTAAAAGACGAAGTGTAGTGAATTGTACAGCTGTTGTAATAATGACCTATTTCTATATAAAATAAAATTGTATGGATTATGTGTAAATTATTTTGTATCTGAGACACCAATTCCTTTCCCAGATATAAAAGTATAAAAGTTTTCTCGTGTTTTTCTGTGAGTGGACATTTTGTAATAAATTAACAAATTTGTACGATTTCCTCTGGAGGCAGTTTCTGTCCCTTGTTATATATGCATGCATATATCTTTTCTTCATTTTTTTTTTTTTAAATTTCAAGACGTTTCTAAGGATAGTTGAAGGTACAGAAAAGGTGGAAGCCAGCAATGAAAAAACCAGGTAATGGCCTTAGGTTTTTTGAGCTGCAACATGTACACCAGCCCATCAGGGTCCTGACCTGCATGATTAAAGGTTGTGCCAGAGAAAAGCAGTAGTTCACTGTGAAGATGACAGCACAACAAACAGAAACAGAAGCAGCTCCTGGAAACATCCCAGCCTGGTAGACATAGGGAGTCTGTGGAGATGACGGAGACTTTCTGCATCAAAGCAGTCCCAGCCCATAATTAAAGTCACCTGGGCTGGAGTTCATGGGCTCCAGCTGCCAAGCAAGCACTTAGAGATCAGTGATGCATGTGGGGTGTGTATGTGTATGGGGGGGTATACACATGTTGTGCTGATGGGGGCAGATATAACAGCAGCATCTAGGAGGTTTCTGCCAACTATAGACATGCCCCCTACTTTCCCACGAGGCTTCATCACCATGATGTGAGGGATGCCCTGGCAGTGATGGAGAATCACTGAGATGGTGGTGCTCAGCACAGCCTTGCCACAAATGTTGGTCCAAGAGAACAAAGTTCTTTTCTTCGTTCCATCGCGGTAGCTCTGTGCTTCTACCTGCTTCCCTGTGAAATTCTATGACAAGGATTTCTGTTCTATGACAAGGATCACTCTTGGATGGCATGAGAGGCTATACATACAATATCATCAAAAAGGAGTTTCAGTTTCACACACTTGTATTCCAGAAAAAAGGTAAGTCTAAATGTTTTGCATGCATTTGGACCATTTATTCTTTAAAGGAACCAGAAATGAACCCTCTGTTTACTTATTCATGTATTTATTTATTTAAGAGAGGGAGAGGAAAGGGGTGCAGAGAGGGTGAAAGAGAATCCCAAGCAGGCTCCACGCCCAGCACAGAGCCCAAGTCCGACTCAATCCCACAACCCTGAGATGATACCTGAGCCAAATTCAAGAGCTGGATGCTTAACCAACTGAGCCACCCAGGCAGCCCATTGACCCCTCTTATAACACAAAAGGTCTGGAGGTGCCTGGCAAACTCAGTCAGTGGAGCATGTGACTCTTGCTCTTTGGGTCAAAAGTTCACACCCCATGTTAGCCATGGAACCTACTTAAAAGGAAATTGAAATAAAAATGTAGAGGCTGCTTTTAGGCAAACAGTCTTGAGCAGTGGAATGTAGAAAGAAATGCATAGTGACCTCCTGACTGAATACAGGCCCCATCAGGTGACCCACCTCAAAATATCCAAAGGCCCTAATTAACCAATGGGCTACTTACCAAAAAAAGGAAAATTTTCATACATCACCATACCTTCTCCCTTTCTCTCTAGAAACAGCCCCCACGCAATACCTCATTGCAGACAGCCTCGCCTTTGCTGTCCTCCCCGTTGCTCCCTTGCCATTTATTCAGTAAACTTCTCTTTTGTTCTTAGGCGAATCCGTGCCTCTGGCTTCCACAGATCATCGCCCCACATTTGGGGGCCCCCATACAATCAGGAGACACCACCACATTTAGACACCACAAAATAATCTTTGTGAAACTCGATTAAAATAGGAACTGTTTTGTAAATTCAAAGGTTTAGAAATTTGATCTTTCTGTAATTGTATTTTAATTGGCTGTTAGAATCCCTAAGTGAAACAAGATTTTTGATGGAAACAGCATATTCATTGTCCTAGAATTTTATAGCTGGAAGCCATCGAAAGAGGGTGGAGTATAGCATGCTACTAAATTTAATTCAGCATTGCTTAAATCTTAGACATGTTCAGAATCTGGATAAACTCTGAAAACTCTTTATTGTGCAACATTTCTTTAAACCCACATAACAGCAGGGGAAGTTTAATTCCTAAGCTTTTGATTCATTTAATTCGCTCATTAAAAGGTTGTTTTGCAATCCTTTTTTGTTTCCAGAAAAACCATGACCTTTTTCTTTGGAAAACTGTAAAGTCTTGGCTCATGAGAAGCAGCTGAAATGCACCTTGGAATATACGAGTTTTGGAATGCTGCTACTGGACACATCTTCCTTTAGCACCTGCCTTCTGCACCACCACACCCTCTTCATCTTAAAATCTTCCAGTGGCTTTTCTTAGAACCGACCAGCTTAGTCCAGCACAAATCTGACCCAAGGTACCCTCCAGCACTTTAGGGTTTGTGCCCCCTCGAGACTGGGGTCTTCTTCCTTGCTGCCCCCAGAGGAAGCATTCAGATCCTGTCTCTTTTTAAGGTAAAAAGACATGGGACAGAAGTGCAGCTAAATACTGGTGACTTAAAAAGAACACAAAGTTCATCTTAAAGGTGGTCTCTGGGAGGCCAGCAGGGACTGGCCTGACCCCGGAGGTTTGGCTGGGAAGAAGCTGGAAGAGCTTGCAAGGCTAGACTAAAACAGGAGAGCCCTAGCCAGGCTGATGATAATCGGTCCTTCAAACCAAATGGTTTTTATTATTTGTCTGTTCCACTTTTCCTTAAAGCAGCATAGCCGAGAGGGACGTTTTGTCGATTCCCACTGGAGGGGTCATTTGCTTGAAATTTCACAACTTTTGAGATACAAAAAGATCCTAAAATGTTTCGGAGGAAATAACACAGATCACAAAGGATGACGACACGTAACAGTAACCACACTGAAAGAAGATAATGGAGAATGCCTTCAAAACACTACGGAGAAATTATTTTCAACCTGAAATTCCATACAGGTCAAAGTATTCATAAATTTGAGGGTTGACAACTCTCAACTTCCCTGTCTTATGCCACTAAATGGTGTGCTCCTGGGAAGTAAGGGAGTTCATCAAGAATAAAGAAAACACGGGTCCATGGATCCAGGTGACTGTCTTACGATCCCCGGGTTGGTGACAACCAACTAGGTCTCTCGGAAGCTCTATAATGATCCCTCTGGGCACGTCCCCAGGGGTCCATGTCACCTCTCACATGGTATCTAAGCTACTTGTCCAACCCAACTGCCAAGTGCTTCCTGAGATCCTTTGCCTTTTGTTCCCCCCTCTACGTCTTCTCCCAGCCTTCATGCCCCAAGCGACAGCATAGGGGGAAAGCCACCATCCCCATACTCCCTTACTCTGCCCTCATCTGCTTGCTTCCCGCTCCCCATCGCTCCAATAGTCAAAGTTGCTAAAATCACTGATCCTCTCCTGTTTGGAGAACCTAATAGGTACATCTCAGTTTTTGCTTTACTTGAATTCTGTAGCATTTTTTTTTAAAAGATTTCATTTATTCACGAGAGGCAGAGAGAGAGGCAGAGGGAGAAGCTGGAAGGCCCGATGTGAGTCAGAGGCAGCCGCTCCACCGCTGAGCCACCCAGCCCTCCCCGACTCTGCAGCATTTAGAACTTGTTGACCACTCTGGCTTCCTTCTTACTTAGACTATTTTCAAATAAAGTCCTTTGCTACTGCTCTAATGACAGATTGCTAGCGTCTTCCACCCCTGTCCCCACACCTCTTAATTGTAGTGAGTCCACGCTGGTCTTCTCTCGCCAAATCCTCGTGATTTTTACCTCCTTGCATCTATAAAACCCTTTTTGCTTCTTTCTAATCCCGCTGCAACTGCCTTAGTTCGGGCCCTCCCGACCTGTCTTTCTCCTAGTTTCCACCGCTACTATCTTGGCCCGCTGCTCTTCCTCTATTCTTCACAGTGTAGCTGAATTCTACAACGAATCGGACCACGGCAGTGCCCTCCGGATTCATCACTCTCACACTGCAACGCTCGGCCTGGGAGGCCCTAGGAAGCCGTCCCGCTTCCGGCCGTCCGCCTGTCTGGCCGCACCACCTCTCTGCCCATCCTTCGGCGCAGCGCAAGCCCCCCTGCTTCCGCCCCCGCCCCCGCCCCCGCCCCCGCCGTGCCCGGGCCGGTCACGACCCTCGGGAGGCTGCACGGTCCAGGACGGCAAGCGCTCGGGCTGCGGCGCATCCCTGCTCGGCGCGGGCACCACGAGGCCGCAGGTGTCTCCGACTTCCGTGGGGCCGCCAGCCAGTCGCGGCTGGGCGCGCCGCTTCAGCGGACGGTGGCCAGTCGCTGAGAGAACAGGAAAAACAAAGAAGCGCCTTCCTCCCCGGGCCCTGTTCCCATCCGGCAGGGGGCCTGGCTCTTAATTCCTCCGAAGGTTTAGGGCAAGAGGCGAGACACGCGGCCGCGCCCTCGCAGCTCGGAGGCGGGAACAAGGCGGCTAGAAGCCGGGGCCGAGAGCGCGGCGGAAGTGCGCAGCCGCGACCCGCCCCGGCCCCGCCCCCGAAGGGCGCTCGCTTTCCCCCCGGCGCGCGCGCCGCTGACGTCACAGCCCGGCCTCTCTCCGCTTTCCAGCGCCTCCAGGCGACCCGGAAGTTGTACTTGCGACGCCGCTTTCCCTCTCCCACAATACCACGCGCCCTTCCTTTCCAACTAGGGCCCGGCAGAGTGAGTATGGGCGCTGGGTCCCGGCCTCAGGAATCTGGTTCCATCCTGGCTCCGCATTGTGCTGGTCGGGGCAGCGAGCCTTCTCGTGGGCCGGCCCGGGACTCCGCGTTCCGGGGGCACGGGAATGCGCGCCGTTTAGGGCCTCCCGGAGCCTGGGAGGGACACTGGCCAGGTTTAGGGGAACCGAGCTGCCGGGGTTTCCGGGGCGGGAGCACCTGAGGGGCGCGGAGGCTTTGGCCGCGGGGTAGCCTGCTTGGCTTCGCCCAGCCCTGGGGCTTCAGGTGCCGGGCCGAGCCCTCTGCCCCCGGAAGCGGCCCGAGGGTGGCCGCGTGAGGCCAGGCTCGGGAGGAGGGAGGACTTGGCCCGTGTCGGGCTCCCTCCGCTTGAGCTTCCTTGTCGCTCGGTTTAGATGGCTCCCGCAAAGAAGGGTGGCGAGAAGAAGAAGGGCCGTTCTGCCATCAACGAGGTAGTGACCAGAGAATACACCATCAACATTCACAAACGTATCCATGGAGTGTGAGTATCCCCGCGGGCGGCCGGGTGGTTCAAGGGCTAGGTGGTCTGGAAATTAGTCGTTTCTTCTTCAGAAGCCCGGGTCTGTATTCCATGGCCCCTGTGTAAGGCTTATAAGGTTTAAAGTATAACCCTCGGAGGTGAGTGGCTGGAAAAATGAGATTGATGGAATGGTATTGGGGAGAGCCAAGTGGGCGGAACTTGGTGGCGGTAAAAACCATTTCACTCTGCTTTGCAATGGAGTCAGCCCGGGCGGGCTGAAGGGTAAAAGGTGTGTGTAGGAAGGAAAGCAAGCTTGTAAAAATGTCTCTAGGCTCCAGTAAAGCTAATCAGTTAGCTAAAAACTGTCTCCCGCTCAAGGTGTGAACACTTCGAGGAGATTACGTACAATGACGCCAGAAGTGAGACTTCAAAAAAAAAAAAAAGGAGAATGTACCCGTGGAGTCACGGGGCCGTGTTTGTGTGAAGGACACGTGGCTGTGTGATGTACAAGAACGTTGGGAATGGTTTTGAATGTCGTAGTTCTGGGGGTTATTTGTCTAGGGTTTGGTTTTTAGTTTTTTTTTTTATTTTTTTTATTTATGATAGTCACACACACAGAGAGAGAGGCAGAGGGAGAATCAGGCTCCATGCACCGGGAGCCCGACGTGGGATTCGATCCCGGGTCTCCAGGATCCTGCCCTGGGCCAAAGGCAGGCGCCAAACCGCTGCGCCACCCAGGGATCCCTGGTTTTTAGTTCTTAATCTAAGTGAATTTTTCCCTCTTACTGCTGAGAATGGAGACCAAATCTTTTCTTGAATACTGTTAATAAGAGTATTTTTTTAAAGAGATAATCTTTGTTAATTTTACAGCCTACATCTAGAAGCCAGCCTGTTTCCTCCCCCCTCCCCCCAACTGGTACATATGTAACTTCCCTCTTTGGCTTCATCACATCCTTGTAAGGAGAAAAAAAGTAATGGTAAAGCTAAAAGAATAATTATTTCGGTTCAGTATCCATGGATTCAATTTGGAAAAACTTTTTGCAAGTAGTTCTGCCAAGGTTCTAAACCAGGTAATGATCCTCAAGTCTCAACTTGGACCTTCAGTAAATTATCTTCGATTCTAAAGTTGACAAGATGTTTCAATGGGCAGAAGACAGCAGAAGCAAATATAGAACTGAAATAAGTTGACTGATTCTAGAGTTTCAGGCGTTGAGATGACATTTTCACACTGATCTTTAAATAGAAAACAAAATTTAAAAAAGCTGGAAGGTTGCTTGGCTTCTAAGTGTTGTCTGCTTTCCATGCTGTAGAGTCTGTCACCAATATTTCTCAAAGTAAAAATAAGACAGTGTTCTACCGTGGAGCCTGTTAATGCCTAAACACTAGCAGTCTAGCACATCAGCTGGTCAGGTTAAAAATAGAACTTTAAGGGGCAGCCCCGGTGGCGCAGCGGTTTAGCGCCGCCTGCAGCCCAGGGCATGATCCTGGAGACCCGGGATCGAGTCCCACGTCAGGCTCTCTGTGTGGTGCCTGCTTCTCCCTCTGCCTCTCTCTCTGTCTCTATTAATAAATAAAATAAAATCTTTAAAAAAAAAAAAAAAAAAATAGAACTTTAAAATCAAGACCAAATTTTAATTGACCCTCCTATAGACTTTTCATGGAGCCCCTTGTTTTGCTGCCTCCTGAATGTCCTGCTCTTGAGGACCAAGTGTCTAAAGTCAGAATTTTCGATATTAAGCTCCTCCAATTGATAGAGGAAAGTGGTAGCTAAATTCTTGGGCTGAGTTACAGTCCATGCCTTTTGGAAAAAAACACCACCTTGTTAACTGGTTAAGGTAAAGACCCACACGAATTCTGGTCCCCTTAACCACCATTCTCTAAAATAGAGTATGACCGGCAACCTAGAAACCACTAACCTGGAACCAGACTGGTTTAACTTTGCACCCTGGAAGTCCTGGACCAGGGCTGAGGGGTGGCTGTGAGTAGATCTGTATGCTGGTGAAGAACTTTCGGGAAGGCCTAAGTGTATGGAAACAACTCTGGATTCTGGCTAATAGCACCTTCAAACTGTCGGTGGATAGAAGTGAAGTCCCCAGCATTGGACACTCTGTCCAAAGCCGCCTAAGCTAGAGAATCCAATAGAAATTGGCCCAGAGAAAAGTAATGAGACCTAGTCAGTCAGTAGCCCTGCTTTCCATTTCCCAATTTTGTACGTATATACATCAAAGTTCATGTTTCTGTCTCCCTTTTTTAACTTTAAATTTGGGTAACAGTGCACATTCAGGTAAGGAATACCCTGTTGCTGTTCTTACATTGGATAGATTTTGAAATAGCAGTGGACTTAAAAGATGATGTGACAGGTGGGGAGGAGCGCTTGTAAACACTTGGAAATTTTTTTTTTCTTCTGGGAGGTCTGTATCAGAAAATGCTGGCAGTTCAGAAGTAAATGACCAAAACCACAAATCTCTCCTTATAGGATACCAGCACTCGTGTTCTAAGAGGATGTCCTCTCAGTTCTTAAGCAGCATCCAGTTCAGAATCAAAGTGACTTCTCTTGCTGGCATTCCATTTGAGTCCAGTCAGACCTCCTCTGCGTGGGGAGACCCTGATACCTGACGTAATGCAATACCGGGGGCCTGCAAGTCAGTAGAGATCCAGGAAGAAATTGGAAGAGTTGAAGAGATTTTTATTCTTTATTAGAGATTTTTTTGTTCTTTACTACCCTGGAATTCCAAGCCATGCGTTCTAAGGCTTTTAGTTGAGATGATTACAGTTGAAGCAGATTGACATCTGTCTTTGAATATTCCTTTATTACTTGCCTGAAGTACACTTTTTTCACTGGTGATTGATGTGGTTACATTAATAATATGAATTCTTAAGGAAGAATGTTTATTTGGTTTGACAAATGGAATACAGTACTTGGTTTTTTCATCTACTCTTTAAATCTGGACTCTTGGGATAGTCACTGTTCCAGAATTAATAATGGGAGCCACTACAGAAAGATTGTGCATAAGTGGGGTTATTGCCATGCCATGGATTTCTCGTGTGATCTGTGATGCCATTGCAGTAATCTCTGAGTCTCTTTGAAGGCACTGTTTTGTCTTTTAAGATGTTATTTATTTGAGAGAGAGAGAAGGGAGGTGGGGAACAGATTCCCTGCTAAGCTGGGAGCCCAATGTGGGGATCATGATCTGAGCTGAAAGGCAGAGGCGACACTTAACCAACTAAGCCACCAGACACCCGAAGGTAATGTTACCTCAGGAAAACTAATCTTATGAGGGATTTAAATGTGTAGTGGTACCCACATTGGGCCTGGTACTTTCAGCACTGCATTCTCAGCCAAGTGTGGGCCGTGTATGATGTCTCACCTGAGGTCTCTGAGATGACCTCTGGGTCAAAAATCCAGCCTTTGTGCGTTAATGCTGTTTGGGAATAACCACGTTTCCTTTCCTGATTTTGGGAGCATATCAAGCACTTAACGGTATTTGGCACATTTCTGGGCTCTGCAGATTGATCAGGAAATCGGGAGACCTATCTTCCTAGTTTACTTAGTAAAGGAATTTAGATACAAAATGGTAAAAAGTGTCAAGTGTCAAGTCAGTCCCTGGGTGGAAGGGCATGCTATTTTAAAGACCACAGGTGGGACGCCTGGGTGGCTCAGGGTGTGATTGCCAGGTCCTGGGATCAAGTCCCACATTGGGCTTCCTGCATGAAGCCTACTTTTCTCTCTGCCTATGTCTGCCTCTCTGTGTGTGTCTCATGAATAAATAAATTAAAAATCTTAAAAAAAAAAAAAAAGGCCACACAAGTGATGGGACATTGGAAAAGTGTAGGTGTGAAACAAGTTTTTCAGGCAATTTGTGCTTTGTTATAAAATCCCCAAATGAAGACCTGAATCTTGGCCAGTTCTCAGTCCTCCTTTGTTATGTAACAATTGACAGTTAATTGTTCATTTTTCTTTGGAAATATTTTCTATCATTCATTTAACGTTGAAGACCTGTAGGACTGTCTTCCGTCTATGCCTGGTAATAGCAATAGGTCTTAGGGCCTCAAGCGTCCAGCTACTATTACTGTGGGTATTTGTTTCGGCATCTCAGACTAAACATGGATACCAACCAAACTTCTAGCTTTCACTTCACCTCTAACTATCCCATTTCTCATGTGGCTTTCCCTGTTTTAGTCATTGTCAAGTGAGCATGTTCTGTTGACTGCCTTCCACAGTCTGACCAATTGCACTGGTCCCAGCACCACTCTCTCACTTGATGGTTACAGGTAGCAATCCCTGCTCCTTCCTTTACCCCCAAGCACCTGGTCTGTTCTCAAACCCTCCGTCAGCATCCCATCTTTTTCAGATTAGAAGCCCAACTTCTTGGGCTGTGCCTTGGTGGCTCAGTGGTTTGAGAGTCTGTTTTTAGCTCAGGTCATAATCCCAGGGTCTTGGGATTGAGTCCTGCATCAGGCTCTGCACAGGAAGCCTGCTTCTCCGACCTCTGCCTATGTCTCTGCCTCTCCTGTGTGTCTCTCATGAATAAATAAATAAAAATCTTCTTTAAAAAAAAAAAAAAAGGCAGGGCAGCCCAGGTAGCTCAGTGGTTTAGCGCTGCCTTCCGCCCAGGGCCTGATCCTGGAGACCCGGGATCAAGTCCCACATCAGGTTCCCTGCATGGAGCCTGCTTCTCCCTCTGCCTGTGTCTCTGCCTCTCATGAATAAATAAATAAAACCTTAAAAAAAAAAAAAAACCAGCAGCAGCCACCGCCCAACCTCTTGCTCTGATTCCACATGAGCTGGCCACTTTCTTAAGCATACCAGGCGTGTACCTAATTCAGGGTAGCTGGTTTTACTTTTTTCCTTCTGCCTGAGTGCTTTTTTCAGATAACGAAATGGCTGCTTTCGTGATCTACAAACATGATTCCCAGGATCTTAGCCATCTTTTTTTTTTTTTACAGTTTTTATTTATTCATGAGACACACAGGCAGACACCTCGCCAGAGGGAGAAGCGGGCTCCATGTGGGGAGCCCGATGCAAGACTTGGTCCCTGGACCCCAGGATCATGACCTGAGCCAAAGGCAGACGCTCAACCACTGAACTACCCAGGCATCCTTATTCTTGGCCATCTTATTTAAATCTGCATTTCCTTTCCCAGTGTTCCTTCTGTCTTCCCCAGTTTACTTTTCTCTATAGTATTGGATACTATCTCCCGTACTCCCATGTATCACCTACGTAACCTGCCTGAATAACAGGATTTTGTCTGTTGTACCTACTGCTATTTCAGGCACCTTTTATTTCTAGGTTGTGAAGTGTTTAAGTGAATTGAACTGAGCTTGCTTGATAGGTTCTAGAAATAGCAAGGGGGCTGGTGAGGGTAGAGCAAAGGGAACGGGATACAATAAAAAGAGGCAGAGTGGGGTGGGAAGGCAGTCATTTGTAAGCATGTGAAGTCACTAAAGGTTTTAGAGCAGAATTAAGTCACTCTAGCATGCTGTGTGTGAACTTTTATTGGATTTCATAAAATTCACTCCATCTTAACAAAAGTGGAGCACCTATTATGTGCCAGTCCCGCACTGGATTACAGAGGTGAATAGTTGACCTGGCCCGTTCTTAGTCTTGGGTGGTGGGCACCTTTTTACACCTGGGTCTCCACCCCCTGCCATGCCCCGCCCCAGAAATGGCCTTCACTTATCCAAATGTTTAACCATTTCATTTCAGCCTGTACTAAAGTCTTGCTTTTTCATGTTTTTAACTAAAAAAAAAAATGAAATTCAAATGAATTTATATACCTTCATGTAAACAACAGGTTAATAGTATTTAACTCAGAGTTGGAACAGATATGAGTTAATGACCATGCCTGATACATGCCAGGAACTCCGCAGAATTAATCGTTGTCAATAGGAAATGTGTACAATTTTAGGTCTACCCCTTTTCTTTAAGCCAAGACCAAATTAATAACGAACCTTTGAATTAGTACTGATCTCCAAAAACCTGCTGTGCTTAAGATAGGCCAATCTATATTTGATCTGAAGACATATTTATAGTGTGTATTTTATATTCAAGCATATCCTATCATTAGGATCATATACAGAGCTCTTATCCCACATCACTGAAAGTGGAGTGTATTTTCTGTGTCCCCAATATTAATACTAGTTTCTGGGCATTACACAATGGGGGAAAGGGGAATATTCCTTCCTTAGGGTTTGATTTAGATTTTGTTCTGTGAAAATAGGACAGCGTGTTACACATTTCACTTAACTATGTGCTTATTTAATTCATTTATTTACTTTGACTCTCAGGGGTTTCAAGAAGCGTGCCCCTCGGGCACTCAAAGAGATCCGGAAATTTGCCATGAAGGAGATGGGAACTCCAGATGTGCGCATTGACACCAGGCTCAACAAAGCTGTCTGGGCCAAAGGAATAAGGTGCAAAAGTTACTTATGCTATAAACTTCTTTTATAAAACTTTTAAAATTACACTAGCTTAACTCTGCACCGTCTGTGTGAGTTTGGTAATTAACTAACGGGTATGGAAGGATTTCCTTAAAATGTGGTAATTACTCAAAGGGTGGGATGGCATTTGCAAGGAAGTCCTTTGTGGATTTGAATGGAGACCCAGATGATGGATCCAGCACTGTGAGGGTTGGGTAAGAGCATTGCATGAAGAGAGAAGAAATCTGGGTATGAGCTGGGAACAGGTTGGTGAAGGTGGAGTAGAATAAGTACCTTGAACAGTGAATGAGAACAGAGGGTTAGGAAGGGGATAGACCGTATGGTATCTTGTAGGTCATGGCGAAGAGGCTGGATTTATCTCCAGACGTAATGGGAAATCGTTGGCACAGTGGTTTTCAAGAGTAGGCACTTTTGCCCAACCTCCCCGGGGTGGGGGTGGGGGGAGCGTTTTTGGTGTCACTGCTGGGGGTTGCCACAGGTCAAAGGCTCTGCTGCACATCCCACAGCACACAAGGCAGCACCCCTACAACACTTACCCAGCCCAGTTGTCAATAGTGTCAAGGTTGAAAAACCCTGCTTATAAGCAGGAGGATAAGTTTTGCTGTGGAGGATGGTGTATGATTCCTGGAATAGACCTAGGTAATGAGAATGCTGGAGCAGGGGGAGGAGGCTGTCTGCGTCTGGTATTTCAGCCCTGCAGTGCTGGCATTGAGCATTCTGATAGAGGAGATATATCTGATAAAGGAGTGGCCAACAAGATTCCTTAAGAGGGTAAGGGGGGGCAGGGACTGTTGTCACAAAAGCCAAGAGGAGTGCTGAATTTTGATATGCTTTGTGTCCTCAGACCAATAAAAGGAGATAGGCAACTGTAATGTTGCTGTGCTTGGGTGAGAGGAGAGGCTTATGTGCATGAAGTAGAGAAACTGAAGAGGCACTAGTCTTCTGTGTTCAACATAGCCTGCAGAGTGATGTTTCTGCAAATATACATTGAACAGACAAATCCTATAACTGAGATGTAGGTATTGGTAATAAGAGGCAAAAGACTTAGCTAGCATATTTGGGGCCGTGTTTCTGTGTTGGTTGAGTATCCGTGGTTGTGGCCTGCTGAGACAGATACACAGCCTGAGATGGTAGCATTTAATGTCCACCTCTGGGTATGTATATGTTCCAGGAAACTGATAAGTACCTGTCGTGCCTGATCAGAATCAAATAAAGGACAAAGCATATTACAGATATGGGGATAGGAGGTGTCCATACTGTTGGTGGCTATTTTCTTGATAGGAGGCTTTGGCTTTAGCAGCACGTTTATATTTTTCTTAGGAATGTTCCATATCGTATCCGTGTGCGGTTGTCCAGAAAACGTAACGAGGATGAAGATTCACCAAACAAGCTCTACACGCTGGTTACCTACGTACCTGTCACCACTTTCAAAAGTAAGTTTTACTCCATCCTACAAAGCTATTGGGAGTAGAAAAGCATCCTTAGCCTCTTTTAGAACTCGAATTCCTCTATCCCAGCAACTACTTAGATGCCCAGCATCCTTATAATTGGAAAAGGTAACGGACATAGTAAACCTTTGTGTCATGGTGTGGGAAGATGGAGGAAGATACAAAACAGGTCCCTATCTCGTTGTAAAAAGGTCATGGGATACTAGCCTACCCTTCCAGTAAAGGTATTTGGAATGTTAAGTATGAGGTGTATGGAGGTTGACTGGCTGTCCCTTCTTTTGCAGATCTACAGACTGTTAATGTGGATGAGAACTAATCGCTGATTGTCAAATAAAGGTATAAAACTGCTCCATGTTTTGGGTTTCCTTTTCTAGTTGTAATTTACAGTTGACTCCCAATAGCATGAAGGTTAGAAGTCCTGATTCCTACAGCCTCAACTATCCAAAACTTAATAGCCTGACCCATAAAGTAAGCTAGAGAAGAAATGTTCTTGAATCACCTTGCTCTTACAAAAAAAAAAAAAAAAAAAAAAAAAAAAATCCACATGTAAGTGGACCTATGCAGTACAAGAGTCAACTATAATCTTTATGCAGTTCCCAATTCCCAATTATATAGGATCTTTTGGAGAGCTTCTTCTAAATGGCATGCCTGTGCCCCTTCTCCCCAGCCCTTAGGGTTTCTGAGTATTTGGGTAGAATCTAAGCAGGTTCTTCGAAAGGTGATTTGGAAGTACAGCCTGGCCTGGGAAAAAACCTTTTAGGTATCTGAGACATTAGAAGTATACTGTTAATTCTAAGGAACATTTTTCTAGAGACTAGCATATAGAACTCCATTGCCATCAGCCACTTTTCACATTGAACAAAATATAAATGATGCAATTGATAGATTTCATGAAATAAATACAGTAGTACGTCTTAAGCTTCTGTTTATATCTGTAATGTTGTCAAAAGGTATAGAATAGCCTAACGACTGGTTTTGGTAATCAGATTATAATTTATATATACAGCTCACCTTTTTAATCCTAGTTTACATGGAACTGAAGCTCAGATTTAAAAAACTAAATTCAGGCTGAAAGCAAGGTGTGACAGCAACTAGATTTATCATTGTTTATGTCCCTGACATACTGAATGTTGCTATAAAGAAGTCCCTCTTTTTGAAGCCCTAGGGGTGATGGTAGTACACAGCACAGTGGGGGTTGAGGACCACCTACTATATTTTGCACTATTCACTGAGAACATACGGGGGAGGGAGGTAGTGGTAAGAGATACCTTTAGACACAAGTAAGTATAAGCTATAAACAAGGACCAAGTCAATACAAAAATTTCTTATTAAAAAACTTGGAGGCCAACATTGAAAGCATGGTTTGTACACAACATTTTTGGAAGAACAAAGTGAATACAACCAAATATATTAAAATGGTTTCAATTACCAGCATTGAAACAAAATTAGTGCAAAAAAAGCCAAATACAATTGCACAGATAGTGGCTCTTGGATCTTGAAAGTGAACTTGATTTGTGACCTCTCCCATTATCCAAGTGAAAAATGAGAGCTTGGGCTTTTGTCTGTGGTTGAATATGATACATTGGACTCTTCTGTTCCATCTGAGACAAAATCATACTAGCATCATAGCAGAAGTGCCCTGAAATTTCAGCAAATCTGATAAAAGTGAGATTGCAAGTCACAGCATCAAGGAAACTAATGTATGGATACCCTAGAGCACTGGTGATATCCAACTAGTTCTCTTCAAGAATAAATAGAAATGCTTGAGGGTTGCATCAATTCCCCTGGCCACAGCTGTGGCTATCAGGTTGCTTACCCAGATACCCAGCTTATAAAATAGACTCAAAATGAATTAGACTAAAATCTGGATTTTAGGGTTGACGACCCACAAAACTGGTCCGTGCTTTGGTATGGCAGACTGCTCCACAAACTGCTCTCTTGCTACAGGTTACTCAACTGGAGTTCAGGCTGTGATGGGCGGCTCATTTCAAAAGTTTTGAGACTGTACTGATTGATCTTGGCATTTTCAAGTTTGGATTTAATGTCCAGTGGCTTTTCAAAAAAGTTTACTAATGACTGTTCAGTCAGAAGTGAAGCTAAAATATGTTCAAGGGAGACAGTCCAGTCCCCTTCTGCCTCTTGAGGAAATGTCTGGGGATCTTGGGCAATTTTCCCAGGGTTGTTGTCTGCAAAAACAGAGTCCTGCTCTGGAGAAAGAGCTGAAGCCCGCAGCTCCTCTCCACATTCCTGGGAGCAGCTTCCAGAGCTGCTACTTCGCTGCCCCACTTCCCCAATCTGCAGCAGCAGAGTGGTTACTGTGGCGATGGCTTGATACAAATCATTTTCTTCTGGATCTTCATGGAACATACTATACAAAGTTTTACAGAACTGGATAAATTCTCTCTGGAATTAAAAGAAGTATATATAATAGCATAACCAGGATGGAAGTATACTGCATTTTTTTTAACTTCATACTAAGTTCTTAGAGAAAACCACATAGTACTCAGAAGCAAATTATAAAAAAAGGTAATTTGCCCTTCTACTCTGAGAACGTAGTACTAGCTAGTTACTCCAGGGAATGTCACCACACACTTAGAAGTGTGCAGTTTGTCAACACAGCTATTCAGAAAGGTGCACCCTAGAGCACATACACACCCTTTAACCTAGCAGATCAACTTGTAGAAATGGATCCAAAAGCTATTGAGATTTGTTTATAATGTTTCATCTAGAATTTACAATAGAAAAAAAGAAACAGCTTAAGTATTATGATTAAACAAAATTATGGTTGGTTCATCTGATGAAATATAGCAGGTAACTTAAAAGCTCTAAAATAAAACTGATACCTGATTTTTCAAATTATATCCACACTGCTGCTCAAATGGAGAATCCATATGTAATCTGATGAAAGACACTTTCAGTGAGGTTTATCTACATGATCACTTTAGGAACAGGGACGTGGTTGAGAAGTAATGTGGGAAAGCTGTCCCTGATTTTGAAGTATATGAAAGCAAGGTGTAAAGACAGCCTCCTTTGTTTTATAGTTAAAATTGATGTCACATATATCAGAATGTCAGTACTGGCAGCTCTGGGTCATGAGATCTGACTTTTTTTAATTGAGGTATAATTAACCAACAGCATTGAAATGTATATTCAAGAGATAGAATGAAAATTTGAAAGCCAACTCAACAAAGTAGAGCAACACTTTTGAAGTATTCCAGAAAGTGTGAATCCCACATATTCTGTAATCAAAAAAGACCAAGAAACACCATGCTAAATTCCTCTTGAAGGCTCACAGTACACATCAGAACCAAAAATAAAATGCCTTAATAATAAAGGAACTCAAAGCCTACATTTCCCAAACTTTGGGAGGAATCTTTTTTCAAATAAAAACCTAAGGCCATCGTGGCACTTCAGTGTATTCTAGATACTGCCCAAAAGTTTTGAAGAGCCCTATCAGTACTGTATATTATATAGCCAGTGTAATCTATAAGAAACCAAAAAGAAAACAGTAATCCCTTCTAAGTGCCCCCTACCTCACCCCAAGTGCTGTAACTCTAGGAAACAAATCTTGGCAACCTAGGTGAATGAGCAGGATATAAAAACTTGAAAAATATGTGGCACAGCCTCCTGTTGTGAAGAGTTTAGAATATCTAGTGTATCTGGATGGATCACAATTTAAATATTTCCCTTTTAATCACAATGTTCAGCTCCTGGAAGTTACCAGATCCTTTGATTTAGCTTTGGAGATTGAGAAGCCCCAGCTTAACTCTGTACACATCATTTGGCAAAACAGTTAACTGCACAGAATAAGATCCATACCTGGCTCATTTTGGGCAACTCTTTCTCAGTTTTATCTTTGTCTTTGGTTAAATCCTTAATCATCTGCTTTAGCTGTTTCTGATAATCAATTGCATCACCTGGAGACAGGAAATAATACATATTTGAGGCTAAAATTCAGTGAAAGCAAAAAGGAACATCTGTAGAACTGGGTGGTGAGGGAGGAATTCCACCAAGCAAATTCCACACACAAACTGAAAACAGATTACCCTGGAGAGTTTGTTCTGTAACTGACTGCAAATGGAGCGTGGTGGCTGGGTGCTTCTTGCTACAAGAGAATCCCTGAAACCTTAGCCAAGAGGAGTAAACATGGTGGTAGGGTCAAGCAAGGGGCAGTCACCCAGTACCCTGCAACTTGAAAGGTTTCTAGAATCTGAAAGCAGTGAGCTGTTGATTCACCAGAGGGAGGGACTAGGTTAAGTTCACTTCCAAGAGCTATGAAATCCTGCTAGAAGATAATGAAAAGAGATACCTACCATTTGACTTCCCAAAAACCAGGGGTCTTGACGTTGACAACAGTGGATTCTTTAATGGTGACTGGCTATCTCGATCATTTTCAGTGAGTGCTTAAAAAAAAAAAGTTGAACAAATTATTCCATCTTATTAACCCAAGCTGACAGTTAATTTAGCTTTTTATGTAAGAAAGGACTAAAGGCTAAGCCAGCAGCCTGTGAACGGCAGAGTGCAGGGACTGTGAACCCAGGTGTACTCCAAGCACTACCTGGATACAAAGAGTAAAAGAAAACATCTTACAGACCAGGTAATGCCTTTTTCCTGATTTATGTAGGCAGTGTTTTAATTAATGGATACAAATTCATAGGATGTTGCTGATACTGACCTGGAAAAATGTATGTAGTAAAATCCTTTTCTAAAACTTAAAATACATGTATGTATATACATATAAATTCTAGAAATGTATAAGTTTCTGGATCGGGGGTTATTTTCAACCTCAATGGCATTTTTTTTTTCCTATGGTGAGCACATACTGCTATACTTTCTAAATTTCTAACAAAAATTGAAGAAAACTACTGAGCCCAAAGCATTTTATCATTACAAGTTTTCTTGAAGTATACAAAAATACAGTCATACCAGAACCTTTATTTTATTGCTGAAAATATAAAATGGCAGAGCCGCTTTGAAAAACAGTCTGGCAATTCGTCAAAAAGTTAAACAGTTACCATTTGACCCAGAAAATCCACTCTTACAAAAGGAAAGGAAAACATACCCACTCACTCTTGTACACAAGCATTGTTCATGAGAGCCAAGAAGAAGTGGTAACCCAAGTGTTCAACTGATGAATGGATTAGGCCATACCCATCAAATGGACTGTCAAATTCAGTTATAAAAGGAATACGAATACGCCTAAGACATGCCACACATGGATGACCCCTGAGCATGAGGAAAGCAGCCAGACACAAAATGTACATTACATCATTCCATTTACATGAAATATCCAAAGTAGGCCATTCTATAAAGACAGAAAACGGCAAAATGAATGGATTGGGAGCAAAAGCCAAAGGGTATGGACCTTTTTAGGGTGATGAAAATTTCTAAAATTGTGATGGCTGTGTAATTGGAGATTTTAAAAATCACTGGATTGTTTTACATACATTTTAAATGAATGTACTATGATACATGAAGTGTATATCAAAAAGCTCTTACAAATAACAATTACAAAGGATTATGGACACAAGATCTTAAATATTTGCTAGTAAACCACTCCGAGAATAAATTAAAGGCAAAGGCAAAACTCAGTTGTAATCCAACATACATCCCCAAGGTGGCACCAAAGCTTTGATAAGCTATCCTCCTTCCTACGTAGGAGATTGGTTTCCCGTGTTTAGGGGGTAGGAATTGTTTGGGGTTTTTCTGTAACTGATATTGTCATTTTTCCCACATTGTACAAAAATTCTACACAGCGGCACATGTGAACATCCACTCATTGAATAGGAGGAAATTTATAAACCCTGGATGGTCCTTGGGGCAATAATAATGGAACAGATTTTTTTAGGTAATAGCTGCTACATGTTAAGAAAATACTGGGTCCCTATGCCTCAGAGAGATGAAATGTATACACAGGTCACTAACAAAATGCTCTAACAGAAGAACCAGTACAACCAAATGTCATGGGAGCATAGAGAAGAATGGTTTATTCAAAGGAAAGGCACGTGTCCAGAAAGGAGACCGGTCAAAAATCAACAGTGACAAGGAGCTAGAAAGGCCAACCAACCACACAGCAGCATACTTTCCAACTTTTTTTCAATCTGGCATGCAGAAACCACCACCCCGACTGGATACTAGAGGACAGTGAAAGAGGCTTGGAGCTCATTGAAAAAACTCATTCAGAATGTTACCAGATATTTATGGTCAGAAATACAAGATACAATGCATTAAGAGAAAGAAAATGTTATTTATAGGCAACCTTTTAATGTACTTTTCGACCTTTCTAAATGAGGTATCTGAACTTTCATAAATGTAACTTTTTACATTCTGATGGATGTATAATTTGTAATTCGACTACAAATGAATTAAGAGACATTTCTATTGTTTTCATTGTGTCTCACTTTGAGTACTGCACAAGTTAACATCTCTTGAAGGACTTAATATTTGCTATCTCAAACTTGTTTTAATGTGGTATCACTTCATCGCTTCAATAAATGCCACCAACAGGAAAGTCTCTTCTCTATTCAAGGGCTTTGATTAGTTGGTGTGCATAGGTTTCATTCTCTATCATCACCACCACCACTATCTTTGTCACTCTCTAAATGGAATTCTCGTGGAGGGGAAAAGCCAGTTCTGGGTCTTATCTGGTAGAAGAGTATACACACTGCTTTCAACACAATTTGGCCTTCAGATGCAGATGAGACACTACAGTCATCAAAATAATACCATTCAATTTTTTCTTGCAAAAGCAGAATAGTGCCTTCCTACCCTTCCACAGTGGTTGAAACCAATCAAATTACAGTATTTAGGTTAATAGGAATTCAGTATATCCAAATTTTTGATAGGAAAACCAACTAAAAGTATCCAACTTGAGTCTCTGATATCTACTCTAAGAAAATCACTTGAGATGTAACAAGTACTGGATGCGGGGATCAAATCCCATTTTCCTGGTGGCTTCTTAGCAGTTTGGGTAATACCAGGGATCTTCAACACTCAGCTCTTCTAAAATGTTCAGTGCAATATTTCACAGAAGTCTTTGAGAGGTGTGTAGTATTCTACACTTCTCATATTTTTCAAAATCCTCTTTTGCATCTTCAACTGCAATCTGAAGAACAGATCTGTCTAGCTTAAGTTGTCCATCACCGAAGTGAATGTGCCTGGTATAATTTCTGATGTAGCTGATATCAGCACTTTCTAAGTGTTGAACTAGAATGTAATCTTATCATTTTCATGTGTCCTGTGAAAAGCTGACCTTTGTAAGCTTCCTTGGCATGTCATCCATTATCAGAATCATTATCTCCTCCAACTGACTTTCCATTCTCTGAGAGAAGTACTTGATCTTGGCTAGATTCATCATATTCATCATTTGGTTCATTCGTTCCCAATGCACTTGGTGAACCTTATTCATGTATCCATTGGAACCATTTCCATTAATAAATCTGGTCCTTAAAGCAACGTAGGCATCCTTTAGTTTCTTGGATTCTAGTAGATATTTTGACATGTTTGGCACATTCTCAAAAGCAGGAGATGATAGCGTGTATCTTCAGTATTGTTTCTTAGTATAATCATACGAAACAGCTAACCAAAAAGTGAAGAACCAATATCGTGAGTATAACCTGAGTGCCACACGGTGGTCATCACATGTTGAGTATCTTTGTTCCTCTTGGTGTTAATTTCAAACACATAACATCCCATTTCATAATACTGATAAGGTTTTCATCCAGGGTGACTATTCTGTGAAATCTATGCTTGCATAAAACCACTCCTGTCATCTGATCTGCCAGTACTCTTGACAAAGGAGACAATGTCATGCAAAGATTCTTGTGTATTTCCAATTGGACTGCATACGTTTAGAAAATGGACCCGTTCTAAGTAAACAAATTTCAAAAGTACATTCTTTTATCATAAGTGATGAAATATTTTGTCAAGTAACAAAACGGATCAAATGATACCGAAATCTTAGAATACTCAGGACTTAATACTAGTTTTCATACTATTATTTATATTGAAATGTCTCTATGTAATTCCTGATTAGGACTTTTAAATAACGACCTCTTCAAAACAAGCTGTCACTATTAGTGAGAACTGTTTGGACAAAAGGTTGAAGCAAGTGTCATTACCAAGAATTTGAATGGCTCAAATTTTTTTTAATTTTACTTAAAGCATGCATAATCAAACAGCTTCTCCCTTACTGACAAATGAAATGTTGAATTTTTTTGGCTACATTGATTGGATTTTTTTTTTTTTTTTTTAAGATTTTATTTATTTATTCATGAGAGACACAGGCACAGAGAGAGAGGCAGAGACGCAGGCAGAGAGAGAACAGGCTCCATGCAGGGAGCACAATGTGTGACTCGATCCCAGGTCTCCAGGATCATGCCCTGGGCTGAAGGCAGGCACCAAACTGTGAGCCACCCAGGCATCCTGGATTTTTAATCTAATTAATTTTTTTTTACATCAAGTATTTCAAAATAACAAAGCTTTTCCTCTTTCGTACACAGATACTGCTATATTTGTCCATAGTTACACTTCAGGATTCAAATTCTAATACTGGCTAAATATCACTGATAATGTATTTATAACCTCATTCTTGGTTGAATTTTTTGTTTGAATCCATACTTTGTTAGCACATGTTTATGTATTTTCATGTGTCCTTTCAATTTTCAGTTAAGTCCATTCAGGTTTTCAACATGAAATCCTTTTTAAAATAACTATTTTTAACCAAATGGCAAACTGGAATTATCTATAAGATTTTTTCTTTTAATTCCACTTCTTGACAAAACTCAAACTTTAAACAGCAATGCACTTTGGTGTGTATAAGGCTTCAAAAAGAAACCTATTTCTTCACATAAAGAACAGAAGACTGGAATAGCTCAAATTTTCTGAGATTCAACACTTCAAGCATTGTGGATCCAGACCAGAAGGACCCCCTGTGGAGAGCTGCTCTGAGTATTCCTACATCTGAGCATTTCTGGGAGGAGCTGGTGACATAAAGCTCGTCTCGGTATGCTCTTTTACAGAAAGCCTCCAGTGCCCAATCTGTGCTCATTTACCATTTCTAATACAGAGCTCTCGGTAGCTTGCTCTGGTGCTTCTTTCTAATGAATCTAATGTTCTTCCAGGAAATTGTCTTCTGGAAGTCCAATTAATATAATTAACTGAGCAAAATGGCCAATATCTGTAGATTTATCCATCTGCAGTGAAAACTCCTGATTTAATAATCTTCTGGAATACTATTCATCCCTACGTCACCTGATATGGCATCAAATCATCTGGACTATTTTTCTATTTCCTCTGCTAAACAAACACTCTTGCAATCACTATGGAGCCAATAAAGAGAGCTCTTTCCGAACTGTGAGGCCCTGGGCTTAGCAGTTCCTTGCTTCCTGAGCTGCATCAGATACTTTGTAAGCAAGCTACAAAAGCCCTTTGCCTCCCATAATACCCTTGCAGAGTTCCAAGCGCCCTGCACAAGGTGGGTGTTTGAGGTCAGGTGCTGTTGTGCTTTGTTTGGTACCGTGTCTCCCTCATCTGGCAAATGAGACATTACTCTTTGCACATACAGATCCAAACTTGTAATCTTCAGTATACTTCCTAATTAGCCAGTTTGATTTTTTTCCCCTCACTAGTGTGTTTGACCCACCTTTGCTCAAAAAGTTATGATGAGCAGTAAATACTTATTAGAGAGCTATAGGTATTGTGAGTCTTCATGACCTTAGCAAACTAATGTCTAAATTAATGTCTAATGTCTAATGCAGGTTTCACATCTGCATTAAGACTTTTTTTCCTTAAACTGCATCAGAAATTCATATGTTAAATATAGGTAAGCAAAATGATAGATCAAATCTTAATTTCCACTTAACTTAAAATTTTTAATTTGGAGCCATAAAACAGAAGTATCATAATTCCATAAGTTCAAACAAGTTTTCTTTTTTAAAGATTTTATTGATTTATTTATGAGAGACACAGGGAACCGGAGACATAGACAGAGGGAGAAGCAGGCTGCTTGCGGGGAGCCCAATGTGGGACTTGATCCCAGGACCCCCAGATCAGGACCTGAGCCAAAGGCAGATGCTCAACCACTAAGCCACCCAGGCACCCTCAAAAAGTTTTTTAAAAGTTAATTTTCTGGGGGCTCCAGCGGTTCAGCACCTGCCATTGACCCAGGGCAGGATCCTGGAGTCCCGGGATCGAGTCCAGTGTCAGGCTCCTGGCATGGAACCTGCTTCTCCCTCTGCCTCTCTCTATGTCTATCATGAATAAATAAATATCTTTAAAAAAAATTAAAAATTAATTTTCTGAAGCAATGAAGGTCTACAGATGTCTTTTAATGAACTAGTTAAAACATCTTTTAGAAATAAACTTGTAATTTAGAAATAATTCAATATTAAGTTAGATCAAGAATCAAATATCAATCTCAAGTGGTAATATCAAAAGCCAGTAAGTTTCAAGAAATATTACACTACAATCAAGTGGGATTTATTCCCAGGATTCAAGGCTGGTTTAATATTCCCAAATCTACTGATATGTCACATCAGTAAGGATAAAATCCACATGATCATTTCAACAGATGGAGAGAAGGCATTTGACAAAGTACAACATCCATTCACATTATAAACTCCCAACAAAGTAGGTCTAGAGGGAACATACTTCAACACAATAAAAGCCTTATATGAAAACCCATAGCTAACATCATACCCAATAGGGAAAAACAGAGCTTTTCCCCTAAGGTGAGGAACAAGACAAGGATGACTACTCACCACTTTTATTCAACATATTACTGATTGCTTCACAGCAATTAGAAAACAAAAAGAAATAAAAGGCATCCATACCAATAAAGAAGAACTGAAACTTTCATTATTTGCAGGTGACATCCTACTATATAGACACCAAAGACTACTAGAACTGATAAATGAATTCTGCAAAGCTGTAAAATACAAAATCAGTGCACAAAAATCTTTAGCATCCCTATACACTAATGATGAAGCAGCAGAGAGTGAAATTAAGAAAACAGTCTCATTTACAATTGCACCAAAAATAAGATACCTAGGAAGAAATTTAACCAAGGAGGCAGAAGGCCTCTATTCTGATAACTATAAAACATTGAAATTCAAGACGACACAAAGAGAAATGGAAAAACACTTCATGCTCATTGGTTAGAAGAATAAGTATTGTTAAAATGCCCAGACATCCACAGATTTAATGCAATCCCTATCAAAATACCAACATTTTTCACAGAACTGGAACAAACAATCCTAAAATTTATATGAAACTACAAAAGACCCTGAATAGCCAAAGGAGTCTTGAAAAAGAAAAAACTGGAGGTATCACAATTCTAGATTTCAAGTTATACTACAAAGCTGTAGTAATCAAAATATGGTACTAGCACAAAAGTAGACACATAGATCAGTGGAATAAAATAGAAAACCCAGAATTATATGGTCAATTAATCTTCAACAAGAGAGAAAAGGATATCCAACAGGAAAAAGACCTTCTCTTCAATAAATTGTGTTTGGAAAACTGGACCACTTTCTTTCACCATACGCACACCAAAAAAACCTCAAAAATGGATTAATGACCTAAATGTGAGGCCTAAAGCCACAAAAATCATTGAAAGGAGCACAGGCAATAATTTCTCTGAGGTCAATCATAGCAACATTTTTCTAGATATGTCTCCTCAGACAAGGGAAACAAAAGCAGAAACAAACAATTGGGACTACATCAAAATAAAAAAACTTCTATATAGAGAAGAAATAATCAGCAAAACTAAAAAGCAGTCTATGAAATGGGAGAAGATAATTGCAAATGACATCTGATAAAGGGTTAGAATCCAAAATATATAAAGAACTTAACTCAACATCCAAAAAAATAATAATAATCCAATTAAAAATGGGCAGAAGACATGAACAGACATTTCTCCAAAGATTTCCAGATGGCCCACAGATATATCAAAAGATGCTCAACATCCCTCATCATCAGGGAAATGTGTATCATCAACACCAGAGTGAGTTATCACCTCAAACCTGTCAGAATAGCTAAAATCAACAACACAAGAAACAACAAATGTTCGCAAGGATATGGAGAAAAAGGAAACCTGGTACACTGTTGGTGGTAATGCAAACTGATGCAGCCACTGTACAAAACAGTATGGAGGTTCCTCAAAAAATTAAAAATAGAACTACCCTATGATCCAGTAATCGCACTGCTGGGTATTTATCCCAAAATACAAAAACACTAATTCAAGGGGATACGTGCACCCTATGTTTACTGCAACATTATTTATAATGGCCAAACTTAGAAGCAGCCCAAGTGTGCATCAACTAATGAATGGATAAAGAAGATGTACTATACACACACATACAATGGGATATTAGTCATAAGAATGAGATCTTGCCATTAGTAACAACATGGAGGGAGCTAGAGAGTATAATGCTGAGTGGAGTAAGTCAGAGAAAGAAAAATACCATATGCTTTCACTCATACGTGAAATTTAAGAAACAAAACAAATGAGCAAAGGAAAAAAAGAAACCAAGAAACAGACTCTCAACTATAGAGAACAAACTGGTGGTTAAGAGGGAAGGGGGGGATGAGTGAAATAGGTGATGGGGATTAAGAGTACACTTAGGAGAAACACTGAGTAATGTATGGAATTGTTGAATCACTGTTGCACACGTGAAACTAATGTAACACTGTATGAAAATATATAAAAAATAAGAACTCCATCTTTACCACCTTTGCAATTTTTCTATAAATCTAAAATTAACCCAAAATCAAATGTTTATTTAAAAATCAAGAGGAGAGGGTGCCTAGGTGGCTCAGTTGGTTAAGCATCTGCTTTCAGCTCAGGTCATGATCTTAGGGTCCTGGGATACAGCTCCAGGTCTGGCTGTATCAGTGGGGAGTCTGCTTCTCCCTCTTCCTCTGCCCTTCCCCACCGCTCATGTTCTCTCTCTCTCTCTCTCTCTCTCTCAATAAATCTCTCAAATAATAAAATCGATATGAAATAATTGAATGAAATAAAATCAATCATGTTCCGTTCAGTAATACTAGATATAGATGATGATTGTGAAGAGTGACAACAATGACAGCAAAGGAATAATTATGCATATCTTCTGTTAGTAGGAAAGCATTTGTGAAAAATAAAGGCAAACTAAAGACTAAAACTCACTAATTTAAATTGGAACAAAAGGCAAAGAACTTCACTGATGCTAAGTCATTTGCAGGAAAGTAATAATGAGCCTGTGGGAAGGTGGGGCAAGGTGGCTGCTACAGAATGCTCCCTGGGGACACTGCAGAATAAATGTCAGCTCAATTCAGAAGGTGTACCCAGAAAGCCACAAATGATGTCCAACTTTTTTAAAGATTTTATTTATTTATTCATCAGAGAGAGAGAGAGGCAGAGACACAGACAGAGGGAGAAGCAGGCTCCATTCAGGGAGCCCAATGTGGGACTCGATCCCGGGACTCCAGGATCATGCCCTGGGTGTGAAAGCAGACACTCAACCGCTGAGCCACCTGGGTGTCCCAATGTCCAACTTTTATAGAGGTGTTGGTTATAACAACCACCAGGATCTCAGGGCCCTAAAAACTTCTTTCCAGGGCACCTGGGTGGCTCAGTGGTTGAGCATCTGCCTCAGGCTCAGGTTGTGATCCCAGGGTCCTGGGATCAAGTCCTGCATCAGCCTCCCCACAGGGAGCCTGCTTCTCCCTCTGCCCATGTCTCTGCCTCTCTCTGTGCATCTCTCATGAATAAATAAATAAAATCTAAACAAGAAAAAAATTCAAAAACAACTTCCTTCCTAGTCTCCCTCACTGGGAAGTTTTGTCAGTTCCATCCAACACCAGAACCATGGCACTGGGGATCAGAGACCATTTTGGATTACTAACCCACCTTTATGACTTTCAAAGATCCAAGGACTACTTTAAGATTAATGCCAAGTATAACCTCCTAGGTTTCAAAATAGATTCTTCGTTCCTGGGTACCACTGCTTAAACTTCAGGGAAGCATCGTCTTACATGCTGGATAAATGAAATGGCCCTTCAAAAGAGTAGGTTTAAATAACCATCTATTAAGGCAACCAGAGTCTGCTTCCCCACACATCCCACAGGCTGGTGGTTCTCAAACTGTGGTCCTTAGAACCAGTGATCCAGAAACTCTGGAACGGCACACCCAGGAGCCTGGTTTTAACAAGCCTTCCAGACAATTCTGATGCATGCTCAAGTTTGGCAATCACTGCCACAGGCCATACGGTACAGTACTGAAAATTTGTTACCAGCAACCCCAAACTAGAAACATCCGTTGACGTAAGTCTAAATGAAATTTAAAAACAGAAGAACTTCAGAGTAGTGCACAAGGCTTACTGGGTCAAAGCAGAACAGAATTGCCGTTTTCTTCATAGATTTTCTTACCTGGAGGGATATGAAGTCTGTATAACAGTTTGATTTTCTCATTCATTTCTCCATTATACATCACATCTACAAAAATAAAAAGAATGAGAATATACCAAATGGTCAAAGTATATTTGCAGTGACACAAACTCACTGTGGGGAGAGAAGTTAGTGCAGGCAATACTTTCCCCCAGTACTTTCCCTGCCCCCAGACACATTGTGTTTGAAATGAAAATGTAAAGGGTCACTCTTGAGCTGCAAGATAACCTCGTGAATCATTACTAGCCTCCTGCCTTCTGAAAGACTTTAACTGCACGTGCAAGAGTTAGGAACACGTCTCCTGACAGGCCACAGCATACCCTGAGCGCCCGAGGAGAACCAGAGCGACAACCCTGTGTAGGCTGAGAGCTTGGGCCCATCTCACCCTCCTTCAAAAGGCATAAAAGTAGTCCTGAGAGGAGCCCGCAGAGGGGTTTTTAAAATCTCAAAATTGGGGCAGCCCCAGTGGTGCAGCGGTTTAGCGCCGCCTGCAGCCTGAAGTGCGATCCTGGAGACCCGGGATCGAGTCCCACGTCAGGCTTCCTGTATGGAGCCTGCCTCTCTCTCTGTGTGTGTCTCTATGAATAAATAAACAAAATCTTTAAAAAAAATAAAATCTCAAAATTGGGTCAGGCCAGTCCCAAATATGTTTCCATTGTGTGGCTTTGCCTTCCACCGCCCACCTGTCTCATGTTCACAGACTCCCCGTCCCAAATAAAGTCACTGCAGAGGAGACCCACAGAGTCATACCGAGACAGCTCACAAATGATTTGAATTCAATCAGGTGGTCCATGTTGTCATCCAGGAGCCTGAAAGTCCTTTCAGCCAGGATCTCTGTGTGGGCCCCACATGTCCACGGTGAGACAAGCTGAAATAAGTGTGCAAACTGCCGGGCGTCTATGCGGTACTGCTCCGCGTAGGGCCTGCTGGGGTCATGGCGTGGGGCCATGGGCCTGGGCTGCTCCCAGTAACAGCTCATCATGTGTTCTCTCTTAAAAGGAGAGGGAGGGAGGGATCTGTGAAAGATGCTGGCACCTGTGGGGGGCTGCACGCTTACAAGCAAGGTTATGCTGGCCTCCTTTTAGGACTCACTTGACCTCGTACAATATGTATTTGAATAAGCAATATTATAACATGAACAAATGAAAAAAATTAAAGTACTTACAATCTCATTACTCTAACCAGACACGTAAAAGACCTCCCATGTTGTCTTGTGCTTCTTGCCCAATACATACTTTTGACCTCTTTTTCTACAGTTTTTTATTGTAGCAAACTGTACCTAACAAAGCCTACCATTTTAAGCATTTTTCAATGTGCAGTTCAGCTATCATAGTTTTAATTCTAGGAGACTTAACTTTTATTCTATTTTCTCATCAAATCCCATCTGAAAATGGGAAAGTGCTAGACAGATCTACAGAATACAGAAGAAACCAGTAGCACCGGTTGCCTGTGGGGAGGGAAAGTAGGGGAGGGAAAGTAGAGGTGGGAACTCACAGGTAGGACCAAGTCTTTTTACTCCAATACTTTCTTAGAGGTTTTGAATTCTGAACCACATGAATATATTAACAATTAAAAAAAAACTGGAAGTAAAAAAAGAGAAAGTGAGGCAGAGATTTCAAGTCTCGTGAATACCCTGACAACTTGAGCAATCAAAACTGGCCCTGTCACTAAGGTTCGCCTCTGTAGGACACATCTCTTACACATGCCCTAAATCATCTCTTGGGACATCTCAACTCACTGAAATAGTTTCCCAATGACTGCAGGCTTCTGCACAATTCCAGTGTCCTCCACTCATATGGGTGGCACGGAAACAAGTCCGGATGCTGATGTAAGCACAGATCCTTGGAGGAAAACCAAAATGCCATTTATAATTTTACTGTCCTATTTGTTGGCAGGCAGGTTCTTCAAAGAGCCTTCGCAGAATTGTGAAAAATAGCACAAGAACTTTACAGTGTGAAATAAAGGTCTAACGAATTTCCATTTCTAAAAAGCCAAGATGCACTATGAAATTCCATTGTATTTTTGCACATCCTGTGATGCTAAAGACCCACAGAATCCGAAGAAAACTTATAATAAATAAGCCAAAGACTGATACAACCAGTTTACACAAAATTCTACGGAAGAACCAAAAAAAAAAAAAAAAAAGACCATGGATATAAGCAAGTGATACAAAGAAGTACACAATTAGCTGTACAGTCTTCCACCCTAATGGATAAACAAATTTGGATTAAAATAAAATGCACATTTCTACAAGACTAGCAAAATTGTAAAAGATGCATAAGTACTGGGTGGGTGTGGAGTGTAGGAAATGAGCACTCTTAGACTCATCAGTGGAACTGAAATCTGAAAACTCAAACACACTTTAGCAATATAGGCTACAGTGTAGTCTGTGCATCCCTAAGGAACCCATCCTACAGAAACTGCAGCACAGGTGTCCAGGTAAAGGCACCTCGGCACAGCACAGTTTGTAAAGCAGCAGCAAACTGGAAACACAAATCTGTCTCAATAGGTAAATGGTTAAGTAAATTACAGTTCAGCCCTATAATGAAACTGTACTGCTGTTTGGGGTTTTTTTAAGATTTATTTATTCATTCATTCATTCATGAGAGAGAGAGAGACAGAGAGAGAGAGAGAGGCAGAGACACAGGCAGAGGGCAGGCTCCACTCCAGGAGCCCGACGTGGGACTTGATCCCAGGACTCTAGGACCGCACCCTGGGCCAAAGGCAGGCGCTAAACTGCTGAGTCACACAGGGATCCCCTGTACGGCTGTTTTTTCCTCTGTTATGGGAGGGGGTGGGGAGTGTGTGTCTGAGAGAGACAGTATAAAAGGAAAAAATTAGGAAAGATAGTCACCAATTTGTTAATACAAATTATCAGTACAAGGGTAAGACTGTGGGTGCAGAGAGGATGAGAGCCTTTCATTGTTTGCTTAAGTTTCTTCTTTTGGGGCACCCAGGTGGCCCAGTGGATGACTGTCTGCCTTTGGCTCAGGTCCTGGGACTGAGTCCTGCATCGGGCCCCCTGCAGGGAGCCTGCTTCTCCCTCTCCCTCTCTCTGTGTCTCTCATGAATAAATGAAATCTTAAAAAGTTTTTTTTTTTAATCGTAAGAATAGGTATATTTTGTGATTCTTAATTAAAATTTGAAAATAAAAGCCTTAATGAGAACATAGAAGTAAAATATCATTAAAGAGACTAAATGCTCTCTAGGGCCTGATAATTTGCCAAAAGTGAATGAATTTAACTGATCATTAATAATAGCACATTTATGGAAGACATAAGTAACTTGTAGGTCTTCAGCATTTTCAGAAGTATTCTATGATGCCGAGTATGTATTATTACTGTTCACACCTAAGATGAATGATGCTGTTTTCTATTTGAGAGAATAGGAGACAGACGTCACAAATCCAAATTTATGTAATTTGAAAGATTGCTTGACAACACGGATGGACCAGGAGGGCACTATTGCTCCATGAAAAGTCACACAAGAAAAAAGACAAATGCTGGGGCACCTGGGTGGCTCAGTCAATTAAGCGTCTGCCTTTGGCTCAGGTCATGATCCCAAGGTCCTGGGATCAAGTCCTGTATCAGGCTCCCCGCTCTCTGGGGAATCCCTTCTCCCTCTGCCCCTCCTCCTGCTTGTACTCTCTCTGTGTCTCTCTCCCCCCCTCAGATAAATAAATCTTAAAAAAAAAGGGGGGGGGGGACAAAAACTATATGATCTCATTTATATGTGGAATCTAAAAACAAAACAAAACCCCAAAAGAGATCAGAAAAATAGATCAGCCTTGTGGCTCCCAAAGGCTGGGGCAAGGACGGGGAAACTGGATGAGGTGACCAGAAGGTACAAACTTCAGTTATAATCAGCCCTGGGGCAGTAACGTACAACATGACGAGTATAGTTAGTTAACCATTATGTGATTTTTTTTTAAGATTTTATTTATTTACTCATGAGAGACACACAGAGAGAGAGGCAGAGACACAGGCAGAGGGAGAAGCAGGCTTCATGCAGGGAGCCCGACGTGGGACTCGATCCGGGACTCCAGGATCATGCCCTGGGCTGAAGGTCGATGCTCAACCGCTGAGCCACCCCAGCATCCCCGCTATGTGATGTATTTGAGAGCTTCTAAGAGAGTGGATCCTGAAGTTCTCATCACGAGGAAAAAAAAAAATTTTCTTTGTAGCTATAGGAGATGAATGCTAATTAAACTTACTGTACTAATCATGACAATAAATGTAAGTCATATTGTAGGCTTTAAACCTTCACAGTGCTGTACGTCAGTTATATCAGAAAAGCCGAAAGGAAAAAATTGCATTCAAGCATTAAAAAATTTCTATAAATTACCAAAAAAAAATAGATTTTATTAAAGACCAACCACATTGTTCATCCTGAATAGGAAAGACTATGTAACGAAGACAGAGCTAGTTCTTGTTAACACAGAGTGATCATACCTGTTCATTCCAGGCGTAGGGAAGGATGCAGTGAAGTTAAGGAACAGAATCCTTACTAATATTTATAAAACAATGGCAGGGTATCTCTGTGACCCTTTCCCTGGAAAAAAAAAAAAAAGAGGGGTGGGGCAGCCCAGGTGGTTCAGCGGTTTAGCGCCGCCTTCAGCCCAGGGTGTGATCCTGGAGTCCTGGGATCAAGTCCCACATCAGGCTCCCTGCATGGAGCCTGCTTCTCCTTCTGCCTGTGTCTCTGCCTCTCTCTCTCTCTGCCTCTCTCTCTCTCTCTCATGAATAAATAAATAAAATCTTTTAAAAAATGAAATCCTGATTGAAAAAAACAGAAGTGAAGGTGTGTAGGTGGTTCAGTGGTTCAAACATCCAACTCTTGGTTTTGGCTCAGGTCATGATCTCAGGGTCGTGAGATCAAGCCCCACACTCAGCATGGAACCTGCTTGAGATTCTTTCCCTCTCCCTCTCCCATTCTGTTCTGTCCCCCCCCCCCCCACTCACACTTGTTCCATCTCTCTCAAATAAATAAAATACTAAAAAAAAAAAAGACGAGGAGTGTGTGTAAACCCAACTAGAGAGCATTCATTATACCCCACAATCCTGAGGCAAGTATTACAATGCATGGAGTCAGACTGTGAAAGCAAAGGAAATTCAGAGCAGACCAAGAGGATGGAGAGAAGGGAGAGTCTGGCAGGCCTCTCACATAGGGCAGGTGTGGACTCTGGGCCTGGAAGGAAAGTACCAGAGTGAGTACATACAGCGGGCTCTTCGGGTTGTATAATGGAATCAGACACCATGATTGTGATGCTGTTTTACTGGAATTTCCTTTGGAAGTGTATCTTTAAAATGATAATTGTATTTCTAGTTTTTAAGCTTCTATTTATAGTTAGTCCTACATAAATAATAGAGTTGTAAAGCTAACTACAAATAAAATTTTGTTGAGTATGATGATACTGTTCCTAGGAACCATATCATTCCTAGGAAAGACGGAAATAGGAAAATAGTTATCTCTGACTATCTTCCTTAAATACTCTTTGTATTAAAGATGAACATGGTTAGTACTTAATGAATTTTATTTTTATTAGTTTAAAGCAATCTTTTAAATTATATAAATTCAGATTTGTGACTTATTCTCTCAAACTGAGAACAGTAAGCCCTAAATAAATGAAATACTTTTCATGCTGAACACATCTGTCTACCTGTCTTTATGTTTGTAATACTCCCCATTTTTCCTCCTTGAAAGTCAAAGAGAGGTGGGGGTTTCTGACACCAGTAACCTTTGACTTCTTATTTTCTCTTCGAGCAACAGAGGAAACTACCAAAGCCAAGAGGTGTTTACAGAAGACACAGGACTAAGCAGTCCTCAACATACATCCTGCTTATTGGGCACGAGGGGTGCCAGGACTCTACTAAAGCCAATGGCCATTTCAGTGACTTCAAGGGGAGGAAATGTGCCACGACAGATGCGCGCCAGGGTCAGACAACCTCTGGTGCTCTGCTTAGAAGTCCTGGAAGTGCAGCTTATTACTAGTTCCCAGAGTTTGGCAGTCTGAGTTCAGAAGGGACAGCGGCTCAGAGTCCTCACCAGGAAGAGCTCTAGAAGCCAGATTCTGGACTTGCTTTCTGTAACTGTTCCTTCCCCTCTTCACTGCCAGGGTATCAGGAGTGGGTCAGTGTGCCTGCCTCCCTTCCCCATTTTCATGTTTCAAGCAAGGATAGTCCTAGCAGGGCACTTGAGAATTTTCTTTGCTGGGTAATGTAAGTAGCAAGACCTGGGAATCCACCTAAATATCCAAATATGAGAAATATGGGTTAGTATATTTAGTATTACCAATATGATAGCTTATAAGGTTATTTTAAAATGAGTCAGACCACGTGGCAGCATGGAAAAGTGTTGATAAGAACGTTGAGGGAAAACAGAAGATAAAATAGCACATGTACCAGCCAAATATAAAAACATGTCTACATGTATTATGAGTGGGATGATGAGTCATCCATCACCAAGTAGAGGAGGTGGGAACATCGGTAATGGTTGGTGTTGCACGTGTGAGGGCCTGGGAGCTCTGTGCAGAGCCCTGAAGATCGGGTTGGCAGCACCGAGGGCCCTCAGCAGAGCACAGCTCTGGTGTGTGAGCTCCCACAGCCGCCGCCACCCAACAGGTGCGAGGCTGACCCATCCAGCCTTCTCCCGCCCCGGCAGGCTGACCACACGGGCTCAGGCCTGTCACTCCCTCCTCTTCCCAGAGTTTCCTACCTTGAACAGGTCATAGAGTTCCTCCAGGTCGTCAGGAAGGATGGAGACTTCCGGAATAACAACGCGGAGCTTGAGGAAAAAACGAACAGCAGTGGAGTGAATTCTCCGCCTGCACCAGGGAGGATCAGAGGGCACGGGGGAGCTGTTCCTGCTCGTCGGGGACACAAGCGTGGAATCCTGTCTACCAGAGCAGTCTGTTCCTTTCTGACGCCACCACCACATTAGGGATACTTTCTCAAGACCCTCAGCCATTCCAATCCACAGATCAGCACCTCAGGACAGACGTGTAAGCCCTGATGGAAGTCAAACTCTAGCCAAGACGCAGCTTGGCAGGAAGTTCCTCCTGAACAACCACTATTACTGCAGGCCTTCTGTGCTATGCATTTTCTGTATCATACCTCACGTAACCCCACATGCTGGGTATTAGCATCCTCATTTTACAACTGGGGAAACTGAGGCTCACGGTGGCTACATTGTTCACAATCTGACTCTAAAACCCCTGTTTCTACACCAGGTCTCCCTAATTCAATGCAGGATGGCGGGGAGGCATTCTTTATTTTTTTTTTAATTTATTTATTTTTAGTAATCTTTATACCCAATGTGGGGCTCAAACTTAGGACCCGAAGGATCAGGAGTCACATGCTCTTCTCACGGAACTAACCAGACACCCTAAAAGCTGACATTCTTACAAGACCAACAGTTAGTACCGGACTGCCATTCTGACAAGCCACGACTCACCACGTTCTGCTTTGTGGTGTCTTCGTGGCCCTGGAGAACCCTGATCCTGTGCTTACAGCGTAGGTGCTCAATCTGTTCCACAGACTGGTCTCCAAACTTCTGCAGAGAAACAAGGAGTCACTCGGGCACAGAATCCCTTTTTGCATACAGAGGAAAGTAGCAGCAGGAGGGAACCTCCCTCAAAATCCATCTTTGAACAAGTTTCCAAGAGGTTGAGGGGGGATGGGGCCGGGCCCAGTTACCTCATAGGAGTCCCGGATCAGGTCGGCAATGTCAGTCACAGGGTAGGGCTCCTGGTCATCAGAGAAGAAGGCATGATGGCTGCCAACTGGGGGTCCGGGGCTGTCTTCATTCTTAATGTGATCTAGAAACCTGAGCACACAACCCACCACTGAAGTACTGGTTTCCCCTCACCTGAGCACCCACCACACCCACTACCTTCACAGGGGCCATGGGACACATCAGAGCACTTTCAGACACAGCTCATTTGTCTCCAGACACTGGGAGGAAGTCAAGATGGCAACCACTGTGGTCCTTTAGAGAAAAGGAGACATCCCTAAAGCCAGACTTGTTGATCTGGGGTCCATGGGTAGCTCTGCAGGGATCTAGGACTCTCTGCTGAAGTAAATACAAAGTTCTGTGCATATGTGTCATGGTAAGCTTCCACCATATTCCAGAAGGGAAACTTCCATCTGTCTTTAAACTTGCCCTCAACTCCAAGAGCTGAGGCCTCGTGGGGCTTTTCTGTGATGGCAACACACCAGTCCCTACACAGTAAGTATCTGAAACCTCCAGCTGGCCACCTGAGACCACCATTTCCCAGTGCCTGCCCACCCCACTCAAGGCCACCATGAGTGTGTATCTCCTCACAGAAAAGCACGGACAAACTGCTCTCCCCCTGTATCCTCTCTCACTTGCTGGGGAGGAGCCGGGAACATGGCGCTCTTCACCACACACGCAGGCAACACCACCACCTGCCTGGCTGGCTCTGGGGGACCACAACATGACAAGTGGCCCAGTGGAAGGGAAAACTGTACAGTGACAGGCCTGCTGGGCACCTACTGCTATGTCTACCTGTTGTCTATTTTGCAAAGCCCACGATGGCCCTCCTCACCTCCCCCTTTCATGAGCCCACCTGCTCAGGACCATGAGGGCCTGGCCATCGTCCTTGCTGCTGCACAGGCCCTGGGCATTGGCTTCCAGCACGGCCAGCCCTAGCTGGAAAATGGCTTTGATTCCATCGTAGAAGAAGCAATCCACAACGCTCACCGCGCTCTCCAGAGGCATAATGCTGAGGAACAGAGTCAGGAACCAGGAGAGAGAGATGGACGCGAGGGCTGAGAGGTCGTTCATGTGCTCCGCCAGCTCGGGGAGGTGCTCCTTGATGAGCTCCTCAAAGACCGACTGGTCCACCTGGGCCCCTGGAAAATACAGGCCACGGAGACTTGGTTGGGGAGGGATTCAAGCTTTCTAAAGTTAGCCTGAAACTGAAACTGAGGTGAATAGAACAATGAACAAGGAGTTCAGAAGAGGACTCACACTAAACTGATGTTTGACACTGACTAGAGTAATTCAGGGGGGAAAGGATACTATTTTCAAAAATTAATTCTTAGTCGGGGCACCTGGGTAGTTCGGTGGTTGAACATCTGCCTTCAGCTTGGGGCGTGCGGGATGGAGTTCCACATCAGGCTCCCCACAGCTTCTCCCTCCGCCTATGTCTCTGCCTCTTTCTGTGTCTCTCTCATGAATAAATAAATAAAATCTTAAAAAAAGAATGATGCTCAAATGAACACCTGAGTGGGGGCAGGGGAAACCTCAAGTCCTACTTAACATCATATAAGGAAATGCATTTGAAGTGTGTCATAGGCCTAAATATAAAAGCTAATACTACAAAGCTTCTACAGAAAAATACAGAAGACAAAATTTCTTAGGACACAAAAAGCACTAGCCACAGCAAAAATTATAAATTGGACTTCATTAAAATCAAAGACTGGTATTCACCAAAAAACATTAATAAAATAATAATGCAAACTTCACACTCAGAAAATACAAAGGTCTTGTATTCAAAATAACAGCCCATGCAACTTAGTGGTCAGTAACCAATTTTTTTCTTCAAATAGGAAAAAGATGTGAACAGCCACATCAAAAGAGACAATAAACAAAGGGGCCAAGAAGCACAGAAACATATAATCAATATCACTAATCAAATAAATGCCAGTTAAAACCACCATGATAGATCACTCCCTACCCACCAGAATGGCAAAAATTAAAAAGACCATTCTGAAGGCAAACAGAGACGTGCAGCAGCTAGATCTCCTACATCGCTGGCATGAGATCCGTGCCTGCACTATGCCTGCTTTGAAAAACTGATAGTTTCTTATAAAGTCAAATCCATCTATCCTATGACCTAGTGATTCTACTCCTGGGTACTCAAGAAAACAGATAATCTTTATTCAGAGAGACTTACACAGGAATGTGTTCTGCAACTTCACTTATAATAAGACACTGGCAACAATGCAGCCTCTACCAACAATAGGTGGTCGGATAAACACATCGTGGTATGAGGGTTTGGTGAAGTGCTGCTCAGCGAGAAGGAGCCAAGAACTGACACACCAGCAACCTCATGTGGGGCGCAGGAAGCCAGACACAAGAGTATGATCTCGATGATTACACAGATACCAAGCTCAAGAGCGGGTCATGCTACCCTGTGCTGATAGAAATCAGTACAGGGGGTTGCCTGTGGCAGGGAAAGGGGCAGAAGGGATCTCTGGGGGTCATGGCAGTGCTCCACCCTGTGTTGGGGTGGTGGTCACACAGGTGGGCATGGTACCATGGACATTCTGCCAGTCACAGGGGACTGTGAGGTGTCCCAGTTGATGGTGGCCTTGGCAACTTGCATCATGAGCCTGAGGCTCCGATGACTCCGTGCTACTACGGTGGGCAAGGTTAAACTGCCTCCCACAGCATAAAGCTGAAAGGGAAGCAGGCTCATCACTCAGGCACATGGAGGGAACCAGGGAAGACAGTCTCAAGCATACCAAAAGGCCACAGAAAGGCCACCAAAGGCACCAAGTGACCGCATCCTTCCCAGCCACCCCCCCCCCTTACTCCCAGTGGTCATCACACTCCCTCAGCTCTTTGGACCCCAGTCTTCAGAAGGGTGTTCTTCCTACCTTGCCCTACCTCCAGTCCTTTGTTAAATTCCGTCTCAAATTGGTTCTTTTGTTTCTGTTCCCACTGCTAATTTTAGGCCATCTCCAGGAAGGAATCTTTCTGTCTTCCTGGAAGGAGTCTTTCTGCCAAGCAATCTTTCTGTCATTTTGTCCACTAGGAGGTGCTCAGCCCCAGAGATAAGGCAAATTCAAATCAGCCACAAACAGAACAGGGCACCAGGTGGTACCTGAGTGCTGTGGGGTCACAGGTGCGCCCAGAGCCCGACAGCCACACATGCGCCTTCTCACTTATCAACATGTGCAAGGGGAAGTGGGGATTCCCAGGTCTGCCCTTCAGGTCCAACCTTAAGGGCACTGCTCTTGAGGGAAAGGGAACATCTGTCTGCATGAGCCCCTTGGGTACTGAGGGTAAGACCATCCTCCCTTTCTAGGCCACAGTATCAGTGAAAGGGTGCTCTGGTTTTCATCATCCAACCTGTTTCCTGAAACTAAAATTTTTCTTTTCAGGTGACCTTGCTCCACCATTTTGGCAGAACAGTGCAGAGAGGATCATACCAGTTAGTTTTGCAAATTCAAGAGCCACACAGGGTTTATACAGAGACCAGCAGAGTGCACGGGGGTTGATTTCTTAACAAGGACTAATGACAAAGGTCTTTGCCCAGGCTCTGTTCCTGTTCCCCAAGCACAGAAGCGGGAGAAGAGGAGGAAGAAGACAGTTTACCAATGACTCGGTGGTTGAAATAGTCTGGGAGCATCCTCTCACACACAGCGACGAGCAACCAGAAGGCCTCCTCCTCCTTGGCGTACAGCAGCAAAACAGACGTCAGGATGTTCATGGACTGCACAGGGATCACAGAGGAAGGGCTGGTTAGTGATCAGACCACGTAGACCACACAGACGTTAAAAACCACACGAGCCAAGTGGTCCACGAAGTCAAGACTGTAGATGAGAGACCCAGTCGAGCCCAGCCACACATGTTTATCAACATGGTCCCCACGAGACACCCAGGCTGAGCGACCAGCCACCATTCCATCACTGTCCCCATCTAGTAATGCTGGGCTTAGCTGTGGTGCACGCCTCAGGCTTGGGCAAATCCAACTTACTCTGTGTGGATGTTCACACACACACACACACACACAAAACATTCACACATTGATTTTGCTTATTCACAGGAAAACAAAGTTCAAGATCTTCTATTTTCGAGCATCAGAAACTTCTCTACCCCAGTCTTGTGCTGGGGTGGGGGCAGGGGTGTTTAATTTACTGGGTTTTATTTTGCGTGTGTTTATCACATCCCTGAGTAAACTTCCCGAGTAAACTCAACAACTGCTCAGACGTCTTCCCTCCACTCGTGCTTCCTGAAGGAAAGGGATCATCCCCAAACATCTTTTTTCCTCTCCAAATAGCACTGATATTTTTTTTTAGCACTGATATTTTTAAAATAATCCCTGTAACATCTGTAGAGATCTAGAAAGATAAAGCTCCACAGAAGCAATACCAGTGCTGTCGTACAGTGGAGGCGTGGTGGGACAGTGAAGACAATCCATCCTGCCGTGGACAGCGACTCATCACGTGCACTGCTCTTTTTGGGCACTAGGCAAAGTTTCTAATCTCAAGTAATCGGCCTGTTTGACTACAGGAAGAGGACTCCTTTGGCCTTATTCAATACATTCTTTAAGGGAAGAGACAAAGCACAGAGCCTTCACACAACAGTCCTCGGTACCAGACGGCCAAGCACAACAGAATCCGAAGCCTGCGTGATCGACATGACACACGGACTCAAAGATTTCTGCTCCTCACTGCAAGCCTCACCTGGCAGTACCCAATCTTGGGGTTCCGGTGGGCATAGGCCGTCAGGACTCTCCTCAAAGCAGCAATTCCTGTTTCATTTTGGAAAGCGGGGTGCTCCGGTAAGGAACGGTGCAGATCCCGTTCTATCTCCTCGGTCACCAGGCAACATTTTCCCATGGACTCCTCCACCAGATTACCATAGTAACCGGGATGCGAGGCGAGATCGGTGACGGCATCTAAGACGATTTAAAAGTAATTTTTTAAGGGGGCGAATCAGCAGGAGAGAGTCAATATGGGAAAGGCACTTTTCCTGCCGAAAGCCCTCAATGGGGTCTTGTTACTTGAGGGACATAAAATATTTTGGGACCACACACAACCAAAAGGACTCATTTCCACCAAAAAGAAAAAGAAAAAATAAAAAACATGGCTTTTCTAAGAATAACCTTATAGAGTAAGAGAGAGAAACAGCTCATACCACAAATAGTTGTATTAATATGCTTTCAGTAAGCTGCATTCGCTAGTAACAGGAAGAGTGGCTATATGTGTATACATGTACACATAATTTTCATATATCACTTCAACAGGAAATTAATGAACATATATATGCAAAACATAGCAGAAGGTACACCTATGTATAGTAATTAAATAAGCATCGAGAAGCCAACAAGCACCAAGAAGCTAACAAGCTGCCAACAGGAAACTCTGAGGCCGGATCCGGATATGCAGGTGGACCAAGCACAGCCTACCCAGGCCCCTGACAGGCAGGGGCCATCAGGAGTGAGGTGTCAATAGCACGAGAGGATCCCCTTCCCTCATCAGCCAGCACCAGGGCCCCTGTGGTTCTAGCTGGTGTCCCTGAGGGGGCGCTGGTGGCGGGAGGGCTCCAGGATTGAGGCCAGCCCCACGCAGGGATGTCCCAGGCAAACAGGGCAAGCAGAAAGGGCCAGCTCTGCCTTTAATCGCTAGTGAAAGCTTTTAAATTGCAGATTGGGTTCAGTGTACTGCCCCCAACTCAACCATCAGCTGCTGTGACTCCCTGTCATGTCCCATCAACAATCACCCTGGCATCCCCCCTCCCCATGCGCTGCTTAATAGTAACAGCTGTCACTCATCACGCGCCAACCTAAACCCCACAGCAATCTTTTCTGTCAACACTATCACTTGAAAGATAGCCCTTTATGAACTACCTTTTTTTTCTTAATACAGTGTGTGTGTGTGTGTGTGTGTGTGTTCATTAGAGAGGCCGACTACAAACCAGTGCCATTACCAAGTGTCACTTGTTAGGTGTGTAAGGCAGGTCATGTTACTTTCTTCTCTTGTTCCTATTTTCAATTGAGAGAAGAAATTGTTCTCATTAAAAACAAAAAATCCAGAAGACGTTTTAATTTTAAAAAGGCCCATCTTGCTGAAGAAACAAGCCAAGAGGCAGGGGGACACAGCATACGAAACAGATGAGCGGTGGTAGGCCCACCAGTGAATCCCAACCAAGTACATGCCAGCAAGGAGGTGGGAAAGCAGGAAACATTCATCTGGGCTCCCTGGGCCAGGGAGGAGCTGGGCTGGCTGTTTGGGGGTGACTGGAAGAGGGAAGAGATGACTGGGGTGAAGTTCCAGCATAAGCAGACATGAAGGAGGAACATAAGAAGTGTGCAGGGAGAAGACAGGCACCCAGGCTAGGCCTCCAGGGTACTCGTGTTGACCTGAGCAAAGCAGGGCCACCGGGGGAAAGCAGACCTCCTTGCCAGGCCTCCAGCAGCACCCTGATGGGAGCAGCAAAGTCACACCACTGGACGACAGGGCCCTTCCCCTCCTGCCCTCGGGGCTCCACCTCTTCAACTGAGCCAGATGAAACGTCCACCCTCACTGCGGAGCCGTTGCTCGGCACGGCTCTAGAGATGTCGGTCCCTGTCTCTGCCCACCCTCCAGTGCCCTGATGAGGGACTCCCAGACATCACCAAAGTGCAGCAGCACAGCAGAGGGACAGTCCCGGGGCCTGAGGCCAGACAAAGTCATCACTGACTGGATCAGGTGGCAGAGGAGGAGAAAGGACAGAAATCTCTGCAATTGTGCCTCCTGGGACGCTGAGCATCTTCCAGAGAGGAGTGATGGATAGAAAGTATACTGAGGGATTTATTTCAACACCACTGTGAGTGAACAACATGCAGAGTGTTTGTTTAGTCTAGTTTAGAGTGTATATCCTAGGAAGACACTTCACTCCTAGGAGGTTCTTTACAGGGTTCTCAAGACTACGTACAGACTCCAAGTGGTTTCTAAAGGAGAGGCGATCACATTGGCCAGGGCACGCTGACTGAGGACACCGCAGCCCAGAGGCCTCAGGCACCCGGACCCTGGTCCCCTGGCTAACATGGTGAGGGTTCAGCTCAAGTTCTCGGCTGAGAACATTGCAAGAAGAACCCAAAGACAGAGGACTTGTCTGCACATACACGTTGTTCAGATCTGGGCCCCTGTTCCTGTGTCTGCTCCAGAAATGACATGTGGCCTAAAAATACCAGAAATGCTTACCTGAGAAAAGCAGCCAGAGTTTGCCACGTAAAGATTCAGGAATGCCCATTGCTACAAGCTTCCGGATCTTCTCTGTGCGGAACATACACACAGTCCTGCCATATTCCACAAAGTGGTCGTTCCACAGGCTTATTTTTATCTGTTCCCTGGACTGGAAATGGAAATCTCATTAATGTACCGGCGCCTCCACTATAGCCCGTCTGCAATCCACAGCAGAGGGACGCTGCCTCTGCAGGCAGAGGAACCAACAGTGACAGGCACCCGGTTCAGCAAATATTTTGAAAATACTTCCAGGCACAGAGGATGTAAAGATGAATAACAGAGCGCCAGCCCTTCTGGAGTTCAGAGCCCAGCAGGACCATCTACACAAATATCAAGCCATTTCCTTGGTAGGGTGATAGTAAGAGTGTATTTGTCCGAATACTCAAGCCCAGAGCAGAGAGGAGGATGGGGTGGGAGTGGGGGGGGGGGCGGTTAGGAAAAGCTCCTCAGGATGTGGACGCCAAGCCACCTGTTGCAACACAGGTGAGCTCAGAGGGCAAACAAGGGTAAGGGCAAGGGTGGGGGGGATCATGATTTGCCCTGAGCTCCGGGATAGCCAGAGGGAAAACTGAAACCTGGAAAAAAAAAATCGCACAGTTCTTGTTATCAGAAATGACAGATACCATTTCTCTAGGTAATTAAAAATCCCTTAAAAGTATCCCTAGATGATAGGAGTTCATAGTACCTTTTGAGCAAGACGTTTAATACACTTTTCATTATCTGCATTCTCCAGTAATGCGAGAAGCTTACACATATATTCATATTCTCACAGGTTTAGTCAAGAGTTCATTGAGCTTCTCTGTGTAAATCATATCAGAAGGTTCTGTCTTGAATGAATAAAGCTAACAATCAATTAATTATACAGCAGCCATTAGGCCACAAGACACAGCTTGGGATAGTTATGCCCAAGGACACACCTGGCACGCATGACCCCAATTCAGCCTCCCTCCAGCCTGTCTTTTCAGAGTACGATTTCTAGCCTACTATACATGACCATTCCCTCAGAGTCTCCCTACAGAGAGGACGAGGGTAAGCAGATGTAACAGAAATATCTTTAGTCCAGTAAAACTACAGCACAGGAGACCTTTTGTTCCAGGAGAGAAACAGGCAATACTGTAAAAGGAGCCTCTACAGACACCCCTGGGTAAGAAGAGAAACACCACAAGAACCCACAAAGGACAGCACTGATGGCTCTCCAGGTCACATGGCCAAGAGCTGTGTCAGAGCCACTTGGGGCAGGTAGGGAAAGCCATGTCCTTGGTCATGCAACCACATCTTCCACATACCCATATGTGCCCAGACAACTGGCGTCAGCTGATTCCTTCCACTGCTGCCAATGAGGAGGAGGGAGGGGGCACCAGGCACTGGGGCTGCCCGGCATCCGGCACCACACCTGCTCTTCCGAGGTCTGCCGGGTTGGCACTAGCCAGTGTGCAGCCCGCAGCAGGTTGCACACCTGGGAACCTCCACCTGGGCCAGCCCTGCCAGGGGGCCCATGAAAACAGAGCCATGCCACCTACCATTCTCGAGTCAGGACTCTGGCTGCCCGACTGCTGGAGGACAGGTATCAGGGCCTCCGGGTGGAGCTGCGGGCTCTTCTCTTTTTCACTTTCCTCACTATTTTGAGAGGACACCATTTCGAGATCCCCAAACTTGTGGTCACTGCACAGGCTTGTTGAATGAAACACAGGTGAAGTCTGCAGAAGGATTAAAAGAAAAAAAGGGAGCTAGAAGAAAGTCATTACTTGTGGAAGAGTCTTTGTTTTGCCTTTGGAGGCATGAAGATAACACACTTCCCCTTCTGACATGGAGCTCGACAAGGGGCTCAATCCCAGAACCCTGAAATCATGACCTAAGCTGAAATCAAGAGTCCAGCATTTAACTGACTGAGCCACCCAGGCGCCCCTTGGGTCACATACTTAAACATGCCTATCTATGACTCAAGGGAAACAGACTAACATTAGCCCCAACAGATATGATCCTCAGCAAAGACTATGACCCACACTGCTTTCACAGCACACAGAGCATGAGTCTAAGAGGGGGCCAGGCCAGCACCGTTTCTTGTATGCTTCCAGAACTAGGGATAACCATTCAGAAAACAGCTCTCAGGTACTGAGAGACTATCCCCTTTCCACCCTGTCACTGCATGGGTTAAAAGAGGTGAAGAGAGAGAGGGATGGGTGTGAGACAGCAAGAGAGGAGGCCCCAGCAGATCCAGGTCTGTTTTCCAGCTGTCCAACCTTAAGGACAATGTAACTTCTCCTTTAACAAGTTCCATCTGCCCCCAAAATAACACCCCCTCCAATATCGGGGTGGGGGGCAGTGACCCCGGCAGATCGATACCCCCATCAAAACCTCTAGCCTGGGAGGGGTGCCCTGTCAATCCTTCTGACATGTGTGTGTACCCCACCAACCTCTCTAACATATAAAGGGGTGCTCTAACCATCAGTTCCCCTAACCTCTGGTAAGGGGTGCCCCATGAACCCCTCTAACCTGTGAGCAGGATGCCCTGTTAGCACCTCCAACTGCTCTTCTGCATGGGACACCCTCTAACCTGTGTAGCACCCACCCAATCCCCTCTACCATACTTTTCTCCTACCCAAGTGGATCATGGTCATGTGCACTCCCTTTAGAGACCACTGCCCCAGAGGAAGAGAAAAAAGAGATCTTCAATTTACAGGATCCCGCTGTTTCTAAGGACCGTACCATGTCTTCGTCTCGTGAGGTGTCATAATGCACGGGGTGGTTGGCATGCACCTGCTTCAGCCTCATGAGCAGGCTCTCCACCAAGTTATCTCTGTCCTTCAGCTCGATGAACTGGAAAGCCATCTTGCTCCTGATGCTGACAATGATGGGGTTAGGTAGCAAGCTTGTGTCCTCCATCTTCTCAATGCTCACTACCTGTTGCACAAAGTTATACACAAGAGGTCCAGTCAGAGAAAAAGCGCAGCCATTTCAATTACATATTTAGAAAATATCACCAGATAGAAGGCAAAACCAAACAACTGCACTAAAAATGCAAATACAGAGCTTAAAAATGTTCAAGGCAGGGGCGCCTGGGTGGCTCAGTGGTTGAGCATCTGCCTTTGGCTCAGGTCATGACCCCAGGGTCCTGGGATTGAGTCTCGAATCAGGCTCCCTGCTCAGCGGAGAGTCTGCTTCTCCCTCTGCCTAGGTCTCTGCCTCTCTCTCTCTCTGTGTCTCATGAATAAACAAATAAAACTTTAAAGCAAACAAACAAACAAAAAACGGCCAAGGCAGCGTATTCACAGTCGTTGAAAGGTAAAAGTAACTCAAGTATCCATCAACAGGTGAACGGAGAAACGAAATGTGATCTATCCACATAACTGAATATTATTCCACCTTAAAAAGGAGAGAAATTTTGACACATGATACAACACGGATTAACCTGGAGGACACATGCTAATAAGTTAAATAAGCCAGTAACAAATGGGAAATATTATATGATTCCATTTTTACGAGGGACCTCGAGTTGTCCAATTCAGAGAGAGGAGGTAGAGTGGTGGTTGCCTGAGGCTGGAAGAGGAAGGATGGGGAACTAGTGCTTAATGGGAACAGAGTTTCAGTTTGGGAAGATGAGGAAGTTCTGGTGATGCTGGCACAATACCGTGAATGTATTTAATGCCACTGAACAGTAGCACTCAAAAATGGGGAAAGTGGTAAATGGTCATATAAAGGTTACAACAATAAGACAAGTCAGGGTATAAGACAACTCTTGGATTTCTTGCTCCATGCCTAAGTAAGAATATTTGTAAAATGAAAACATCTAGGAAATGACATGGAGGGAGAGCACATGAATGAAAGATGTTGAGTTTTCCCAAAGAACAGTGCTCAGAATTTGGAGGTCCTGACGGGAAACAGAGCTTTGTGTATGGTCACAACAGACATGCCCTGAAACCAAAGGACTGAGCTCGTCAGATCTGGAAGCAGCCTCCGGTTGCCCTGCATGTCTAGGAACAGACTGCAGAACTGTACAGTAGGTACAGATCTGATCCATAGTAAAGGAAACATTTTTTTTAATGTTTAACTCAAGTCCCAGGAGAGTAGAAAAGCCAAGCAATCTGACATTTTCAAAAGGTGATGCTTTTTTGTCAGCTGCCTTTTTTCTTTCCCCTTTTTTGTGAGTTGCAAGGGGTGGAATCACTCCTAAGAGCTGTTGGAAAAGCTTTAATAGCCAGGCATGGACTTTCCTTAACAGCTTTATCAATAATGAGGGGATGAGAGTGCTTTATTCTCACCAATCACTTCTAGGCAAATTTCAGGTCATTGTAGCAATGACAGAAAAAGCAACAACCAAACGGGTACTGGCCAATTTGAGGCCGTGCTTCCCTCCGGAGCCCCTCCGGAGCCCATCCTGAGCCAGCAAAACCCTGCTGGGTGAGCAGCCCTGCCTGGACCAGTCTCATGGTGACCGATGACCATGGGCTCAAGGACAAAAGGCGAGCTCAGGAAGCTCTCGCTGGGGCTGTGGCTACCTCTCTGAGTGGGAGGATGACATTACAGCAGCCATCCTCCTTGCTGGCAAAGCAGATGTAACGGTCAGAAGTGAACATCCGCCCCACGGTGTGACAGCGACTGAACGGCGTCCAGAGCGAGCAGTCCAGCACGGCGTGCAGCTTCTCTCGCCTCGGCAGCCTGAAGAACGCCCGGAAGAACTCATTCTGTGCTCTGGCTTCCAGGTCCCTGGCGAAGGAGGCAGGGAAAGAAGAAAAAGAGGCAGAACAGTGAACAAACACACCAGTTTACAAAGAAAAATCTTGTGAAACCAGCCGGAACAACCAGGTATCCAAGAGCATGAGCCCCTCCAGGTCCTGCGTGGGGCATCAGCACACACCCCACTTCACAGCTGACCTTGGGGACGTGTACTCAAAGCAGAAAGGGTTGTCTCTGTGCAAGAGTAAGATGCCAAACTCGCAGACCAAAACAGATGCTCCTTCCTGGTTTGAGTAACATTGTGAATTACCATCAAACAAGTAAGTGATGAATCACTGAGCTCTACCTTGAAACTACTAATACACTATATGTGAATTAACTGAATTGAAATTTTTAAAAAAAATTTTAATTGTCTAAGAGCCAGTATTAAAAAGGCAGATAACAGCAAGTGTCAGCAAGGATGTGGAGAAACTGCAATCTTCATGCACTGCTGGTGGGAATGTAAAATGGGGCAGCCAGGTTGGAAAACAGTCTGGCTGTTTCTCGAAAGGTTCAACATGGAGTTACCATACGACCCTGCAATTCCCCTCCTCGGTATAGACCCCAGAGAAGTAAAAACGTACGTCTGCTCGAAAACTTGTACCTGCATGCTCATAGCAGTGTTATTCACCATAGCCAAGAACTGGCAACGAATGACTCAAATGTCCATCAACTGCTAAATGGATAAACAAAATGTGACAGAGCCACACAATGGAATATTACTCAGTCATACAAAGCAACAGAATACTGACACAAGCTACCACATGGATGGACCTTGGACACATGATGAATACAAAAGACTGCATACCGCATGATTCCATTTATACGGAATTTCCAGAATTGGCAAAACTCATAAAGACAGAAAAATGGATTCATGATTACACAGAGCAGGAGATAAGGGGAGAAGTGGGGAGTGACTGCTCATGAGTATGGGGTTTCTTCTTGGAGTAAAGAAACTGTTCAAAACCGATGGTGGTGAGGGTTGCACCATCTCTGTGACTAAATGAAAAAAAAAAAAAAAAAACCACTGATTGAGACACTTGAACAGGGTGAATTGCAAGGTATATGAATTACAACTCAAAACAGCAGTTTAAAAATTGAGATCTGTGCTGGGCATATAGTAAGTGCTAAATAAACATTAGTAATTATTACCTTTAAAAAACAAATCCAAGTGGCACCTGCGTAGCTTAGTCGGTTAAGCATCCGATTCTGATTTTAGCTCAGGTCATGATCTCAGGGCCATGGAATGGAGCCTCATGTCAGGCTCTGCACTGGGCATGGAGCCTGCTTAAGATTCTCTCTCCCTCTCCCTCTGCCCCTCCCCCAGCTCTCATAAATAAGTAAGTAAGTAAGTAAATAAATAAATAAATAAATGCAAATCTAAGTAATGTATCACTGGAGAGAAGCCCATCAATGTCACATCAGGATGGACAGTGGAGAATGGAGGAGAAATCCTACCCCAGGGAACCCCCTCCCCCGTACCCTGAGTCTTGGCTCTAACAACTCGTAAAGCATGAAGGCAGCCAAATCATGTTCGCAGATGAATTTATGTCATAACCCAAAATTCTGGTAGAAAAGAAATTCTACTGTATGGAGATAAAAATTTTTCTTTGCCACATTATATAAGAGTTCTTTAAATTTGTCTGATAGAATTAGCATTCTGCTCAAAGTAAAGAATATGAACTCTTGGCTTTCTTATTAGCTGTGTGACCTTAGATAACACTTCACCATATCGCATCTTGACACCTGTAAAATGGAAATAACATGCAACCTTTCCGCTTCAAGGGATTCCCCATGAACAAAAAATGATGTCCACAATATTGAAAAAGCAGATTAGAAATTGCATCTACATTATGATCCCACTTATATAAATTCTATAAAATCTGCAGAAAGTGATATGTAAAAAAGACCTTGCATAAAATGTTAATAGTAGCTGACTCTATGTAGTAGGATTTCCATTTTTCATTTTTATTCTGTTTAAATTTTCTACCTGACCACATATTGTTAGCTTTTTAAAAAAAATTAAGGTAGTTTCTTTTAGGAACACAGTAACTCTTAAAATGTTGTATTTATATGCAAGGTATTAAACACTGCAACCTGAGTGATCTTGCAGACGTGTTCCCTGCCCCCCCTCCATCACCAGGGACAGGCTCACACTGATGCCCCTTCTGCCCCAGTCCATGTTCCCAACCTGGTCCTCATTTTCACACCATCACACAGTCATCTTCCCAGGACACCCCACACAGGGATGAAGGAGTACTTGGAATTTATTAGCAAACCCTCGCAAAGATATATGCATGTCCAGAAAGTCCTCTGGGCACAGAGAGAAATTAAACAAATTCTACGGATCAAGATGTGTCCAGTATTGCAGGCCAAAGCTACACTTCCTTACCCTGCAGTACTTGATATTTCACAGATGGCTGTTTCCAAAAGAGCCTGCATGTCTTCCACAGAGGAGCTGGGAAAACACAGGAAAGCACTGTGAATGCTCTCAAAATTCACATACTACGGGATAAAAGGCAAGGCCCTTCAAGATCACCCCAGTTCCCCAAAAGCGGGCCTATATGCTGTGCATTTACACTGGAAGACATCCTTGTCCTCAAAGTATGCTGGCCGTGCTGGCTTTGGTGAAAGTACAGCCAATGCAGCCTACCTGCACGTATCTCACAGATGTGGGGTCCAGCCACCACTGAATTCACCTGTTGTCTATTCTTCCTAGAAGCACAGGGTGAGTGGAAGGGCATTTTTTTTTAAGGATTCCACTTATTTATTCATGAGACACACACAGAGAGGCAGAGACATAGGCAGAGAGAAGCAGGCTCCACACAGGGAGCCTGAGGTGGAACTCGATCCTCGCACTCCGGGATCACGCCCTGGGCTGAAGGCAGACGCTTAACTGCTGAGCCACCCAGGTGTCCCGACTTTTTGTATTTACTTTGCAGCCAGCTCTTCAATTTAAGAATAAGGCGCTCAGTTATCTGATTTTTCTATTCTGTGCACCTGCTGCGCCAGCCAAGCGCTCAGTTCAACCCCCTTCTCCATGGCTTCTGAGCAGCCTGGGTATAGTATACACCATCTCCATTCTCCTTTCTGGGCTGTTCTCTGTCACTGTAGGGGTCTGTCTCTCACACATTCAGCAGCCAGAGACCAGTGACCTCAAGTTATAAAGAGGGGGGCACCTGGCTGCTTCAGCTGGTTAGGCTGCCAACTCTTGATTTCAGCTCAGTCATGATTTCAGGATCCTGTGCTGGAGCCCATATTGGGGGGTCCACACTCAGTGGGGAGTCTGCCTCAGGATTCTCTCTCTCCCTCTGCCCCTCCCTCCACTGGCTTGCATGTGCTCTCTCCCTAATTTAAATAAATAAATCCTTAAAAAAGAAAGCCAGCAGGAAGGACTTTCCTAAATCATCTTCCTTCCTTAAAAAGTCCTCTTCCAGTTCCACCTCTAAACATGCATTATACATACAGATGTGGTATTTACCTTTCTAACATAACTGAGATGAAGATCCAGTAACTTGAGACAGGAGTAGCACAAGATCTGTTTCAAAGCAGGTGGTAGTTTTGATGCTAAAAATACCAGCTCCTAGCTTTGCGCAGTGAAAAAAAAAAATAGCAGCTCCTCTTTCAGAAGAACACCATAAACAAAGCCCACTAGTCATATTTTGCCTTTCGGACCTTTCAATACTTACTAAATGTTTCCACTTTTGCTCCATAGAAATGCCCAACAGACATGAGTCATAATCGACCATTCAGAAAGCAGGCCTGGAAGCCACAGCAGAAGCACCCCTATACAGCCCCAACATTTACCAACCACTGTTCACCTTGCTGGTATGCACAGGCCAAAGCAATTGCTCCAAGAGAAAGCTACAGCTGAGAACAAAAGGGGACGGTGCCACAAATCCTGCTGTCTTAACACATGCCATCATGTGAACCTGTCACCATGTAGGAAATAAACGTGGGTTCACCAGAATATGGAGCAGTCACACCAAGTTTGTTGGTAAAGCTGCAATTAACATGTGCAATCCTGTGTGACAACCATGTGGAAAATTCTGAACTACATGCACACATTTAAAAATTCGCACTTAAGGGGCACCTAGGTTGAGTGCTCAGGTCAGGATTTCAGGATCCTGGGATCGAGCCCCGTATTGGGCTCTCTGCTCCGTAGGGAGTCTGCTTCTCCTTCTCCCCGTCCCTGGTATTCTCTCATGCTGTGAGATAAATAAAATCTTAAAAAAAAAAAATCCACACTTAATTCCTTAGACCCAAGAAATGAAGGGATGGGGTAGTTCTTCTGTTTCTCTGTGAACCTAGAATTAAGATTTTCCCCTCCTAGTTTAGGTACAGATGTATCCTGGAGTCCTTCAGGTTTCCCTCTCTTTTCCCCTACAACCTTTAAAACGCTTTTGGGAAGACCCATGTCAGGCCTTACATGCCACGGTAACCCTCCCTCCCTCATGTGATGCATCCCACACACACAAACCTACTGTGTGTGTCAGCAGCTCAAAACTGCTCAAGGACAAATGCTGCCCCAAATTCAGACTATGTGGCAGACTGGGGCAGGTGGGCTCCCCCATTAGCTCCGGGGGTGAAGATGTCCCCCTGTGCCCTAGACAGGAGGCCTCAAGCACCATTCCTGCTCTTCTGGAATAACTCAGTCCCTCTTCAGGCAGTATGCCCCCTAAAGACACATACGAAGATTCCCAGGCATTCTTAGTTATATGCCCACAGACCCACCCCCAACTCAAGTGAAACTGTGAGAAATACCAAGAGCCACCAATGTAGAAACAAGGCAGAAAGATCAGATAAGCATACTTTTCTTCACACTGCAATCCCTCAAATGTGTGTGTGCTCGAAACTCCTTTCTTCTGCCTTCCCCCAAGAGCACTAAGGAGACAGAAAGACAACCTGGCCATGAAGCATCCTACATAGAGTGAACACCTGGGTCCCCTGGGTGCCACAGGGGCACGAGGGAAACCCAGTCCTCAGACGACAGGCAACGGTGTGCAGGTAGACTCGGCTGGTGCCCACAGTGCCCCCGTCTCTGAAAATCCATCCACGGAGCCCCAACAGACCAAATCCTCAACAACACTGGCAGGAGAAGGCTTTCTCACTTTCTCACACTCACGTCTCCTGCCTTGTCCTCTGCCCTCCATCTGCCCCCCACCCCCCCACCCCCGCCCAGAACAACCTGGGCAAGCGCAGACAGCTGGGGTGCTGCCGGGTGGGGAGAAGCAGGCCTTCCCTGGGAGGCGGGCGCTGTCCCGGGCTGCACAGGGAGCCCCCAAGAGAGGCCGACTCCGAACTAGCTCACAGGGACAGAAAGTCGAATAAACTACAGAGCTAGCCTGGGCATTCTTCGTGGGGGCACAAGGAGAAGAGCCGGAAAGGGAGTGAATCTGGGCAGAAAAGGCTGAAGTCAGTCTCAAAAGTCAGACTGGGGAGCTAAGAATCAGCCAGGCAACAGGGGGGAGGGCTTCGTACTGAAGATACCTGTGCTCCAGGCAGCCACTGTTCATCTCTGGATCCCACAGAAAGAGCTTCTGCCACAGGAAAGAGTCTCCATTTACTGCACCACCAGAACTAAGTTGTCCTCCGGTGCTTTTCAGCCAGTCAATACAGATTCCAGTGAAGAAATTAATTATGATTTAGTGAGGGACACCTGGGGGCTCAGTGGTTGAGTGTCTGCCTTCAGCCCAGGGCCTGATCCCGGGGTCCTGGGATCGAGTCCTGCATTGGGCTCCCTGCATGGAGCCTGCTTTTCCCCCTGCCTGTGTCTCTCCTGAATAAATAAAATCTTTAAAAAAAAAAAAATTTTTTTATCTTGTGAAACCCATCACCTCTCCAATCTCCCACCCCCAAAATAGCTGGCTACGCTGTTCTCAATCCATCCCTCACAACTTCACAACTGTTATTTGTAAATTTCAGGACCAATCAATGTATGTGCTCCCCCCACCCCCCAGAAGTCCCTCAGCAGTCTGTTTCCCTGCCCTCCTGGATTCTGTCACTGTACCCCAGAATCCCTCATCCAGGCCTTCCTCTGCAAAGTGTAAGCTGGGCCAGAGGACTCCCCCGTCCAGCCAGCTCTACCTCATCTGACTCGGTCCTGCTGCCCAATGCACCATCCCATCCTCCTGGCTACCACTGGAGTTCCAGCCTCACTGGCTCTGTCCCTAAGTCCCATGGGAGTGAGCATAAGCAGCCATCATGACTAATCCATAATCAGATGGCTCACCATGCTAAGTGACCCCAAGAGCACCTTTCTAAAGCTGTTATCTGAGAAGGGAAGTGAAAATACATCAACAAAAGGGAGCCTGAGGAGCATTCCAGCACTTCTGATTGTACCCTTTGCATCAAGGGACTGTTTTCCTCAACTTTAAAACCTGGGCTCTCTTGGCAGGATGTCAAGTTGACTGAGTCATTACCTGTTTATGTCCACAAGCCTATGTCTCTATGACAGAAAGCTACACAGGAGACCCAGCGAGGAACTGGTAGGCAAAGACATGCCTTTCACTTTTGGAAGAAGTCACTCAAAATGCAGTGACCAGCAAAACACACCACAGATCAGAATCTTCCCGTCCATCTCGAGGCCAGCCCTCAGAACCTGGGGGGGCCCCCTGCAGCTCCACCGCTGGCCACTGCCAGGGCCCCATTTTATCCTTTTCTCTCTCCCTTCTCCTTCCTAACCGTCTCCAGGAGAGAAAGTGGAGGAGGGAGAGCTCTGTATAATTCATCTGAATTCTGGAACATGCATGAAGACTGCCTATACTGATGGATTTTCTTCCAAAATGAGTGATTTTACTGAAGGGTTCTAAGTGCTACAAACCTGCCACCTGCTTCTTCTTTCCTTGTTTCTACTCCAAACACAATGCCACATCTAGATATGGAGGCATGAAGGAGCATCAAGAGATCTGTGAGAAATTACCTCAAATCCCAATGTCCATGGAGCTGACCAGAACACACAAGGCTATCAGCCAGCCTCCTGGTCCTAAGACCCTGGCTGCAACTCACACAGGTATACATTGGTGCAAAACCCACAGAGGAGGTAAAAGCTTTGCTGGGTGATTTATAGGAGCCCGTTAACAACTCCTACAACTGAGACCCGTTTTTTCATTTTAAACCAATCTGTCAGCTGGACTAAAAGGACTCAGATACTAAAAGACTACAGAGATATCTGAAGATATATAGGAGAGCGGGGCTGCCATTGTGCTGGGTTGTCTTCTCTGGACCTAAGATAGAGCCAGAGATGGTAACAGGAAATCTGGCTCAGACGGAGCAGAGAGGACCTCAGGGTAGGGAGTCAGAAGACCCAAGGGCAGCACCCCAGGGCTCCCCTTTTGTGAGGAAGTGACAAGCAGCAGCACCCCCTCTCACAAAGGAACTGTCAGATTATGAGGACACAAAACCAAGTGAACTTCATTGGAGTCTCACCAAAAAGTTCATTTTTTGATTTTCACCTTACTTGTGACTCCACATGATCAATTTATAACATATGCACACAACAGGGGCTCTAAATTCTTGCTGGATACATGCAAACTACAAACACACTGCCATTTAGAGACCACTAATTAGACACATGTTCTCCCAGATGTTAGAGAAAACAGCAAACGTGTGTAAGGAATGACAGGAATGTTACAGTAAATTACAAGAATTTTTTTAATGACAGGACACAGAATGACACGGAACTACTACATAATGTCGCAATTCTACTCCGAGGTATATGTCCAAAAGATGTCAAAGTAGGGACTCGAAAAGATATTTGCACATATACATTCATAGCAGCATCATATACAAGAGCCACGAGGTGGAAACAACTTTGCATCCACTGATGCACAAATGGACACACAAAATATAGTATATCCATGCAACGGAATGTTACCTAGCCTTAAGAAGGAAATTCTGGAACCTGCCACAACATGGACTAATCTTAATGACATTACACTAAGTGAAATAAGCCAGTCACAAAAAGACAAATACTGTATAAGTCCACTTACATGAAGGACCTCAAGTAGTCAAACTCAGAGACACATTATAGGGTGGCAGCTCCCAGGGGATAGGGGAGGAGGTAATGGGAGTTATTGCTTAATGAGGAAAGAGTTTCAGTTTTGCAAGATGGAGAGTCCCAGGGCTAGATGAAGGGGACAGTTGCACAACAATGTAAATAAATGTACTTAACCTTTTACAACCGTATGGTTCAGTGGGATTAAGGTGGCAAATTTTATGTTACGGTATTTTACCACATTAAAAAATTTTTCTTAAATGTCTAGTAGTGTTCAAATAGGAGTGGTGATTCTATAATGATGTCAAACATATCTAGCCAAGACAGCACTTGATAGATGACTTTGTTTCTATCAAACAGGATATTTTGTATCCTGTTTGATACAAAGGATATCTTTGTATTAATTCTGCAGTTACCTGGTCTGAACCACCAAGTCAGAAATCATAGTCAAGCTCAACCACCACCATTTAAATTTTATATAATAAAGCTGAACTTCTTTAAAGTGATTAATAATTCAAGCAACTACCTCAGATATCCCCACGACTAGCATCAGTTTGGAGCAAACCGATAATTAAGAAAGTTAACTTACCATATTACTAAGGCACATTTTCTTTCTTTTTTTTTAAGATTTTATTTATTTATTCATGAGAGACACAGAAAGAGAGGCAGAGACATAGGCAGAGGGAGAAGCAGGCTCCCCACAGGGAGGACTCGATCCCAGGACACTGGGATCATGACCTGAGCCAAAGGCAGACGCTCAACCACTGAGCCACCCAGGTGTCCCTTGAGGCACATTTCTTTTCTTTTTTTTTTTTTTTTTATGATAGGCACACAGTGAGAGAGAGAGAGAGGCAGAGACACAGGCAGAGGGAGAAGCAGGCTCCATGCACCGGGAGCCCGACGTGGGACTCGATCCCGGGTCTCCAGGATCGCGCCCTGGGCCAAAGGCAGGCGCCAAACCGCTGCGCCACCCAGGGATCCCCTTGAGGCACATTTCTAATAACAAACTGGTACCAAAAATAAATCTATGGTCCTAAAAACTTTTTCTACAAAGCAATTTCATATGGAAATAGAAAATGCTTTAATGTTCACTGGTAAAGCACAGTGTTGAATGGAATTATATCAGGAAGCTATCCATATTACATTTCCTAGAAGTATTATAAAAATCAGTTTTATTATAAAAATCAGTTTCAAAATATCTGAAAGAAAAGCAGAATTGGATCCAGAAATCAAAGTCAACTGTATTAGAAAAAAAGAAAATTAACACTCATGGGAGCATGGGTGGCCCAGCTGGTTGAATGTCCAACTCTTGGTTTTGGCTCAGGTCATATAAGGGTCATGGGATGGAGCTCCGCGCTGGGCACCTCACTCAGCACAGAGTCTGCTTGAGAACCTTTCCCTCTCTACCTCCCTCTGCCCCTCCCCCAGCTCGCTTGCTCTCACTCTAAAAGAAATGAAATCTTAAAAAAAAAAACAAAAAAACAAATCCTCACTATTAAAAAAAAAATTTACAATTACTGCCAATTATTATGTCACAATCAAGACTAACAACCCAGGAAAATGTGCATTATGCCACAAGGGAAATTTAAATCTAGAACAACCAAGACTAAGAAAGCACATGTAAATGAAGGTGGTGGCGTATGAGCCACAGTTCCGTGGGTGAGGAACAACCGGAACCGGAAACTCTTACCTCTTGGTGATCTGGCTCGGCTCCTGCAGGCCTGGGTCCAGGTCGAAGACCTCATTATCCAGCAGCCTTCGAAGCGTCACATCGGCCAACTGCTCCATGATCTTGAACACCTCATCGAGGTTCAGGAACATGGAGAAGTCACGCTCCTTATTCTGCGTGGTGATTCGGATGGTATCCGTCAGAAAGACGTTGGATGTTCTTTCTAACTTCTGGATATCAACCCAAGGGACTACGAGTTTCACTAGAAGAGGAAAAAAAAAAAAAGGCAAATACATACATTACCCTAACATTTGAGCCAAACTTAAGTGTATCAGCAAACAAGAGTCCAAGGATTTCCTCAAGCTGAAATGCAAAACCAGAGCAGGAAAGAGGAAGCACAAAGCTCCTTGACAGCTATGTATCAGAACCCAACTCATGTTCGACAATTTTCTTAAAAGAGTTAAGTAAAATCTTTCAAGTTGCTGGCTACCGCACACAGGCAGGGGACGTCATTCTGAAATATCAGGTTAATAACATGAAAACTTCTTCAAGAGTATTTAAACTTAAATATTTGCAAAATATGCAAAAATTTCTCAATCTACATAATTTCTGGTTTCAAAAGCAGCATTCATGGTGTAAGCTATGAAAAAAGTGCAAAAGAGGATTATTCATGATCTCATTTAGAGAAACAAGCTTAACATTTAGACTGTGTCAAACGACAGTCTTAAAAGACACAGTACAATTTCTATGGAATTCTTTTTAAAGTAATACAGTACAAGCAGTACATTTTATAAACAAATGTTCTATTCTGGGAAATGTTTCCAATACAGTGATAGCAAGACTAGCTAGCTTGCTAATGCAAATGGAGAAGAGACACTATAACAACTTGAAATGATAAATGTTATCAAATACCAGAAATTATTTCTTTTTTTTTTTAAACTTAGCATCCCGACAAAATTTGGTTTAGTAACTGTGACTGATCAATGTCAGAAAATAACTCATTGTCTTTTTCAAATAAGGAGGGGATCATTAAGTGTTTCTTTTTGTTTTTAAGATTTTATTTATTCATGAGAGACAGAGAGAGAGGCAGAGATATAGGCAGAGGGAGAAGACGGCTCCCTGCAGAGAACTCGATTCAGGACTCGATCCCAGGACCCTAGGATCATGCCCAGAGTCACCCAGGCGTCCTTATTAAGTGTTTCTGCTTCTACCATTTCTTTCCATTTTTTGAAATAATGTTTTTAGTGCTTCAGTAACTTAGAAGACCACATATCTACATCAGGCTTGAGAAGAAGCTTCTTCAGCTACTTTTAGTTGCTTTCACCAAAGTCTTTCATACAAACACATTATAGAATCTGTAACATCAGCTTTCATTTCATTAAGTGTCTACTTTAGGAAAAGCCCTGCACTTAAGGAGCTCATTCAAATAGGGAAAACAGACATGTAAAATAAGCAACCACTAACTTGACAAAATCTAAAACAGAAACACAAACATGGTGCAAATTATAAGGGGACCAGGGAAAGTCCCCAGAGGTCATAAAAATGTGAACTGAGGGATCCCTGGGTGGCGCAGTGGTTTAGCGCCTGCCTTTGGCCCAGGGCGCGATCCTGGAGACCTGGGATCGAATCCCACGTCGGGCTCCCGGTGCATGGAGCCTGCTTCTCCCTCTGCCTGTGTCTCGGCCTCTCTCTCTCTCTCGGCCTCTCTCTCTCTCTCTCTCTGTCTCTCTGTGACTATCGTAAATAAATAAAAAAATACATCATAAAGACAGAGACTTAGGGACGCCTGGGGGCTCAGTGGTTGAGCGTCTGCCTTCAGCCCAGGACATGATCCTGGAGACCCGGGTTGGAGTCCCACGTGGGGTTCCCTGCATAGAGCCTGCTTCTCCCTCTGCCTGTGTCTCTGCCTCTCTCTCTCTCTCTCTCTCTGTGACTATCATAAATAAATAAATAAATAAATAAATAAATAAATAAATAAATAAATAAATAAATAAACAAACAAACAAACAAACAAAAAAACCTTTCAAAAAAAATGTGAACTGATTTTGAGGGGTGAACAGGAGTTTCCAAATAGACACAAGAATGGGGAAGGGAAGGAGAAACCAACATTAAATTGGAGAAGCACTGCAGAAAGTACAAGAATAAAGATGGTCAAGATTAGGTCAGAGCACAGTCCAAGGGTGGGGAAAGGCTATGTACACACGGTGTTTATACTGGAGCATCAGAACTAAAGCTGGAAGTATGAGAAAGAGAAGTGAGGACCCTGTGCAGGAAGCTGTTTCAACACAATTTAAGAGGAGCCCCTCCCACTGGTTCAACTTGAAATAAAACTTACATGCAGGAAGAAAAAATTTATGTATACAAAGGCATACATACACTTAGTTTATACACGCACACAGCTTCCATTCTGCATGGGTGCTTGAAACAATATCTGGTTCCAAAAGAAGATTCAGTGGGAAGGACTTTTTAAAAATTCAGCATACAATTGACATTTACGGCTTTTCTTTTTTATCTTGGCATTCCATCACCTAACACTGCGATGGGCAGTGGATAAATGTGTGAAAAGTTAATCACCGCCTAGATCTCAAGAGGACCCAGGTGAAGAATTCCCTCCCATTCCAAGGAACAACTGTATATCCTGCTCCTCTTTTGGGAACAGTCATGACCTTCATGAGGGTGGGAACGTTTTAAATGCCTCCCCCCATCTTAAGAAGCAACAACACATTCCACTCTTATAGAAGCCCTGGGCCATCGGTGCTGATGATGTGTTTTCAGAGCAATGCGAAGTAAAAAACCTTCAGCAGCTCTGTGAAGTGAGTGGCACAGAAATGTTGAAGGCAATAGAAAACAACGAATTCTCAAAAAATCAAAGCCCCTTAGTGGTGGTAGGATAGAGAAACACAATTGTCTGCACACATCATTTGAAATTAACCAAGTATCCCTCATTATCACTCAACTACTTATTTGAAAGTCCTTTCATCTCGTCTGAGGACAGCACCGAGCATCCCGAGGGTCAGCGTCATCTGTGAGCATGAGCACGAGCCTCACTTACGTTCCTTGCCCAGGAAGAAGGAGTAGAAGCAGAGGTGGTTGATGCTGAGGTACAGCCAGCCTTGGCGGGGAACCCGGCCCTTCCAGCAGCAGCAGGAGTAATAGGTGACCAGCTTCTCCGCCTCCGGGAAGTTGAACCTGGCCTCGAATTTCACCAAAGCATCTCGGAACTTCTCGGGCTCTTCTTCCTGCTCGGCAAGCCTGCTGCTTGTCTCCTCCGCGATCAGAGCCTGGCACACAGAAAGATAACGTCCCCTCATCAGCGTCCCCTCGTCAGCGAGAGGGACAAGGGGAGGGGCAGACAGAGGCAGAAAGGGACTGCCAAGCACAGGCACCTGAGGCAGCTACACTGCCCACCAACACACACCAGGGGTCAAGGAGGGTGGCCGTCTACCACCCAGAAGCACGGCCATGGCGGGGCGGGGGGACAGGGGGACAAAACATAGGATCAAATCTCTCACTCGGCCACTAACTAACCAGCCCTGAGGCTTTGGTCAAATTGCTGACCTCGAAGCCTGAGTCTTCTAACCAAGTACCTTTCCCGGCTCTCCCTCCAGGGACAGGATACCTCCCAGCTCTCCCTACAGGGACAGGATGGTCAAACTACTGGCTCAAGCGTGAATCTGATGCACCAACCTTGAAGAACTACCCAAGTTGGAGTTACACGTTAGCCTTTTTAAAGGTTAATGAAGGTCGTCCTCATTTGGCTCAAATCTTTTTTAAGATTTTATTTATTTATTCGTAAGAGACACAGAGAAAGAGAGAGAGGCAGAGACACAGGCAGAGGGAGAAGCAGGCTCCATGTGGGGATCCTGATGCAGGACTTGATCCCAGGAACCCGGGGAACATGACCTGAGCCAAAGGCAGACGCTCAACCACTGAGCCACCCAGGCGTCCCAAGGTTCAAAACTTGTAATCCAAAGCCAACAGGTGCCTGACTGTGTGACATCTGACACCTTTCACTACCACTAAACATTCTACGGTCTTCTAAGGTAGAAAAGAAGTATGTTGGTCATGGTTATAAATATATCCAAAGCACTCAGGTGCACAGGCAGGGAAGATAAAAAAGAAAGCATCTGAACATACAGCTGCATTACCAACAAAAAATAATAGTAAGGAACCTTTCTAAATCTAGCGTAAGGCTGCAAAAGCACCTAGAACATGAGCTTGTGGCCTGTTCCTGAGGGGTCACAACTCACTGACGAGATCAGAATTGATTCCCCACATCCCTGTATTTTACGAAAGGCTAGGTCCCTTAAGACAAGGTCACTTTGGGGGAACATGGGTGGGTGGCTTAGCCAGCTAAACATCTGCTATAGCTCAGGTCATGATTTCAGGGTCCTGGGATGGAGCCCCGTGTCAGGCTTCCTCCTCAGCAGGGTGTCTGCTTCTCCCTCTCCCTCTGCCCTTTCTCCTCTGTCCCTCCCCCTTGCTCACTCACTCACTCTCTCAAATAAATAAAATCTTACCAAAAAAAAAAAAAAAAAGAACAAAAGACAAGCCCACTTTTTTGGGCCTCTGGCTGGCTGTCAGTAGAGAACCCTTGATCTCAGGGTTGTAGGTTCAAGCCCCATGTGAGGTGTAGAGATTACTTAAAAGTTACTTTAAAAAATAAAATCTTTCCAAAAAAAAAAAAGATGAGGCCACTTTTGGGGCATAGTTACTAGTTTTATAAACTAGTTTATAAAATTACCTGGGAGTTACTATTTAAATAAGATTTATTAAACGAATCTGGTAAAATTTCAAGTGCTTTTAATTTCCTTCATTATGTTTTTCTTCTTTTCCATTTACTTAACCAGACATTATGAAATAGAGTTATAAGAAAGATGAATAATTTTCAAAGCATATGTAACATACAAAGCACTGGACCAGGAGGCGTGAAGGGGATTTTAGGAAGGCTCTACAGCAAAGAGTCGTGGAAGCAGAACACAATGCACCAGCTCCAGATGCAGTCATGACAGTGGTTGTATAGACTCCTGACTTCTGTGGATCACAGGGTCTGGTGATGAGCACAACTCCAAGGACAGAGATTTCTTTAAAGCTTTATAGAGTGGCCAACTGCTAAGAATATGAGTAGGAAAGCCCCAATTCCAAATTCCTTTGTATCTTCCCAGAGCAAAGGGAGAACCTACACTTCATGGTGGCCCCAAAGGTATAACCGCATCTCAGACCCCAAGAGCTCCTCCAACCCTAGTTCCTGCTCCAGGTCAACAGCCTCCCTGTGACTATTCTTTGTATGTTTAAGATTTTTATTTATTGGACAGAGAAAGGGAGCACAAGCATGAGGAGCAGCAGAGGGAGAGGGAGAAGCAGACTCCCCATTGAGCAGGGAGCCCGATCCCAGGACCCCAGAATCATGACCTGAGCCAAAAGCAGACACTTAACCCATTGAGCCACCCAAGCACTCATGGTTTGTTTTTTTAAAGGCATTTCAGTTCTGATGTGCAGGGATCAGAATACACCGTTCCCAACTACACTACTTTGGCATGAGGATTATTATGAGCTGTAGACAACTGAAAAACAGGCATCAAAAGACTCTCCACCCTCCCCCACTACTTGCCTAAGGACATCAATACCCATTGGTGCAGGTGCCTCCCTCTCCTGTGCCAGGAAGAGGAGGGTAACTCTAGACTCTGACCAGCACGGAGAAGAATCTACACAACAAACCTCACAAAAACAGCCCTTCCTCTCTTCCTTTCATTCCCCCCACATTTACCTTCCCACAGTTGGCCACCCCTGAAAGCCTTTGTCTTGTCCCTTCTCTACAAATGCATTGTTCTTTGTTGAGATGCTGTATAAGCCCCACAATCTAACCACCCTTCTGAGATACTCATCACTGAGTTTCTCCCATGTGTATGCACACTGTGCATGTTGATCAACTGTTTTTCTCATCAATTTGACTTCTGTCGGTTTTAATCTTGAGGTCATAGGAGGAGAATCTAGGAGGGTAGAGGAAAAGCTGCTTCCTCCTCTGCAGCTTTCCTAAGGCCACTACAGCAAAAATGAATTTCCTTCCTCCATATTAAAAAAGAGAAACTCTAAATCAAAGAGCCACCACAACATAGGTGAGACTAAGGAGAAGAGAGGTTAAAAGTGTGAAAAATAACTGTGAAATAGGCATTTCTGTAGCTAAGCCCCAATGCAATCTGACCCAGGGAACCAGGCTAGTCCATCAGACCAGGCAGAGATGGTAACCCACGGGACGGATAAGTCCCCACCACAGTCTACGTCCACCTGCCAACCCCACAGGCCAGAGGGGACCCCAAGAGGCCATCAGCCAACATTGCTATGCTGCCTGGGCTCAGGTTGCTACCTGGTGACATAAGAGTCCTGATGCCCAAAGGAAAAGAACAGGCCTGTTTTATCCCTCTGAAACCAAGAATTCACTTTGACAGCTTTACTAAAAGCTGAAGTACTCACCGTGTTAAAAAAGGCAAACTTTTCTTTTAATTAAAAAAAATTTTAAAGATTTTATTTATTTGAGTGAATGAGGGTGGGGAGGAAGGGAGGGAGAGAAACAGAGAGAAAGCACATGAGAGAGAGCATAAGCATGGTGGAAGGACAGAGAGGGGGGGAGAAGCAGGCTCCCTGCTGAGCAGGGAACTCCATGCAAGACTCAACCCCAGAACCCTGGGATCATGGCCTGAGCTGAAGGCAGATGCTTAACTGACTCAGCCACCCAGGTGACCCACAAAAGGCAAACTTTCAAAGGAAAAAAAAAATAAACAAAATCAATGGTTTGGGGTATTTTACCCTCAGGGAGGAAAACTGGATTACAGGCTAAGGTGTTGAAGTGTTTAATAAGGGTTATTTTTTTTTTTTTAGATTTTATTTATTTATTCATGAGAGACACAGAGAGCGAGAGAAACAGAGACACAGGCAGAGGGAGAAACCGGCTCCATGCAGGGAGCCCGATGTGGGACTCAATCTCGGGTCTCCAGGATCACACCCTGGGCCGAAGGCAGCGCTAAACCACTGAGCCACCCAGGCTGCCCTAATAAGGGTTAAATTCAAAATGGGAAACAGTCTCTCCCTGCCTGGTGGGGCTTTTAAAGCACTGAGTACCAATCATGTTGTTGCAATGACAGTTACAGAAGATGGAACTCACAGGAGATATTAACAGTTACCCCCCAAAATATTCCTGTCTTGCCTTCTCAAAATGTAATTGGTTTTAATTCCATTTAATCAACATATTTTAAGAATAAGCAGCCACTTTTAGGAAGAGGAAAGTGCCAGGTCCAACGAAATAGAGTGACAAGCTATCACAACTGCAAAAAGGTGGAAATAACGAATTTAAGGAATCAAGTAACATTTCTGCTCTGCAAAAACAAATGTTAACATTTTTTTTTTTACTGAGACAAGAGAGGACCTTCACTTCTGTGAAGGAGAACAAAAACTTGAGCCTGAGAACGAGGTACAGATTTTCCAATTTCAGGTGTACTTTGCCAGATTGCAAAGGTTGACAGGTGACAAGTCCAACTCCATGGACTGTGAATTAAGCCAAAACGTTCAGTCATGGTAGAGAAAACTGTGCGAGTCTGATCAAAAATGCTGCAGGCTCAAAATGTCATATGGAAGTTGTAAGCAAGATGGAGAATCGGGGAGAAGCATTTCAATCAAGGACCTACCTTTACCTTCCCTTTGACAAAGCTGGCAATGTCATCTTTATTATCAAAGACAGACAAAGTATGAAGGAGATTTTGCTCCAGCCAGTCCCAATGCTGGTTTATTTCCTCTAATGTTGCACCTGGGTTAGAAGAGAAAAAGATACTGAGATTAAAAGGAACTCCCAAAACATGAATTCATTTTCCAAATATCATGAAACCTGTGTTTGTTATTAAACATCCCAGTTTCTCACATCCTGGGCCACAGCAGACAAGGCAAGCACCTTCCTTTGGAGCTGTAGTGTCCCTCACACCGCCTGTCCACTGCCACATTGATGAGCCAGGGGACCAAACAGGTTACCCTTGGGACTGCTGTGTGGACATCCTGCCTGCCTTGCTGATGCATGGACTTCCTACCACATCCACTCAAGTGACGGAAACATTTGTAATTATGCAGCTGGTCCAGGGGAAACAAGCCCCCCAATGCAGGCCAATTCTCAACAGTCTCACATAGTTTTTACCCTGTGAGAACAGGAATCTCTCAAGAGGGACCTCAGCCCTCTGAGGGTCCCAGAAGAAAGAGCTTCCTGAGACAGCTCTACTGGTTGCCCAAGGGTGTTGCCACTCACAACAGGCATCATTAAATACAACAGCAACCACCTTGGGAATTTCCAGGTTTACCAGTCTACACTTTATATCATTCGCAACAATATTCCTTAAGAACGCACATAAAAGAACTTGTATAGTCAATGTTAAAAATGCACATTAAATCATGTATAGTAGGTTAATTTCTTTCAAAGGCAGTTAAAAAGAGATCGTCCCATTACTGAAGCATTAAGCAACACATTACCAAAAAGCTTAGGTATTTTAGTATTTTGAGGAGTCTCCTAGTACTTTCCACAGGCAATGGACACCTTGGCACACGGACCATGCCAGCTCCCAGTGAAGGACCCAGCACAGAGCAGGTGCTCGATAAAATCCCCCAACTTGAAGCAAGCATGGTTCTGGATAAGAAAAGGGACCTGGGCATCAGGTATGTGTACTACAGAAATAGATAAATGCACAGCTAGGACCAGATTTCCCAAATGGGAAGCAGGAGATGTTCTAACCTCAAGGGCTACCAAACATCAGTTCAGAATAAGCTCGCCAATGTGAGAGGCATAATGCTCAACAGAACCATGTACCACATACACAAAAGCCAGACATGCATTTTGTTAACACCAAACTTTCTGTATGCTGTTTGCAGCTCTCTTCCCTGTAGAGTATAGATGCATGTAGCCCAGGCATAAAAATGCCAGCCAGAGAACTCACTCCAGACTTGTGCATTTGAGGGGAGTATAAAGAACATCTGTGTTAGGACTGTTGTTCTGGGGATCCCTGGTGCCCGCCTTTGGCCCAGGGCACGATTCTGGAGACCCTGGATCGAATCCCACGTCAGGCTCCCGGTGAATGGAGCCTGCTTCTCCCTCTGCCTGTGTCTCTGCCTCTCTCTCTCTCTCTCTCTGTGACTATCATAAAATAAATAAAAATTAAAAAAAAAAGGACTGTTGTTCTGAACGGACAGTTTGGGGAGGAGTCAGAGCAACTGAAGAAAATTCTTCATAAGGAAAAGTGTGTGTGTGTGTGCGTGTGTGTGTGTGTGTGTGTGTGTGAGAGAGAGAGAGAGAGAGAGATCTAGTCTCTCTTCCTCTTCTTCTAAGGAATCCCATCATGGGGGTCTCACTCTTAGGACTTTGTCTAGACTTAATTACCTCCCCAGGTCCCACCTATAAATACTACCACATTCGGGTTTAAGCCTTCAGTATATGAATATGGGAAAGGAAGACACCATTCAGTCCACACCAACCAGTGCTGGTGCCCAGCTGTTCATCAGCCCTATCTCCCAGTCTTGCTCTTTAAGGATCAACAGACCAGAGATGCAGCCATGTGTGGTTTAGGAGAGCTAGCTCTGGAGAAGCATGGTCAGGATCCTCTCACTGTCCATCCCCCTCCCATCCAGGAGGCCCTTGTGGTGGTGGGAAAAACCCTGGCCCTTAGGCTCTGCATTCTTCTTGTAAGAGGGAAAGATCCTTTTAAAACAAAATCAAACCGAGTTATTCCAGGCTCCACAGCATGACTCTTGGGAAGCTTCTGAATGTTATCTACCTGAACTCTGGCCCCTCAAGGTCTGCTTGGTTCCTCACATTCAGGGCTGAGGTTTGCCCACCTCTGGCTTAAATCTCTGCCCTCTGTGGTGTTTTCCAATGGCAACCACGTAGATGTCAGGCACAAAACCACCTCCTATATCTGGGGAGTCAGCCATGGTGTCTTCCTTGGGACAGACGGCACATCACACCATCTCAAGAGAGTCTTCGTATCTTCACTAAAGCCAATACACTTGCACAGGGGCCCTGGGGATCCCTGGACCTCTGTCCTTCTCTTTAAGGTTTACACTTTCTAGATCTTTCTACTTTATTATCATAATAAAACCAACTGGTGAGATTTTGTTTTTTATGGCAAGGAATAAATGGGAAAAATTACCCTCACTAGACATCAATCTTTGAGGGTATTTTTAAGACTCATTTATTTATTTTAAAGGGAGAAACCATGTGAGCAGGTGAGGAGACAGAAGGAGAGAGCATCTCAAGCAGAGTCCCCACTGAGTGTAGAGCCTCCGAGGGGCGCTCAATCCCAAACTGAGATCATGACCTGAGCCAAAATCAAGAGTATCAAGAGTCAGATGTTCAACTGACTGACCCACCCAGGTGCCCCTTGAGTATGTTTTCAGGACTTATTTTATTTAAAAAAGAAAAAAAAAAAACCACCTTGGCAGAATGAGAAAGAACAAGAGAAGGGAGAAGACTCACTTTGTGTCCTTTCTATTCCAGGGACTAGCTCACTTCTGTGTAATAAAGACTTCTAAATGAGGAAATGGGAGGTTCAAACACTTCTCCAAAGTCATATGTACCGAAGGAAAGGCAAAGGCAGAGTATGAACTCATTCTCTATAACCTTGAGGTACCCTGGGGTCCTCTTGAAATAAGCTGCATTTCAATTCCAAAGTAACATTTACATAATCCTTAGGTCCCTTACTTCCTATGGCTTGACACTAACAACAAAAACAAAACCTCATTTTGTGTTTACACTTAGAAAAATTCCAATTTCCTGCGTGTATCATTCTGGATGACACAAAACAGGTTTCCATTTACCCTATTAAGCTCATAGGGCCAGCACAGTTCATTCTTAAGGATGACGTGCCTGTTTAGCTGTTAACTGATAACCAAAGACACCATGAACAAAACTATAAACAAGCTCCCAACACCGTGTACCACACAGAAAGAAGACCTGAAATGAAGTCATCAAAAATTTAGGCTTTAATTCTTTTTAAGAGTCTTCTATCTATGAGGAGGAGCTTATGACAGGGAAAGATAATACTAAAACGAAACCAAGCCTACACCTTGAGAGAGAAAACAGGCACACACATAAAACTGTGTCACTGAGTTACAGTAAGATTTCATTACAATCCCCCCGTTCCTGAATATAAGACATAGCTGTATGCCTCTCCCAGCCAAGACAATCGATATGATGAAACTTTTCCACCCTACTGTGTTCCATTTCCTACAAAAGTTGCCAAATGACAGGGAAATTTTCCAAACTATAATTTCCTCTGCAGGGAAGTCTTATGATAGACTTCCAAAATACCGTAAATCAGTGCAAACCACTACATGTCCTCAGCCCCAAAGGATTAAAGAGGAAAGTCACTCAACAAATCTCATACACCAAAGTTCTAAGCCTACACCATAGCCAGGTTTCCCAAATTACACAAAGTAGTTCATCAGAAAATAGCTTTTCAAAAAATGAAACAGGGGCACCTGGGTGGCTCAGTTGATTAAGCATCTGCCTTTGGCTCAGGTCATGATCCCAGGGTCCTGGGATCGAGCCCCACATAAGGCTCCTCATTCAGTGAGGAATTTGCTTATCCCTCTCCCTCTGCCCCTCCCTCTGCTTGTGCGCTTTCACTCACTCTCACAAATAAATAAAATCTTCCCAAAAAATTAAAATTAAAAAAATAAAAAATGAAATAGAAAAGAGACTACATGGTACTTTATAAGGGCAACCATTGGCTTGTAAAATATTTGTTAGAGGTAAGCACACACACATCAATATTCTTCTGTCTACGGGTCATGCTCAAAAAACTCTGGAAAGCCACGACATTATGGACATATAAGTGGTGGGAAACGTAAAGAGAAAATAAGAACAGAAGAGAGTAAAACATCCTCATGATTAGACTGGCTTAACATAATATGATTTAATGATAAAATGATAAAAAAAAAACCTACAAATTAACAGCATAGCAATATTCTCAGGCCTTCCAAAAACCAAGACAGAGGAGAGCTTTCGTTATGGACTTAAATGTGTCCCCCCTACAAATGTATATGCTAAAGCCCTAACCCCCACTATGACCACATTTGGAAACAGGCCTTAAAGGAGTAATTAAGGTTAAATGAGATCATAAAGGTGGCACTGGGATCTGAGAAAACTAGTGCTCTCTTAAAAGGAAGAGGGGTGCCTTGGTAGTGCCAGTGGTTCAACATCTGGCTCTTGATTTCAGCTCAGGTCATGTTCCCCAGAGCAATGAGATCGAGTCCCAAATTGGGGTCCACACTCAGCGTGGAGTCTGCTTGAGATTTTCTCCCTCCTTCCCCTTCTCCCTCTGCCCCTACCCCTGACACACTCATTCACTCATTCTTGTTCTCTTTTTCTCTCTAAAAAAAAAAATAAATCTTTTTTTTTTAATTGAAGAAGAAGAAGAGACACCAGGAATGTACCACGTGAGGACACAGGGAGAAGATGGCTGTCTGTAAGCCAAGGAGAGGGCTTCAGGAGAAACCAACCCTGCTAGCACCTGGACCAAGGACTCTCAAGCCTCCAGAACTGTGAGCAAATAAACGTTGGGTTAAGCCACCCAGTCTGTGGGTTTTTTTGTTATGGCAGCTCTAGAAGGCCAATATAGCTGTTTAAAACCAAAATTTATAGGAACACTGTGGATTTTAACAGAAGTCCAATTGGCAAAATTATACCTTGTCTTATTAAGGCAAAATAAGATTTCTACCGTTATAGTGTAAGACTTCTATTTCCTACAAAAATTAAAGGTCAAAGGATCT